GCGACGGAAGTGTTTCCCAGCGATCCAGACCGAAAGACACAGTGCGAGAACCTCCCAAACAGTGTTGAACGTCCAAATCATTGAAATAAGAAGCTGCATATCCGCCTCGTATTCAAAGGCGCACATATATGTTTCAGAGAGTATCAGTTCCTCTGGTGTTCGTCCAATGAGCTGTGTTCTTCAAGTCAACAAGTAAAGCTTACCCGCAGCAACATCCTTGAGTATTATTGCCATGACTACTCCGCAGGCGATGTTTACAACCAAGAACATGATAACAAGGAAGATAAGCATGATCCTAGATCTCTGATACATGGCATGCAACCGAGCAATCATGATGACTTGCATCGTATTTCAGTCGAGTCAATATTGCTGAGGTATTGCAGCTCACCGCCCAGCATGGCAGGTAAGATCACATTTGTCACATTTATCGTGTAGACCAAAATAGTACCTGAAATCAATTAATGGTCACCTCGTACTAGGATAAAACACTCCAACTCACACCTGTGTAGTCATTATGTTGAGCCAAGTTCAATGGTCAGAATCTCACTTACCCCTACAAATGAATGTATCAATTGGATGGGAATGAGACGGTTGCGGAATACTCACTGTATCTGTCAGCGAGACCATTGGCATATATGCTGTGTGCCGCCAGTCAGAAGAATCGAACGCAGCGCATATGAGACATACGCAAAGCGCTCATACTGATAACGAGAGATGGGTTATTAGTACAGCACCAACATTTTGGCATCAAAACATACACAGAAAATGGCACTCCAATATAGCGTGTCTAGAACATTTGGGAGTCAGTACAACTGCCAACTATGCTATAGCATAACATGAGATACGAACAACCAAATACAGCACAGTCATGAGAGACCAGCGTTGCCTCTGTCGCAAATTCATGGCATTCTCCTGTTTGCCTTCTGATATGGGACTCTGTCACTCACCCAGATCAGTTCAATCTATAACACCATTCTTAGCGAGTTGGCTGCTCCGGAAATAGCACCGACGTACCTCTTGTCCAAGTGTTAGCACTGGAAATAGTATGAGAATATCAGCGGTTTCCAACACTGTGCTGCTCACTCCAATCGTATACTACTACGACGCCGGCAGCAACTACGAAACCACAAGTCAATATTAGATCGAGATGTCATCAACTGATACTACAAACCAAACCAATAAGTTAAAAACATATTCAAATTGATTGTCGGCCACCAACTGGGATCATTTGAGACTACGGTCATATTCGAGGGATGGGTGTGAGCGAGTGGGGATGTTGGGGGTGTATAACGATCTAGCGTTCGTGCTAAATATATCACTGTTCAGCACTTGTATCGCCAACTTATCAGCGTGGTGGTGATGAAAGAAGTACAATATTGCGATGCGAAATCAATCAACAGTGGAATGTGCGGTCACTGCAGTGCCTGCCCTATCACCACTCCGCCACCATTCGGCTACCAAGACTACTGGCATCATGGTACTAAACTCACTGCGGAAACGAGATTTAGATCCGATTGGAATGGTATATGTTTAGATGCTGTCACCATACAGAATGAAATGGACAGGTACTACCGGCAGCAGTAGTTTGCAAATCAAAATCTACTTTGATTCAATCCAGGAGCATCAGGGAAAAACTCGTAATGATAATGTTCCAACACTCGCCATCGTTACAATCGCCCACGAGCCCTTACCGGTACTGTTGGTCAACCTATGTTATAACACGGTTGCAAACATGATGTAGCTGCAACACGTGTGACTCTGACTTCCACTTCTTGCCTGATTTCGGTAATCGTAACATGTTATTAGCACTACACAACTGGGATCGACCTTTTAGTGTAAATAACCTGACCATGGCACGGCGCCCACGGAACGTGAACACTTCACCCTTGCAGAAGTTCCACTTTCGAGCGGCCTCGAATGGTATATTCCACACCCCTTGTCGAACTACAATTCCCGCACGGTATACACGCGTCCACCGGGCAGTATAACTCCAAGCTAGTTTCAAGTCAAAGGTTCGAGAGAAGGGTCAGACTGAGATGAAGGAGACGAAGTTGATGGCTATTAGTAAGCAAAGGGATTTTCGTGTGAGTGCGACCGCTCACGGAGCAATTGCCTTGAGTTGAATAGTTCAGCACCATCAAGCTGATTCAAGCATTACATCTGAGTGCCGAGACTGTAATGATGATTCGAAATGCAATGCACAATACTGCGTTAACTGAACTCGTAATGGGCATAGAATCTCGCTGTCGAGTCAAATCGTCCGTGGATCATATATCCAACACATCTAAAGAACGAGAAGCCTCTGGGGCTGCACTATTTACCGGAACAAAAGTCAACCAGGATGAAGGGAGATGTTGAATACCTAATGGAAGAACATCGTATCGTTCATCAGAGAGTTCTATGCGACGTTTGATAAAACAAGGCAAGATCACCACAAGGACGGTCTTGGTGCAAACATCCAACCTCTAAGTGGCAGGCCGGGCATTGCGAGCCAAAACACGGGCGGTAGGCGTCGGAACAGATGCGGGCAAACACTACTGTAAGCTGGCATAATGACATTCCTCGTTGTACTAAAACCACGGGATACAAAACCCTTCCGGGAGTCGGGAACGTACACGGAAGCGCTTTAAGGAAATCAAACCTGTAACAATCAAATCTGGAAATCGGAGACTTCAATACACTCTTCATCTCCCTTTCGGGAACTATCACTCGAATCCTGGATATCTGCCCCTCCCCTGATGTCCTCCACGGGCGTCGCTCGCTTTCCTCTAAGGAACACGCGTCCACCAGGGGCATCCTCCAAAGACCTCACTATCACATCCTTCTCGAACAAGTACTTAATGTCCTCCAACGCATACCCCTTCGTCTCAGGCAGGAGGAAATACGTCCACGCTGTCATGATCATGCAGCACACGCCAAAGAGCAGGAATGTCCCGTACGTAATCTTCTCCAGCATCACCGGCGTCAGGCGTGATATCATGAATGAGAACAACCAGTTGATACTGACCGCGACGGTAAGTGCGGCTGCGCGGACATGATTGGGGGCAACCTCGCTGGCCACGACCCACGGCAGAGGTCCCCAGCCGATACAGTAAAACACTGCGTAGAGGTAGACGGCGATGATTGACACATAACTCGCAGGTACAACAGTACTCTGCGGGTGGATGGCGCCGAAGCCGCCAATCCAGAGCATGGTCAAACCTTGCCCTATGGCGCCCACGAAGAGGCACATCTTGCGACCCCAACTTTCCACAGCAAATGCCAGGGTAAGACCGACTGCAACGACTTTCACGAGACCGTATATTCCTGTTGCAAATAGACCAGATGCTGTACCGGTAATACCAAGCGCGGAAAAGATCTGCGGGCTGAAGTAGTTGATAGCGTTTGTACCAGTCCATTGCTGGAAGAAGGTGAGGATGGAGGGGATCAAGCAGCGAAGCGCAATTTGACGTGACTCTCCCATCATGCGGAACTGGGTGACCAACGATGTTCGCTGCTTGCCGATGAAGTCCGCTTTGATCTCGTCGAGTGTAAGAAGAACGGCTTTGTCATCGACTGACGTTCGAACAACATATGCAAGCGTCCTTGCGGCCTCGTCGTAGCGCTCCTGCTCGACCAACCAACGGGGTGATTCTGGTTGTAGAATCATGAGGAGGACGAAGAGGACACCTGGGGCAAGCTGGACTATGAAAGGCATACGCCATTGCATGTCGCTATATGGGATGTTGATAGAAGCGCTGTAGTTCACCCAGACTGCGACAAATATTTTATCAATCCAAGGTTACTTCATCTATAAATAGATACATACAGCTCAGCATCATGCCGATATTGTCAGAGAACTGAACAAGGCCGGTACACCTCCCCCTAATGTGTTTGGGCATGCACTCCGATATATATGAGGGAGCCAGAGCGGATACCATGCCCACTCCGATGCCAGCAAAGACGCGGCTAAAGTACAGCACTCGAAGAGCGACAGCCTGGCTGCTTCCGAGGCCAGCGACGGATTGAATCATGCTTCCGATTATGTATATGACGCCCGAAGCAATCAGGGACCGCTTCCGCCCAAAGCGACTGGATGCCCAACTAGTCAATAGCGCACCGAAGCTGGAAATTTTAAGACAATGGCATGAGTAACGAATCGTTCTATATTCTTAATGACGTACATGCATCCGGCCTGCATAACTGAGACGATATTTCCATTGAAATTGGCTTGAGCAGATGCGGACAGCTTATTGATACCAAAGTATTGCTGGAAAGAATTAAGGGTTAAAATGCCACCCATGAGTCCGGTATCCCAACCGAATAAGATAGAGCCCATAGATGCAGATAGGGCGAGGGTGTATGCATTGCGATAACGCAATACATCTGTCAGTGCACCTTTGAAACTCATGGCGGAAAGCAGATAGGGCGGGCAGAAGCAGTAGGCGCTCCCGCCTTTATAGTTCCATCGTGGAGCCTATTGATCACCTGGTCGACCCCTGGTGTTCATATTTCTATAATAAACATGAACTCAGGACGAAATTGATGTGTGTCCTCGTGTGTCCCTCCGGATGTCGGTACGAACTTGCGAGAGAGCGGACTCAGCCAAGGAGTGGCAATTAGTTGAGTCCTCCCCTTCGAACGAAGTTCCCGCCAGAGGTTGTCTCATGACGAGTCTAGGAGTCACAGGACTAACATACTTACCGGTCTGATACCGTGACAAGCAGTCCAATCAGTTTCATTTGATTCGTTTGCCAATCGTTTCCATACGTGCTTTGCCTGTCCCTTGACTCGGAAATATTGTCATTGGAGGTCACTGGGAGGGTATCCAACGCAGGTAGATGTCGATGTCAACTGTCATGGCTCAGCGCTCAACTACTACAGGAGACCACAACGCTGAGGTGGATGAAGATGCGCATGTGCTTGCTCGGGCCTTGCGGCGGCAGTCTTCAGCTATGATAGTGGAAACTTAATGTAAAAAGCAAGTAAAAACTTGAAGCCAACTGTAAATCTCTAGCCGGCAAATTGACCGGCAATCAAAATGCTTGAATGAGGCGAAGTTCTAGAATCATCTAGATGCTCAGCGTCAACTCAGCGTTTTGGGCTGCTTTGAACCATTGGGCCCATCAGGATGATCTTCAAACCTTCTGTGCATAGAACCTCGACACTCTTTTCAACCGAGCTTCCACAAATTCTACGAAACAGTATGAAACCACTTGTTGCGCTATCGCAATACTCCACAGTCTAGCTTAACGCTTAACAGGATGCCTGTCCACTGCCGTATCACCCGTCGAGTTGGCCCACGACGAACACATACCTGCAGATGGTAATCGGTCGCATAGACCACTCCTTATCCTACACGGGTTATTGTGAGTCTCATTCTCTGTTGTTCACTTCTATCACGTAGTCATGAAGCGGGAAGCGGTTCGAAGCGCAACTGGCAGTCTCTCTCCAAGGCGTTCATGCGCGACCTCAGCAGACCCGTATATACACTCGTCAGTGAGGGTCTCACTCTGTGCTATATTATGACTGACCTGAACCCAGGATTTGCGAAACCACGGATCTTCACCGCATGTTAGACCGATGACATATTCTCACATGGCAGCGGACGTCCTTAGTTTTTGTCAGAAGCACTCACTGCGTGATATATCACTTATGGGACATTCTATGTGTGTTCTTTTGGCATTCTGTTGTGCTCAGTTACTCATTTCATGTAAGGGGCGGCAAGGTCGCAATGGCCCTCGCATTGCATCCCGAACTACCCTCCGACTTACTCGCAGACCTTATAGTGTCTGATATTGCTCCCGTCAGAGCCAAAGTCTCGCAGGATACCGTACAACACATACGTGCTATGGAAATAATCCAGGCAGGCAATATCTCCACGAGGAAGGAAGCGGACGAGATAATGTCTGAGCATGAGCAGGTGCCTTTGACCGTACTCGCAACTTTCTGTATGCTTATGATGTCTTCCAGGATCCTAGTGTCCGATCATTTCTGCTTACGAATCTCGAGATTAACAAAGCAACGCCTGTGAAATTCAAGATCCCTGTCGACATTTTGAAAGATGACCGAGCAGAGATTGAATCCTTCCCTTACGCATCTGGGGAACGATCCTGGGATGGTCGTACCTTGATTATCAAGGGAAAGAAGAGCAAGTGCGTGTCAGCTATACATAAAAGTCTACACTAGGGCCTGACTGCGTTGACAGATACATCAATCGTCACAACATCCCTTTAATCGATCAATTTTTCCCACAGAATCAGTTGAAAGAGCTTGACACTGGACACTGGGGTAAGCACAGCCACCATCATTTATCGCGAGTGTCCTAGATTAAGGTTTTGGTTTTGTCCAGTGCATGCTGAGCTGTAAGTTATCCTCAAGTACTACTCTGTCTCTTATTAACGCTCTTCGAATTCGAGACCACATGAATACAGGAAGCTCGTCGTAAATTTTATCGCACAATAGACAAATTTCGAACTACAATCTGCCAATAGAAGTAGTGGTGCCGAAGTCCGGTTCGGTTCGGTTCTTAGGCCTCTAAATGTGAACGCCGAACTGGACCATCAGTCGCGTTCAGGCAAGGAGGGTGAACGCTGGACTGGACCCTTATGAACGCATTCACAAGCGTTCGGTTCAAGTTCAGAACGCGTTCGAACGCTCGAACGCTACATATAATTTGACAAAAATTGCAAGAAATACATGAACTGTAAATGAGTAGCTAAATTTCGTCCATGGCATAGTGTTCATGAGCAGCAGCAAACTCAGCTTGAACCGTTGCAGAAATGTGGCCTTGACGGTACCCACTCTTCAATAGCTGAAGGGCCTCGAATGTTGTTGGCAACAAACGATTACGGCGCGCTGTCATATACCATATATCCGGTTACAGATCCGATGATCTGGATCTCAGATCCGATCCAGATCCGATGAACATATCCGTCGTCCGGTCCACAGATCTGCTTTGATTCTTATTTCATTTCCTGTTCATATAACTCTAACTATCGTTCATCTCCTTTCGGTATTCCTGTACACCGGTATACCGGTTATCCTTTACTTCCGCTTTGCTTACTGATCCGCTATGCTTACTGATCCGCTATGCTTACTGATCCGCTACACTTACGAATCCGCTTTTACTTGTACTTCATTCCTGGTTCATGATTCGTGATCCATCCAACTTACCAATACGCTCCACTTAGACTTTGCTTATACTTTCGTACATAGCCTCGCACCTTTGCTTATTGATCATTCCGTTAGCTATCCGTAGTATATAAACCTTTGTATATGCACTGTAGTAGATCAGTTCGAATATCATCTTAGATTGCACTCATTCCGTCTGGACTCCAAGTCCCTCCGTTATCCGTCCGGACTTGAGTACGCTACTCTTGTCTACTCCGAGACTTAGGATAGATTCCTATAGTCTACATATCCGCCTCTGTCTTCGGACAGTCCTCACCCGTTAGTTTCTAGTCCGGATCTGATCCGGATTAGCCGTTACTCTATACGTTCGACTTATCCGTTACGAGACTTATCCGTCTCACTAGACGCGATACTCTAGCTCTCTGAAATAAGGGGCAAGACTCGGGAAAGGGGCACAGCGCACGAGCTGAGGCCGAAGCCCTTCGGATCCGATACTACTTGAGTACGGTCTTAACACGCGCAGTCCCAGTGATGCCGCCACTCGAAAAGGCTCGTTCAGATGCAATGGCAGAGCCTTGAATAGCGAGGTAATCCTTTGCAATGCGTGAGATGGTGGGATATTGAATGGAATGGTGCTAAAGGCATATTGAGTCAACTTGCAAGGAAATGTGATGCGAAAAAACTCACGCCCCACCACGCCACTATATTCTCAACATCCTCTAATGGGGCAGCAAGGTAGTCATCAAGCTCCTGGCGAGGTCTTTGATTTGCGGTGTCATTTGCGACACGAGTTTTGACAGCATCGCGCATCCAGCTATGGCCGTATGACCCATGGCGAGCAAGCGAGGCAGGAGCTGCAATAGATGGCTCTGCAGCAGTGGGCGAGGAGTTGTGATGATAATATTTGTCAAAAACCTTCCGCAAGCTTCTCATGCCCTCGTCTGATTGGTGGGTACATCATTGGCTCTTGAATTGACAAAGTTAGTTATGTGTGTGATGTTCAAAGTAAAAGTAAAAACATACCTGCATATCTCGCACCACCAGCCATCTTCGGGTTCTTGGGTGTGCGGATTGATGTGTCCCTTCTCCTGAGTAAATAGTACCTTCAAATCCCCACTGCGCTCCTCTTTCTTCTTATGCTTGCAATCCTCACGGTCCTTGTCTCCAAATACCTTGGTCCGCTCGTAAGCTTCCTCTTTGTCATTGTCTTCAGCCTCTTCTTCATCATCTGAACAATCCTCTAGCGCAGGGGGTTCGTCGTCATCGTCATCATGGTGACGGACCAGACGGGACCCATGTTGCACTTGCTTGGGTGCAGGCTGTCCTTGGGGAGGCGCTGGAGCCACTCGTTTGGCTGGAGCCATGTTGCCAGCATCGCGGATTTTTTCTGTCGGTTTAACAGCTCGGCCTGAGCGAGACACAAAGGCAGTTAGCTTGCCATTGGATGCAGGAGGTGGAGGTGGAGGAAGCATGGGCATGTCATCGTCAGGATCATTGTACCAATCGATGGCACTAGCATCCTTGAGTTGGCCGTCAGATCCAAGTGCGCACGACATTTGTGCAGCAAGGAGGGTGAAGATTGAACCTGTAGTAAGTAGCTCATTTATTCCAAATTTTATGATAAGAGATCAAAAAAATGATGCACCTTGAACATCCTGTTGCCATGCAATTACTTGGTGTTGAAGCTTGAAGTACCAGAACGAGAAACCTGAGAATATGTTCTGAAAATAAAGTCCATTGAAGTCTGAATAAAGATTAACATTTGTTTAACATTAGGCTTACCAGAACATCGAGTAGATTACCAGGGAAGTCAGATCTCGCCAATGGAAATGTGTTGGGTGTTTTGGCTGCGAAGTCCGATCCGCTGTTGATTGTCCCGAGATCAATCAACATGCCGGTTGCCAGAAGATCAGAGCAGATATATTGGTGGATCATGCAAAGAATATGAGAACACGTTCGGACGGGTTCGAACGGGTTCACAGTATTCAGGCAGCAGCCGAACGCTGAACTTAATAATCGGTTCGGTCCTTATACTATTTCGAACCTAGGACCGAACCCACGGTCCGGTCCGGGAGGGTTCAGGTCCGAACCGAAGTTCAGAACCGGACTGCGGCATCACTAAATAGAAGACACCGTTTACGCCTGCGTGTGTGAATTACAACTGTGCTGCCGATTGGCTTACATACTCTAGTTTGAGCAAAGATCCTTGGAAATTGACTCTATACTTCACTTGGCCCGCTTCCCTCGCTCCTTCCTGCACCATTTCCGTCAGACAAAGGCTCCTTCGTACTACTCGGTGCCACAGCAAGCGGATCTGGCGAGTCCTTCTCATGCGTGGACGCCTGTGCAGGATTCAAATCCTGATAGTGCATCCTGCGATGGGAGTTAGTAGATTTGAGCAAGCACGGAGATCTTACTTGCCATTTCAACATGGCGTAGAAAGCAGACGCCAGCAGAGAACCGAGGAAAGGTCCGACCCAGTACTTCAAGGAGGCAAAGATCAGGTGCGTGTCCGTGAATAGTATTTATTGCTTACCACCCATTGGCTAGGGTAAGGAAACCCAGTGACGACAGCAGGCCCGAATGCACGTGCCGTATTCATAGCCGCACCCGTATAAAAGACGGCCCATCTGTGTGATTTTAACCATACTGTCGTGTGGCGAGGAACACAACTCACAGTTGTCCAACGAACAGTGTCAGCCCAATGCCTACCTGGTGCACAATATTCAGCATTATTCGTAATGAGACATGCCAACTATCCATACCGGTGCAAATGGAGTAACCTGGGATTTTTCAGCGGCAAGCATCAGTACGGCTAACACCAGCGCCGCTGTGAGGAACATTTCGATGAAAACGCCTTGAGCTGAATTGATTCCCTTTTGGAGGAACGTGCTATCGCACGGAATAGAGTTTGTTAGGATCGACAAAATCGACAGCCACAACGGCCACTTACTTGACAGCCAGCGGTCCAGGGGTCAGTGCAAGCAACAAGGCCGATGCGGCGATGCTTCCGACCAGCTGTGCGATGCAGAACAACACGAACCTTACGGGATTCATCACTCCCACGAGAAACAGTGCGAGTGTGATATTGGGGTTGAAGAGGCCACCAGTGACCCTGTAGAACAACCAAGCGGAGACCAGAAGGCTGAAACCCATGGATGTGGCGATGTACATCACATGTCCGATGGTGGTGCCACTGGACTCAGCCTCGCCATTGGCTGCCTGGATACCGCCGAGCCCTAGGAGTAGAAAGAACGCTGTCCCGACGAACTCGAGTGCGGCAGCCTTGCAGTCCAACTTGAATGTGCTGAACATCCCGGGGGTAGAGTAACGAGACGGTGCCCTGGCTACTGAAGACATGGTTTGTTGCGACGAAGAGGAGCAATTCGCTTCACTTATACCCCGCCCGATGTGCGTGACATCACTCAAGACTTATTCATTTCAGACTGATCGATCGGTGGCAGTGCTCCGTGCCTTATTCAATTCGTCCTTGGTCTCCTTCTGAAGACCGGCGGCTCTTTGTGTTTGTTCTGCTGGTAATAATAAACATTTTGGCCGCGCCCCTAACGATAGTATGGTCCTCGAGAACAGAATCTTCCGTTACAAGGAGACACAGCCTAATTAAGATGAACAGACTGATACACTTGTTGTTCTTCGTGACAAGACTTTATTATGAAACAACAGTGTGCAGCCAAACCTAGGCACTTTCCTGATTTTTTTTTACACAGGATAGTAGGGAAGTGTTGGAGGGATGGCTGGTGAAGGCATGGATCAGTTGGTACCTTCGAGCGGCTTTCACTGGCAGTGTTGCTTTTGTGATACGAGCAACCATTTGGCAACCTTCATCTTCCGAACTAGCCCCCAACAACTTAGTGAGTTACAAAAGAAACCGCCAGTTTGGGACTGAGAAGGTCGCAACCTTGTACTTTGCATTTGCTACGCCAACACACAGCCTGACGATCCATTCGGGGCTAAGCTTTCTCTGATATCAGGCCGAGCATTTACACATCCGCGCGGATGCTGGGAGTGAGCCACCAACCAGGGCCAGGGAGTGCTCACACAAAATTTGGGTGACGGCCATCAGCAAGGAAAATAGAATTTGTAAGCTGTGAGTCAAACTGATCTTGCATCTTAACTTCAAGATAGATGCCATGTTTCCATTGCTCCTGTGCAATGAAGAGTAGCTTACGGAACTCCAGGCGTTCGAGAAGAGATTCAAGTGGTCAGATTGACGTGATAGTGTGATATGAATAGGGTACCCAAGTAGTATCTGTACTGCTGCCTCCAAAGCGTGCCTAGCAGGTCAGAATATAACCCGATGTTTTCTTCATGTACGCAGACGATCCGAAGCCGGCTAGATTGCAAATTAATATGGGCGATCAGTCTGCATGTGCTGATCAAATCATGAAATGAATTGTTGTGAACGCTATCAGTCGACGAAATAGAACCACGCAGTGACTGGTTGAAGACTGAAATTGTGCCATATCCCCATCACTGGACGCCACTTCCACTCCTTCGAATACCCGGCAGCGCTGCGCCGGTGGCTAGAAGCGGTGTCGACGATATAGATGCACTTGGTGTGGTCACATCTCCGCTAATGATATCCTGTATAGCAGCCTCCAGTGCGTCCACTCTATTCGACATTTGCATCACTGTGAGATGGTTAAATTAGTGGGTTCACTGAAAGGTCACAAGAGGTCGCAGAGTCGCAAACGCACTGTGATCAAGAATCTGAGACGACATGGCGTCAAATTGGGTATCTAGTTGTTCAAGTAGCGTTTCGACCTGTAAGTATTGTTAGTCGTCACTTGCCAGTTGGGAGGTTGAAGGAGCAAGAACTCAGAAAACGCACGAAAGCTGTTAGCTCATGGGGGCTAGATATTTCGCCAGGGTTGGTGGCAATGGCCTGCTTTGTGGGAGTCTTTGAGCCCGAAGCAGATGATTGTGGTGAAGCCCTTGCTGGCGTTGATGCAGGAGTAACATTTAGTGGGAGAGCGGTCGACGGCATTTGACAAGTACTGTAGATCTGTTCAATGGCAACGGCGCGGCCTGGCGCGCCGCTGTGGTGGAGGGTTGTAAACGTATTACGTAATACCCCAGCATCGTTCGACTCCACGCATCCGACTGGTCGATCTATTCCTAATTTCCTGCTCAAGTGTAACATCACCTGGCATTAACGTTGGTTGCTTTACGGGGCATTTGGCGAATGGCTCAATCAGATTATCAGTGATGGGGTCACTGGGTACTGTCGGCATTTTCTCTAGGGTTCGGGGAATTAGGGATCCCGCTCTGGTTGACCGGCGGCAAATTTGCACGACCCTCTACGACGTCCTACTTGACAGGTGTAAACATTCCTTCCACTCGTTATCCATCAGTGTCGAGGACGAAGTTGCAGCTTGATCAACCACCACCTTTGGTGTTGAGTCTTGATGGACCTCCACGAGCAGCCGTGGGTTGCATAGGGTGGCTGACAGAATATCGACGAGGTACAGGGATGATATGTCAATATGTTTACCCACATCGAACTCATTACTTTTTGCGCCAGCTAAATCCACATGGTCCGTCATATAACCATCATCAACTCAATTCCCTTCTTCATCATCCGAGTCTGAACATCTATATTGATATTCATCGGTCAAGCTCGAAATGAGGTCCACGGTCGTGGTGGACGGCCGAGCAGGAGGCAGGACAACAGTTAGTGGCTCAGGTTTACCGTGACTCGGAATGGTCGCATGCATATCTCGCCATTTGGCAGAAGGAGCAACCGTTGGTGCTGCAGTATGTATCAACTTGAATGAGCTTGAATGATCCGAATATTTTGGATTCTCGGTCATCTTCCGAGTCGGCAACCAATTAACATAGTTATTTCGACCATGTAGCAAGTCCTGCCACAATAAGTAACCTGTATTCTCGTTCTAGCTTGCAGACTGAGATAATGAGCCAGGGCATTCAGAAACTAGGCCTTCTACAGTGGTCCAGCAGCCAAACCAACCAGTTGGACCCAAATTGACACCTGGTTTTCGGGGGGTGGAAATTGACCATGTCATTAATTTGCAAGGCTAATTAGCTGGCCAAATTTGCGCACACCAAATCCCCGAACCCTAATTTTCTCGTCAAACAATGCTATGATTACTAGAAAAATTGTGCAGATACACGTCACCGCAGTTGTCGGACCACGATCCGTCCCCAGCGGCTTACTTCAACACACTAGTCTTCTTTGATGCGAATGAAAAGTAAGACTCATTGATGGTGCAGCTGATTTTTGCTGATCATTATTCATAACTAGTGCTTTGCCGGTGTACTGAATTCTCCGAATCTAATACATATTCATGGAACGTGAAGAAATCATGAAACAAAACAAAAACAAAAAAGAAATAATGGAACGTGGATAAATCATGCTTCGTCATGGACCGACGCTCTCGGACCTTTTCTGCAGCCCCTTGCTTGTGGTGCTTGGTACAACTTACAAGTGCGTTTACCCCGTCTAAGAATTGAGTCGATCCCAGCTACCCAACAACTCAGACACATTGTACGTCGAGACAATGAATCACGATCCAAGATGGGTACATTCGTAACCATATTTGTTCCGACATTGTCATTCTGCCACTTCCGATCGCACACGGTTCTGGAACCAGGTCTTCGGTCCTTCTCGAACCCCAGTCTCATTAAGCTGTAGAGCTTGTTAGGTATCGCTGACACGAACTTATCGAGGAGCCAAATCAGCCGGTACATCATCGTGTTTGTGTTCCGATTCGGATTAGGGAAGACCATAGGTATCATGGGCATACTATTGGCATGTGGGTCCTGATGCGGGACGTACGCATCATCTTTAAGTGCCTGGTTTATATTTGAGTTGTTTCATTTTGCCTTTACACATAGCCTGCCGCTATGACAGCTGTGCAATACCGCGTTTTCTTGACGTTCCGGCTTGAACTGTGATCCCCTCCAAAGCTTCCACCACTATAAATACCTAAAATGTTTCCGAGAAATCTCTCTTCACTCACGTCTCCCCTCGTTCCATCCTGCCTGTCACTCATCTCGACATTCTCGATACGAGTATGGCGAGTTCCATGGCCCCTGCTGCAACACATACTACTAGTACTCGTCCTGACTTGGAGACTGCAACATTTATTTTGCCTGACCTTGTCAATGATTGTCACTATCCCCTGCGACTGAACCCTGACTGCTATCCGGTGTCTCGCGCTTCTGAGCAATGGCTTATTCAAGGAGCGCGTCTTTCAGAGCCCAAAATAACAGGATTTATGGGATTGCACGCAGGTGAACTCACTGCAGCTTGCTATCCAGATGCAGATGCTTTTCGTCTCCGAGTCTGCTCGGATTTCTTGAACTGGTTGTTTAATATGGATGACTGGCTGGATGAGTTTGATGTCGACGGTACGTGGGGAATACGTGAATGCTGCATGTCCGCGTTCCGCGATCCGATCAACTCCCAGACGGAAAAACTCAGTGGAAAGATGTGCAAATCGTACGTCTGTTTATTCAGTTACGAATTTTCACTGTAGATTAACCGTTTATATACTAGGTACTTCAGCCGCTTTATGCAGACCGGGGGCCCCGGCTGCACTGAGCGATTTATCCACACAATGGACCTGTTCTTCATTGCTGTGGCTAAACAGGCGGACGACCGTGCCAAGGGACGTGTCCCTGATCTCGAATCTTATATCACCATGAGGCGAGACACAAGTGGCTGCAAGCCTTGCTTCGCCCTCATCGAATATGCAGCTCTGATTGATCTCCCCGACACAGTGGTGTCGCATCCAGCTATTATGGCCATGGAGGAGGCAACCAACGACCTTGTCACTTGGTCAAACGTAATGCCGCATTATGTCGTCGAATGCTCGAACACTGCTGACATTATATCTGACAGGATATCTTCTCCTACAACGTGGAGCAATCTCGCCGTGACACACATAATATGGTTGTTGTGCTCATGCGTGAACAAGGTCTGAACCTGCAAGGCGCTGTTGACTACGTTGGCCGGTTGTGCAAGGGTTCCATCCAGCGCTTTGAAGACAACCGTGATGTCCTCCCCTCGTGGGGAGAAGAGCTTGACAGACAGGTGGCTATCTACATTGAAGGGCTACAGAACTGGATTGTTGGTTCGTTGCACTGGTCCTTCGATTCCACCCGTTATTTCGGGAAGAATGGACATACCGTCAAACAAGACGGAATCATCAAGTTACTCCCCAAAAGGCCCTTGTAGAGTTGGCTTCTATTGTGTCGGTTCCTCTGGGTGAGATCATTTTGATCTCTTTCGCTGCACATTTCTAACTGCGGTTTATCGTAGAATGAAAAATAAATAGATAGAATGCTAAATCATCTATTTCCTACCATAAAGCTGGATATTTTACTTCGGATCTATAACATTCTGACATCCTGCCTCCCGACCCTGCTCAAAATATCTTCGACCTTTGTAGTTCTATGGGTTTTCTTGTTCTCATACAGCGCCTCAACAGCGCCTTGCGGTTTGATATGTTTTATCCGTACCTTTGTGCGGCTTTGTACTGCTACTGTTGTATAACCAACGTACGTAGAATAGTCTGATATTCTTGTGCAAATAGAAGTTGTTGTGGATATAGCCTGACGGAGGGTACTGATACCACCGCTCTTCTTCTACTTCTACTTTCCTGTCTGTTTATCAGGGATCGCCGCAGTGATCAATCACATGTTGCTTCGCCCTTCTCTGCTCGGTGCTTCCGACACCATCAACATTCTCAGGGGTTACTTCATCTAAGTTAGTCTAAGGCACCATCAATGACACAACACCCTCAGCGAAGTCAGACTCAAATGACGCACCCTCCCACGGTCAGCACCTGCCTCAATTAACATCACTGCAGCCTGGGCATGAGCTGACTCCATAGCGAGATGAAGGGGTGTATTGCCTAAGAATAGCGTCTTGATCTAATCTACTCAATAAACGCAACGATAAACACACCTATCCGATCGCCCGTGTTCAACCGTAGTTTGGCGGTTGTTGAGCCTTCAGGAGGATTGAGCAGGAGGGCAATGAATCCCGTAGATCCTGTCGTTGCCGCTCGATGCCTAAGAAAGCTCAAGTAAACAAGTTGATGACGTGCAAGCGTTGACGATCTCACAAGGGTGTTTGGTTCGCCTTATCTTTGGCGTTTATCTGGTCGTCGTTCATTTGATAACTGCAAAGTACATTCGAGAAATTCACATACATCTGCTCCCCTTTCAATCAGGAACCTTCCGATCTGTCGATGTAGACGCCAGCCTTTAGCATATGCACGTTCATAATACCAACGCCCACGTACATCAATGCGGGACTTTGATGCCGCGTAGTGTCTGAGCAGTACATGTTAGACTAGTAGAGATGATCCCCAACTGGAACAGTACTAACAGAGGAGTAATTCCCTTGTCGTTCTTTCTATTTACGTCAGCCCCAGCACCCACTAGCTCTCGAACGACATCTTCTTGGCCTGCGCTTACTGGACTCGAAGAGTATGAGTTCATATTATGCTTTACATATTCAATAAATCATACCAGCTATGTGCAAGGCTGTCCATCCACTCTCATCCACGTTGTCGATTACATCTGGATTCTTCGCAATGAGATAGCACACGATTTCGGTCGAGCCGCTCGATGCGGCCCAATGTAGTGGCGTCCGACCATCCTGGGGCACATGTATCAGACATTCAAAATCACAATAATGAAGCTTGTTGAGGCTTTCTGGCTCACGTCATCGACAGCATCCACAAGCTTTGGGTTCTCTTCTGTCAACGCGCGAACAAGGGCAGGTTGATCTAGAAGATGGGAAGTCAAATCGTCAGACGTGAGTAGGTAGGTACCGCGGAAGCGCACTTTTTTGGGCGGCAGCATGGATGGATAAAGACATCTTAATCGCTCAGGTGGTGGTGAAGTAGAACGAATATAGCTTTGATATGATGATTACGCGGCTCACTGAGCTAACTCCTAACCCTATGCTATGGTCACGAGGATATATTTGGCACATCTACTTATCAGATTGTTTTCGCCAACGCCGGATCATGACATAAAAGAAGTCGAATGTATATGTCAATGTAAGTCCGAGATTGGCAGGGGGTACGAGTGTAAGTACGGATCTCGTGCACGTAGAGCATCACATAGTATTACTAGTTGCGTAGGCGACGTACTATGTCACTACGTTTCCCGTGCACATATAATCAAGGGAAAAGGACAGCGCTCAGCACTACAAGCTTGAAATCCTTGCCGTTCATACACGATCAACCCAGCAGACCGCTCCAAGACTCCATAGGGAACTCGAGTACACATTAATGTGCAAATCGAACGACTTCGTGTGTGCAGTGTATCCCCGTCTTTGTGGGCGACATTGACGTCTCCTCTTGTGTTTGGAAGCAAAGTTTTTTTACAGATCGAGAATGCTTTGACCTGTTCAAGACGTTCAGAAGCTGACGAATGCATAGTTAGGTCGTACGTCCCCTATGGTCTGCGAAGCAGATGTCATTGGCGGATAGACTGGAGACTGCCAGCACTGAGATGGGCGATCGACCGTCATGAACGAGTCAGACTTGGACGCATCGCAACTGCAAAAATTCAGAGCGGTGCTTTTGCATCGCCCTAGGAATTGCGCTTTTCGGCCTGTCCACGTTGCTCACGCAACTTTTCAATGCCACTAAGAACGACGACGAATGAACGTGAAGACCTGCATCATTGCACTGATAGATGGATTCCAATTACATTGAAAACATAGCAGATGAGGGTCTCAAGACAAAGTGGAAGAAAGCTTTCGGAGTTGCAATATGGGCTGCAGCTGGTTTCGCGGATGACAAATTCGATGTTACAGTGTACTTTGATTTGCCGAGTTTGAAGTTCGGATTGATATTTTGGATTGGCACATACTATGGGCGCGATGAGCGCTGAGGATTACCCTTTTACCAGTCACGAATATTCTAGAAGATCATCGACCCTTTCAAGTTGGCACACGTTGCAGCTCCGCAAACGATTAAATTTTGAACTATGAATGGTACCCCGCCGAGTCGCTGGATACTCCCTAGTTCTAGCCCCTTCATTACCAATCTTCAATCGAGCTACCTGGTTGGATCTCGATGCTAAGAATGGCTTGTGACGATCTCGTTACTATTGATGGAAGTCCTTGCTGATTATACCTCGTGGTTTTAGCGTCATTAACGCGACTGCACGACAGAGCTCTGATTTGCGTCCTTCGTTGATGATCGTGACCCATCACTTTCTCTAAAGTCCGTAGTAGCCTGGTACGGTTAACAACAGATAAAATGAATGGCGAAGATGGATGGTTTGACGTACGACGAGGTAGGTTCCAAAGTAACTTCTGGATATCCGATATCTTGACATCATAGGGACGATGAAGCTACTTTCTGACGAATGCAGAGGCTCAACTGTTTGTCACAAGGCGAGGTTTTGAAGCCTGAAGGCCTGAGGGTTTAAGCCTGTTCTGAAACGAGCACAGTTGGGGAATCGTTGATCAGAAATGCCCACTCACAAATCAGGTGTTTATTACTCCCATCATCAACTACGAGACAGTGACGTACCGCCTTCGTCACAGAGAACGTTTTGCTAATGTGAATAGCATTATTGGAGTGCAGCTTTGCAAACCGGCGGTGGTGTGGAGTCCATTGTGACTATGCTGGTTTGTCTTTCTTTGTGATAACATCCGAGTTCGGTGTTCTAGGCTATTCAGAGTCCCATCGATGCTTTTTCGATTGCCCTGATGGCCAAGCAGGGATGTCGAGACTCGTTTCGAGTCTACCTCACGAATAGAGAATGCCGTTGTGCGGGAACTGTTATTTGCAGACGTTGATTTTACCACGCCTCACATATAGGACCAGCTGTGTTGCCTTTCATTTGACTCTTGGACTTCATCTCAAGCGCTAGCTGGTGTCCTTTGACTTTCGGGTGTGTTCTTGTTCTGCAGTTGGCCCTTGGCCGAGTGGCTGGGTGGAAATCGTCATGGAAGCTAATCCAGGCAATGTTGGCACTTTTGGCCATCGTCCTCTCGACCGAGCTATACATTCGGCTCCAGAAATTCGATGATCCTCCGGGTTTTTGCTATTCTGCTCTTGTACTTGGTGGTGAATATCGGTACTCATGGACGACACGCTTTGTTGAAGGTCAAGGCAACTGGCAACTGGCTCATATTTGATGGACATGGTTTTGTTTACCGACCAACGAAATTTTCACCATCCAGGCGCTGGCACCTCGCCAGCCCACGAGGCTGGAATCCCCACCAACTGGTATTCGGCCAGCTGGAATGATGGCCCTTCTGGCAGGTTCGTTCAGAATACTTATATGCTGCGCTAGGCTTCGCAGTTATTCACTGCTCCCTCAGATACTCTAGTCTGAAAGTGTAACCAGTCACAATCGTTACTCCATTAATATCATGTCAGGCTTTCACCACTGGCCGGGTAACGGAGCATCTAACTCAGAGCCTGTGAGTTGGTAATCTCCTTACATGACATCATTGCGACTAAATCGACGTTTGTAGGACCATCATGCTGTCGGAGAGATGTTTCAGTGTATGTGGGATGTTGGACATGGATTGCATTGCAACGCCTTGATTCGCGGCCACAAACTCTCCGCTCACCTGCGTGAGGCTCATGGAATTCGCGGGTCAGACAAAGATCGCTTTTGGTGCCTATGGAATTCTTGTAATAGGGAGTTCAACAAGGAGAGTCTTTCGAGGCACGTTGAGGAAGTTCACATGGTGATTTCGTACGGGTGCGGGTGCGGAAAAACATACTCGCGCCGAGATACTCTCAACAGACACGCGAGAACATGTCCTTATGCTGGTCAGCATTAAATAGGGAGTCTTTTGACATAGGATCCCGTGCTATTTATCTTCTATCCATTGACTTCAATTAGAGCTTCTGTTATCTATGTTGTGTACGATCCGATGTACTTACTGGTTTCCTGTATATTATTTGCCCTGGTGGTAACATATTTTAGTTCAAGTACGAAACCCATTCTGAATCATAAATCGTACATAGCAGTTTGTCAATTTTGCAACACATGATGTCTACCCTCAAACGGCTGTAACTGAGTCAAGACTGTCGTCCGCTTAACTGTTACGCCAAAAGGCAGCGATACTGAAAGCTTGTGCTTCAGTATCGCAGACAGTAATGTATGTCTATGTTTCTGTAGTATGTCTATAGATAATAGATAGCCCAGATGGCTGATAGCTCATTATTCTGAGATGCATTTTTATCCACCTGAGCCACGGAGAAGGAAAATGGATGTATCGCGCGGACTCATGGCTCGGTTGTATGCCTTCATTACGAATGAGCATGAGCATGGTGAGGAGATGAGGTGTGCTGAGAATCTTGCCTTGAATACTGCCATCGTGATCATGATACAGCGACCGCTGACCAGGCCTTGAGAGCGGCGACTCCGAATTTAGTAGTCAGAAGGCAATCGTGGTTCTGGCTGCAGAAATAAATGTGAAGGTGGATAGTGAGGAAGATGGGGACGGATTCGAAGATATCTTGTAGGAACGTTAGACGGTACCGTAATGTCTCCCATGCGTGCAACCAATAAGGGAGACAACTTGTGGGTGACCGGTGATATGCGGAATGAATCAACGCAGGATCATGATCATGAGAGCGACTATGGTCGATGGTTTTCGGTATCGATGGAGACAGGAGGTGTATTGAAGGTGGGAAGTTTTTTTTATGGAAGAAAGACTTGGATATGAAGCTTGGGTGTTCGATTATGGCCGGATGGCTGATAAGTACAACGCTGTACTAAATGGACGCACAGTGAATCAGAAGACTGAGATGATCAGATAGGCTAGATAAGGCTTTGGTTAGACACAAAATTCCAAGTTTTTGCGGCTGGCTTCTGTTTGATTATCTAAATTGAATGCATTCTCAGCGACGCGATACGACAGAGTTTGGCTTTGAACCTACATGGGTGGCTCAAGTGTGCCTGGGAGGCCATTAGGTAGTCGCTGAATGGACTCATCGCTGATGGCCCTTATCCAAACTGTCTACCCTCGATGGCGCCTGTGAGTCGATCGAGGCTGTTCTGCTGAATGACCGAGGGTCGTAGATAAGAGAAAAACGTGCCAGACGCGTGCCCGCCACATATCATCCATCAGCAGGGAAGTAAAAATGGCTCGTGCATGAAGGGTGAAAGTCGGCTGTCGATGTCCTTGGTAGGGATTATTGTGATTAGACATCAGATCAGATCATCGGATATCCAGGTCCATTCTCGTTACCAGTGTTGCTGGCACGATATCGCTGATCGACGTCTATTCAAGCGTGATTCAACCATATCGAGCATGATGGTTTAAAACAGAGACTTATGAGGTGGGTATATGGCTCTGCCTCTGTCTTGTCACGAATGAATGGGCGCAGTAAGGAGATAGAAGTGCTGATTGGGGAGTAAAGAAGAGAACTGTGGCTTCAAGTCGAAAGGCGTCAAGCACCTGGAAAAGCATCAGTAAGGCGCCGAACATGACATTCTGACATCCGTACTTTGATCAGCTCTATCATGTAAAGCAAAAGAAGATTCGTGAAACCCCAGATAGCTGAATGTGTCAGATCGGCGAGAATGCCTGTCCACCATCGCCGAATCGTGTGTGAAGGGTAAAAGCAGGGTGTCGACGTCCTGGAGACCACTAGTCAACTGATTGGGCGTCGATCACCCGATTGAACCAACCCATCGCTGACCACTGTCAGATAGACATGTCGTCGACGACAATCGTCTGTACTCAAGCATGATTCAACGGTACGGAGTATGATAGTTTTTAAAAAAACTTACGGCTTGAGTATTTTCCTCGATTACGGATGCACATGTCAAGGATATGAGTTGTCTGAGCACAAGAAACGTGTGTAATCATCCATCTGAGGCTTAAGCCGGACATGTGGAACGCGATGGCAAAGTTCTGTGAACAAAGAAAGTAAGAGCAGCGTGTCTGAGCTCAGACAGCTGATAGTCCCAAGGATTTCACAATCATAAAAATCCAATATTGGAGCAATGAAGGAAGGAGGTGAAGTGACCGTGATAAGTGGAAGCCCAGATTGTTGATAACACAGCGGCCCTGGTTCGCAGGACACAACCACCGTGCCATCTGTCATCTGGACTGGACTCGGGAGAATTGGGAAACCATGTTTGTGAAAACGAATAAAGTGTAAGGGAAATAACGGATGAGTCTGCTTCCTGGTCAAAATATTGGACATCACTATACTACTCGTCTGGATTGTCTGTATGAATGGAGTAGGTGCTGGGTCGCGGGGAGTCAGAGCATATCCTAGAGGAAAGTCCACGGAAGATGCGATCTAGTACTTGTTGATGAGGTAAAGCCTAGATACAGTCTTGCAACAACGATGAACGCAATGTGTGGCAGTTGAAGACGACACTACTTATAAACTCAATTGCACGGGGGAGTAATTACGTGGAGACGGGCAGAGAGTGGGATGGGTTATAACCTACGGCAGCATGAATGGATAAAGACATCTTGATCACTCAGGTGGTGGTGAGGAACTAATGGAGCTTTGATATGATTACGCGGTTCACAGAGCTAACTCCTAACCCTATGCTATGGTCACGAGGCACAACCAACGGATCATGACATAAAAGAAGGCGAATATTCCTTTGTAGACTATGTAATAGTAGCACTACTTATGTCAATGTAAGTCCGAGAGGCAGGGGGGTATATGCTCGAGTGTAAGTACGGTTCTCGTGCACGCTATAGAGCATCACATATTATTAGTTGCGTAGGCGATGTACTACGTCACCACGTCTCCCGTGCATATATAATCAAGGGAAAAGGACAGCGCTCGGCACTACAAGCTTGCCGTTCATACACGATCAACCCATCAAGACTCCATAGGGAGCTCGAGTACACATTAATGTGCAAACCGAATAACTTCGTGTGTGCAGTGTACCCCCGTCTTCGTCGGCGACATTGACGTCTCCTCCTGTGCTTGGAAGCAAAGTTTTTTTAACAGATCGAGAATTCTGCTTTGACCTGTTCAAGACGTTCAGAAGCTGACGAATGCATAGTTAGGTCGTACGTCCCCTATGATCTGTGAAGCCGATGTCATTGGCGGATAGGCTGGAGATTGGTAGCACTGAGATGGGCGGTCGACCGTCATGAACGAGTCAGACTTGGACGCATCGCAAGTGCAAAAATTCAGAGGGGTGCTTTTGCATCGCTCTAGGAGTTCTACTTTGCGGCCTGTCCACATTGCTCATGCCAATTTTCAATGCCAACAAGGAGAACGACGAATGAATGTGAAGCATCATTGCGCTGATGGATGGATTACAATTTCATTGAAAACATGGCAGATGAGGGTCTCAAGACAAAGTGGAAGAAAGCTTTCGGAGTTGCAATATGGGCTGCAGCTGGTTTCACGGATGACAAATTCGATGTTACAGTGTGCTTTGATTTGCCGAGTACGAAGTTCGGATTGATATTTTGGATTGGCACATACTATGGGCGCGATGAGCGCTGAGGATTACCCTTTTACCAGTCACGAATATTCTAGAAGATCATCGACCCTTTCAAGTTGGCACACGTTGCAGCTCTGCAAACGATTAAATTTTGAACCATGAATGGTACCCGCCGAGTCGCTGGATACCCCCTGGTTCCAGCCGGGACCAGCCCCTCCATTGGCAATCTTCAATCGAGCTACCTGGTTGGATCTCGATGCTAAGAACGGCTTGTGATGATCTCGTTACTATTCATGGAAGGCCTTGCTGATTATGCCTTATGGTTCTAGCGTCATTAACGCGGCTGCACGACAGAGCTCCGATTGGCGTCCTTCGCGGTTTGCTGCTGCTGATGATGATGATGATGATCCATCACTTTCTCTAAAGTCTGTAGTGGCCTGGTACGGTTAACAACAAAGAAAATGAATGGCGAAGATGGATGGTTTGACGTACGACGAGGTAGGTTCCAAAGCAGTTTCTGGATATCTTGACATGATAGGGACGATGAAGTTACTTTCTGACGAATGCAGAGGCTCAACTGTTTGTCGCAAGGTGAGGTTTTGAAGCCCGAGGGTTTAAGCCTGTTCTGAAACGAGCACAGTTGGGGAATCGTTGATCAGAAATGCCCACTCACAAATCAGGTGTTTATTACTCCCATCATCAACTACGAGACAGTGACGTACCGCCTTCGTCACAGAGAACGTCTCGCTAATGTGAATAGCATTATTGGAGTGCAGCTTTGCAAACTAGCGGTGGTGTGGAGTCCATTGTGACTATGCTGGTTTGTCTTTCTTTGCGATAACATCCGAGCTCGGTGTTCTAAACTATTCAGAGTCCCGTCGATGCTTTTTCGATTGTCCTGATGGCCAAGCAGGGATGTCGAGACTCGTTTCGAGTCTACCTCACGAATAGAGAATGCCGTTGTGCGGGAACTGTTATTTGCAGACGTTGATTTTACCACGCCTCACATATAGGACCAGCTGTGTTGCCTTTCATTTGACTCTTGGACTTCATCTCAAGCGCTAGCTGGTGTCCTTTGACTTTCGGGTGTGTTCTTGTTCTGCAGTTGGCCCTTGGCCGAGTGGCTGGGCGGAAATCGTCATGGAAGCTAATCCAGGCAATGTTGGCACTTTTGGCCATCGTCCTCGACCGAGTCATACATTCGGCTCCAGAAATTCGATGATCCTCTGGGTTTTTGCTATTCTGCTCTTGTACTTGGTGGTGAATATTGATACTCATGGACCACACGCTTTGTTGAAGGCCGAGGCCAAGGCAACTGGCAACTGGCAACTGGCTCATATTTGATGGACATGGTTTTGTTTACCGACCAACGAAATTTTCACCGTCCAGGCGCTGGCACCTCGCCAGCCCACGAGGCTGGAATCCCCACCAACTGGTATTCGGGCAGCTGGAACGATGGCCCTCCTGGCAGGTTCGTTCAGAACATTTATATACTGCACTAAGTTACGCAATTATCACTACTCCCTCAGATACTCTAGTCTGCAAGTGTAACCATCACAATCGTCACTTCAGTAATATCATGTCTGACTTTCACCACTGGTCGAATAACGGAGTACCTAACTCCTCTGCGTCAGGACCTGTGAGTTGGTAATCTTCTTACATGACATCATTGTTACTAAATCGACGCTTGCAGGGCCAACATTCTCTTGATGAGATGTTTCAGTGTATGTGGGATTGTCCATATCCATTGCATTGCAATGCCCTGATTCGCGGCTACAATCTCTCCGCTCACCTGCGCGAGGCTCATGGGATTCACGGGTCAGACAAAACTCGTCTTTTGTGCCAATGGAAAACTTGTAACAGGGAGTTCAACAAGGAGAGTCTTTCGAGGCACGTTGAGGAAGTCCATATGGGGATTGTATACAGATGCGAGTGGTGTGGAACTCCATTCTCGCGCAAAGATACTCTCAATAAGCACAAGAAAACTCCGCATTAAATAGGGAGTCGGGATCCCGTGTTATCTATCTTCTATGTCATGACTTCAGCTAGAGCTGTTGCCTGTGTTGCACATGATCCGATACACTTACTAGTTTCCTCTATGTTATGTTATTTACCCTGGTGGTAATATATTTATGTAGTTCAAGTACGTACGAAACCGTATTTCGAATATCAAATTAGTAGCAATTTGTCAATTTTGCAAGTTACAGATCATCGGGCTACTCTCAGGCCTCAAATTCGGTAGACGGATGCACTATTGTGTGATCGCGTCCAACAGCCCCGAACTCCTCATAGTATCTATTAACCTGAGCAGTGCCACAACATGGTCGTCATTCTAAGTGGCAACGGCACGGCGTCAATTCTTTCAAGTGACGCCCATAACTCTGTATGTCTATGGATAGGTTATGTACAGATTATAGAGACGAAGCGGAAGAGGATGTAATTCGATCATTAGAGTACTAGATAAACTGAAATACATAGAAGGGGTTGCATTATATCTTGCGTAAACAAACCTCGGGATCAAGCTTAAGCTTCAAGCTCAAGTTTAGCACGTCAGTGATACTCTCAGCTCGTTCAAGCCTCACAACACAAACCTTACCAAATATTACCGGAAGATGATACTGATATCCCGACACACTCATCCAGACTCATAGGCTTCTGGCAGGTATATCACCTCCCTGAAGATTCAGACCAAACAGCTCCTAATTCACTAACATAATGGTAAAGTCAGGGTTGTTTTAAATAGCGTCAACAAATTCACATGCCTTGTAAACGCATTATTAGATACAAATACTCGTAACGTCCAGCTTTAACGAAATCTGGCTGGCGCCGGGTGGCGACAACCTTGTGGCCTATGTTCAGCTGTTGCTTCAACACTGGTTTGGGAATGAAGGTGTCCGTATCCAATGAGGTACATCCACCTAACTCCCATTTTAACGAACGAGATAGTCACTTGTCGAATGTGACATAGTTGGTGGAGACTACAAGCTCAATAGAGATTGCCAACATTAATACCGTTGGGCGGCCATGAATGAGCCCGCGAGTCTTGCTCATTCCTGGTAAAGTCGATCGAGAGCAACGTTACTTTGCTGACATGGCATTGCAAGGTCACCAAGGACAGTGGATGAATGAGGATGAATGCCCGTCGATGAGCGAAAATGGGTTTGTCCTCTTTCAAAAGTTCGAGGCTAGTTCTTGGCAAGAGATCCGGAGTTGGATTTCGTGGATGGATCACAATTTGATGATGACAAATTCACTTTCAATTTCCGGCGTTTATCATGATACACTCAGAGCAGTAAGTAGCAGGGCATCTGTAGAGCCCTTTGGCTGCCTCGAGATACTTTTGGAGTGTACACGAGTGCTGACGGTAACCCTTTTTGCTAGTAATTTTTGGAAGACCATCGACCCTTTGGCGAAAACTGTAACCCTGACAGTAACGATTGGTAGGATCCACAGATACTCGTGGACCTGCGAGTGGCAAGAGCATTTCCGAGTCGAAGCTTTATTCGTCAATGTTTTTCACTGGTTTTGCATCGTTGGGGATGCGTAGTTGCGGTGGCATAGCGGTGCGTTTCTTCCCGAGCTGATTGGAACGCTCACAGTTCCGTCGATGCTGCTATCCGACGGCTTTGATCACTAGTAGGGATATGATAAAAGCGGGATCGCCTCAAGAACCGCCAGCGTTACGCGTGGGCCACTAAGTATTGACGCCCCGATAACGTCAAGGACTGATTTTACCACGCGGGTTGTACACGGCGCCAAATTCCTTCATTTTCCTCCCTAGTTTTTAAATCTGATGAATCTGCACGCCTCTTTTTGCTTCTAGTTAGTCCGCAGCCGTTCATTGGCCAGTTGGTGGGTGGAAATCGTTATGGAAGTGCTTCTAGCCCCGGCATGGCACGTTGGCCTTCCCTTAACCAAGTTATGCTTTTTGCGATGGAATTTTGCTCCTCTATGTTTTTGTAATCATGCACGCGTACTCGCCGGCGACATTGATACTCGTGGATGACACGCTCCGCCGAATGCCAAGGTTATTGGCAATTGACACATATTTGATGACTGTGGTTTGTCTTCCAGCTAATGAAAATTTCGCAGTCCGAGAGCCAACTCCCTGGCACCCCACCAGGCCGCCAACCATGAGGCCTCAGGCCGGTGGTTGAGGATTTAGAACGGATATGCCTCTTAGGAAGGCTCATCCGGAATAATAAAGCCCCCCCTCAAACGCTTGAATCTGAAGAAACTACATTCGTCACAACTATCGCCTCCAACACCGCTATGTCGTACAACCACGCAAACAATGGATTTCTCTCAGTAATGGGACCTGTAAGTTTCAAGTCCTCATACCGGGCATCACTGCTATGAAATTGACACTCGTAGTCGGGCCATTTTCTCAACCCGATGTTCCAGTGTCTGTGGAGCGGACCAGACGGCTTGCGCTGCAACTACCCGTTTCTTGCCCACGAACTTTCTGCTCACCTCCGTGAATATCATGGAATTCGGGGTGCAGACAAATTGCGCGTCCATTGCTCTTGGAATGATTGCAACAAGGAGCTCAATAAAGAGAGCCTCTCTAGGCATGTGGAGGAAAGGCACCTCAGGGTTATATATCCTTGCGATTCCTGCAACAAGACTTTCACGCGCCAATACAATCTCAGTGACCACAAGAACAATTGCCCAGTTCAGCAACAGTAGATGTGAGATCTGGTCATAACTTTCTCTCGCATATGCTCGACTAATTCGCGATTTCAGTGTCGTTTCGATAGTCTCATAAGTTGGGTAGACGGAAAAAAGGAACCACATGGTGGATATTTAATGGTGTTCGAAGCCTTCATACTTGACTCGCTCAAATTGTTCTAGTCTTTCTCGCTTTGGTTCGTGCTTCTATGAATGTGTGTACTTGAGCTCCATGATACTTATGTCGATGATGAAATGTATTAGTTATCATATTTTAAAACGTTGCATTGCACGACAGCGGTCGTCTTGAGAAATTGCACATCATCGATTGATCCCTTGGCAGCCTGCCTTGTTTACACAGTCTTTGAAGTAATATAATGCGGACAGAAACCTTCTGTTCACAGCTCCACTATCATCATGTCCGAAGCATTTCATGTCTAACCACAAAGGTCAATACACTACTTACCCAGAACGTGCACTTCACCCAACGATCCGTCAAATAACTCTAATTGACGCCTATGTTCATACAACAGACAATCAATATTCTTGACGGATCGAAATCGATCATCAGGATTCATGAAATCAAGACCTTCTGCCTCGCAGCAAAGACTGATGATGTTACGGGGAACGTTCCGCAGGATAGGTCAACAGATAATTGTCCCATTCCGATTATCATGAATTGATGGTACCACTGATTCTCGCATAAAACGATGCGTTACTCGCAGTATAGAGTATGCTCATGCTAATGATCCTTTTGCGGGCTTCGGGTTAAATGGGCAACTGGAGGTTGTAGTAATGGTGGAGGCTAGTTACTGGTGTTATTATGTTCACCGTCATACACAGAGATCAGTGTGAATTCTTTCGGCTCAACCGATGCGGGGCCGCGACAGCCGTTGGTGGGCGTGTCTATGGCACGATATACTAGTACTTAGCATCGGGAGAGCAGAAAGTGCGGGTTTCAAACTCGGATATTGCCGTGCATTCCACTCCACGATTAAAATGTTCGAGTTCAAGTACTTCGCAAATTCTATATATTCGTGGCAGGTCCCTGTAACGCTAGCAGGGAGTTTCAAGAGTCAGTATCGCTCGTACCAAGTACCGTGCTGGAGACCCAGGACATATACCCATTATCAGATACTTACAGCAGTGGCCCTGGACACTAACTTCGACCCGCAGACGCTCGTCAGCCAACATAATTCATAATTCATAAGTCGTTCACAAGTACCTCTACTTGCCAATGCCAAAACTAATCGGTCAAACTAGTACTTTTAAATTCGAGGACAGACCTCGTCAGCAGAGCGCACTGCTTACTGGGCAGAACCCAGCATACGCGATGCTTGAGCCAACGCCTTAGTACAAGAAGTATTTCATGTTTTCGATTATCGACCTCATCACGAAGTTCGAAGGCGAACTTGTTGAAAGCTGTAAGTTCCGGATGCATGCGCTTTCCTCTGAATCGCCTACCTCTGGAGAAATCTGTAACAGTGTGCACCGATGAAATCCTGTCCCATCTGCTTTGACCGGTGACCGTGGGTGGGGCTATTACGCCCCTGCGCGCCCTTTGTGCCGTGCCGGTGATGGCATTGCCGACTCTTATGATGGAGCTCCCGCGGTGAGTTCTTTCCCTTGACCCTCACTTGTGGTCATAACGCCATTCTAGTATACATGACTCGCTGGATCAAGTCAGGACAGAAGATGAAAAATTCATTGGTCATCGAGGATTCACGATCCGAGCCTGTGAACTCGGCTACCTGCGTGACCATGTAGCCATGCAGATGTGCGTCCGAGTTGCTCCGCAGAGGGAATAATTGTTTGCAGAGGTCTGGGCATATGTATATATTGGTATAAATATTGCATCTTCAAGTTTGTACTGGCATAATATTTAGTAATATTAATGGATGCTTAACGTTTAATTCTTTTCGGATGCGCACTGAAGTTCGGATTTTGGGAAAGCATTAAATTGTCGTTTGTCGGCCGGGCAAGAATAACCTCTTGGCCTTCATAATGCCTCGGATGTAGCCTCCTATAGGTGCTTGTATAAAGTTCACCAGGATGAGAGACCAAAGAGCGACTCACTTAGATTAGTATCACCTAGCTCCAAGTTGCCAACCTACTAGTTTGCCATGCCTGTCCCAGTCTGTCAACGAACTCGGTCCTAGTGGAGGTACAGTATATGAATGGTGCTCGAACGCGTATTTGTGAGGATGCATCACGAAGGGTGAGTACTTGAGTACTTGAGTGTGCGACGAGCGACTTTCATGGTAATTGACGATCAACGGCTTGAGCTTCAAGCTTCAAGCCTTGGTGCGCTCTGTACCGTTCGTCCGAATCTTCGTTCAATGAATCAAAAAAACCCTAGTGTTCGGGATTCGGAGTTGCAATTTGAATTTGAACATCAATTATTGTGATGATGACAAATTTGCTAGTGTCAGTTCAACATACTCAGGCTATGATCGCTCTGCAGGTGATCCCTTTGAGTCCCTTTGCCAGGCGAGCTTGTGACGCTGAATGCGGGTTAGCGAGACTCAGAACTGCAGGTACCTGTCCAGGATTCAACTTTCTGCAATCTTGATTCGTTGATTGAGCTATATGGTAGCCAGATGATGATGCTAAGTGCATATGAGGACTCATTGAGGAGGGTCTCCCGGAAGTCTTTGCTGATTCTGCCTCGCGATACTTAGCATCGTTAAAACGCGTACGAAGGTCCCCCGGTTGTGCATCCTCACTGCTGTCATGGTCGGACACGATTGCTTTTCCCGGTCTCTAGAGTCCTTGTAATAGCCTGGGTTGACTATCTGGAAGACGATCGCTCGGGTGGTTCGACGTTAATGAGGGGCTGGGTTCAAAAAGACATTTGGTCATTCTGGCATCGTAGGACCGCAGACTTGCTTGCCTAGTGAAACCCAGCCAGAAGTCAAGGGTTTATCCGCAAGGTAATGGATTCATGGTTAGTCTTGTATGAATATCCCCTATTTTCAGCTAAGGTCACTCATCAAGGATTCAGCGATGCTCACCCGCAATCAGATCTTCATCATTGCTATTATAAAATAATACGAGATGACGCAGATTTGACGTACTGCATTTTGGCATAGCGCAACGAAGGCTTGCGGACAGTGTCTCGGTGTCACAAGGAGCATCTGCAGTGACATGATGGTGCGCTTGCCTCTTAACAATTCTCGAGCTGATAAAATTACTCGCTAGAATTTTGTCGACGCCGTTATCCGATTGTCTTTATTGCCAGTAGGGCTACCAAAGTCAGATCATTTCAAGAACAACTCATGTTGTGTGTGAGCTGCCATTGGCGTCTGACAACGCCAAATACTAAGTTTACGGCGCATTACGTATGTGGCCAACTTTTTTTGTTTTCGTTTGTTTCCTAGACTATCTGATATCGCAGCGCAACCATTGACCTGTGACTCAGATTTTTGGTCCCAAGGTGGCCCTTGGCCGGTTGGCGGGCAGGAATTGCAATGGAAGCTACATCCTAATTCTGACATGGCACGCTTGGCCATCCTCATTGTCGTCCAAACCATGTTTCCGACGACTGAATTCGATGCTCCTTGAATTTTTGTAATCCTGCGTACTCGACGGCATACATTGATACCACACCGCTTTGAGGTCGTGCTGGTGCGGTATCTGACACATATCCCATTACTTCACCGTCCAGGCGCCATGTCTGCCACCTTCACACACGGCCGAGCTCTTAGCCTGGAGGGACCGGTACCTATCAACCAACACATATGGTTTCATCTACCAAATAAATGAAACGTTCACCGTCCAGGCGCATCCACCTGGCTCTCTGCCAGCCCACATTATGGCTTGCAGTCCCCTCCAGGCTAGGATTCGGAAAGTTGGAATGGTGGGCCTCCTTGCAAACTCGCTCTGATAAATAAGCACACTCAGGTGCCCCAATGCGATGTGAGCACAACCTCAATACGACTATGGCGTATAACAACGGATCATCATCTGCACCAGGACTTGTAATTTTCGTCTTCTCACTGGGCGTCGCGGCGGCTGAATTGTTGTTTACAGGCGGACCATTTTCTTGGAGAGTTATTCCAGTGTATGTGGGTTGCTGGATATGGGTTACACTGCAATGACTTGATACGTCGGTTCATCTCCGAAATTGTCACGGAATTAAGGGCGCGGACGACTTGCGCTTCCGTTGCTGTTGGGAGGGCTGTAACATAGTGCTCAAGAAAGAAAGCCTTGCCCGACATGTGCAAGCAGTGCACCTCGGAATCTCGTATTCTTGCGACACCTGCAACCAGAAGTTCACGCGTACATACAACCTAGAAGTGCACAAGAGAAACTGCCCAACCCCGCAGTAAATATCAGGACTTTCTCTCCCGTATAACCAACGCTGATTCTTCGATTTAGGGGGTAATGGGTGATGTCGCTTCAATAGTTATTTGAGGTTGTGTGGATGTTGGAGTTCCCGTGTGTCTAAAATGGCCGGCAGGAACGGCGGACTGACGGGGGGAAACCTCACGTCGGGGCATTCGCAGGGACGGAGAAGCGGAGGAGACACAGGTGTCCCCTCTCTCCTATAATGTCATACTACGTATACTACCTCAGGCGGGCTACTGAGTGTTACAACGGTTGTTTGACTAGTTGTTCTCACTTTCAATGTCGCACCGCGGCATTTACCATAGCATCTTGACATCAGTTAGTTTCTGTGGATTCATGTACCACATGCAACGTCAGTATATTACCTGATACTCTTGAGTCTGCAGGGTGGTAAGATGTTTTAGTGTCAATATCCTGAATAGCAGATCAACAAAGCGAAATTATCGAATTGAATGTACATATCAACGAGCACTGACATGTTGCCTATCTTGTCTCCAGACTTTTGTACGTGGAAGCGGCTTCTGTTCAGCTGCCCTAGTTTGGCCTCCGAAGCATTTGAACCCGCTATCTGCAATCCGAGTTAGGGAATTAAGGTGCTGTCGTGAAGTGTACCTTTTACCTAGAAAACTACTTAACCACGAGCGGCACTGGCGCTATGCTGGCATGTTAGACATTTGTTTGTTTGTTTGTTTTTATAAGATACCATTCATAATTGTAGCGTAGCTCATTGAATTGATACCCTAGGCCTCTGACCGAGAGGCATACATTCAGAAAACCATAGAACACCAATCATTCATGTAGCGAGATACGTACAGGAGGTGATTCTAAATGTATGATATCACTGCCGATGTACTTGAGCAACATAACAGTGGCCCTCGTAAGGTTGTGGAGTGTTTTGTTGGAGTAAACAGAATGCACATAAAACGTTTCCAGTTCCATCAGTCCGACAAGCTGAGGAGCGACAGTATTAATTTGAACGCAAGTAGCCTGCATTATAAAAAAGCATGGACTGACAAGCCGAACATGGATAAATTCTGCAGCAGGTTTGTTCAGCTCTCTGAGGGACCGGACTTTTGCCTTCCGGTTGTGTATGAGCTTCATAAATTTCGATGAATAGACAGAGATTGGCCTTGTTGCTCAAATGGGAAAGCCAGTATCATCAATACGCTTTTTTACGTTGGATTTTAATTCTTGCAGAGGACGGTAACAACACAAGATTGGCCCAGAAACGAGGCATTCCGACTTGAAAGAGGGGAATCACGAAGAGATGAAGAACATGACAATTGTCCTGAAAAATTAAATAGGCAGTATGATGCATACCAAACCAAACTTCAAGCACGATGGCTATCGTGTTCTCGAAAAGTGATAATGTTCATCTGGAAGTTAGACATCAATGTGCTGGTCCTGTTAGCATTGTCCTCGCAGACTATCTCAACCTGAGTACGCCTGAAATCGCTGGGGTTGTGTGAGCTTACTTGCTGTGTATTGAGCGGCTGCCCGGTGTGTACTGCCAGTGATGCTGCTAGATCTTGAATCTGGTTAAATCAATACTATCACCATGATGTACTAGCTGCTAGCTTACCTGCTACTCAGGCTAGCAACTAGTCTGAGTCACGGTAGAACTAGATTCAAAGTTCTCTCAAAGGTGACGAGTACGGCCATGGACTAGACAAAATCCAGCGTATTATCGATGCCTTGCGACTAACTTGAAGAGTCGAGTGACTAACTCAGTGGCTCGCAACGCCACTCGAGTGAGTCAGTGAAGGTCCCACAGGCGGCAGCCAAGCAATTGACTCGTTTCCCGATTGCCATATTTATGACCCTAACCCTGAAACCGTTCTCATGATTCTTTGTGGTCACAACTCCATCTTGAACCTATGAAGTTGGGTCTTTCCATGACCCCGAGATAAATATAATTGAGGATGCCTGTCCAGTCGCTGCAAAACACAGATGTGATCGTTCCTCAACATGCACCTCATCCACTCCTTCCGTTTCTTCAATCCCAATCACAAACTACGTTAACCCGTCTCTATCAACGGCCATCATCATGTCTTTCGATATTTCGGTGATGCACCACTCGATTGTGTGTATACCTAAGCTGACGTCTTTTCTAGATTGCTCGGACCAATTGAGCGGCAGCTCATAATGAATCTACTCTGGCTGGAAAGTGCCCTCTCCGCAGCGACGATGTCAGCTTGGGTCCTTCCTGAGGGAAAGAAGTGAGTTTCTATGGGTTGTGAACACTTCGGACTCATAAATATGCATCTAGCGCATATGATTCCGCCCTTACTGTCATGACAGGACTCCACATTGCCCAAAATTCGGCTGTTAAATTAGCGCTAAACCCTACATTCAAATCTAGCTTGAGGCAAGCTATCACAGGAGGGTGCGTTGAATTATAAACGAAGCACATTCCTCATGACAACAAATTTTTGAAGAGGTAATACGGGAAGTTTTGGAGTCCCTACCGACAAGGACGGCAAGCGACAGTCAGCGAACATTGAAAACTTAGACGCATACGCGCTCGAACGATGGGAGGTAAGCTAGTAGTGACCAACTGGTGAAAAATAATCTTACAACTTCGTAGACCATCCTTCACTACATGGTGTCGTCTGGTCAAGGCCAAAATCCCACCAAGCCTTCCCAAGGAGTTCTGTACTTGCTCCAACGGAGTGGTTTGATGAACAATGCTCAGTGGGTGTATATGCGTGAATGTTTTCTTTCTCTCTTCTTACATCTTGCCAATAGCGGTGCAGCTCTACAAATCACTTCCTCGGGTTTCCAGTTCCTCCTCCACTCACCTCATGATCAACTTTGGAATCTACTATTACAGTACTTGCACATGGCAGAGGTACGCTCCCAGCTGATAGGAGGCGTTTGTGATCGGTGACGTTGATATGTCCCTAGGAGAGGCAAATGGACCTCGTAGAAGTGCTTAGCTTTCTATTCATGTTGTCGACCATGGATCTTGGTCGGGTAAGGCAAATATAACATGGTTGCGTAAGTAGCTAAAGAAGCGCCGTTCATTTAATACCAGGAATATTCGACAGAACCCTTGAGCGAAACACAGAAGGCAATGCTTGAAGACCTTCGGGACTATGGTCTTGTATGGCAACGTAAGGTATAGAGCCTTCTAGTTTTACCATCTTTGGCGCATTTTACTAAATGTATTCCACTGCCATAAGACTTCATCAAAACGTTTCAGTCCCACACGATTAGCAACAACGTTGACTTCGTCGTCACCCCCCCTTACCGAGTTCGCATTCTACCGGCGGGTCTCGTACGGCGGACGGTACAGGGGCGGTTACTCTAAGTTCAGGGGCCGCGCAACAAGGCTTCATTGTTCTGGAAACTAACTATCGGATATATGCGTATACAGGTATGTTATCTCTTTTTCAACCTTTAGCATTTGAGTTTACATGTCTTCGGCGGCTGCAAGACAACCCCTTGCAAACGGCTGTCCTTAATTTGTTCATCACGATGAAATATCGTTTTCCGAACTTGGTTGTGGGAATGCTCACCCGTGAAAGTGTACGCAAGGCACTGGGCAATGGAATCTCGGCTGACCAGGTATCAAAACGTTCTCTTCTGATTGTAGTCAAGTTTGGGTAATGAGCCTGATCGCCGCCGACAGATCATTAGCTACTTAACGACACATGCACATCCACAGATGCGCAAGAACGTCAGTATATATTCAATCATCCTCACAAGCCAATTTCGTTGCTCATTGTCCCTGAATAGAACCCCCTTTTACCTGTGACTGTACAGGACCAGATAAGGCTTTGGGAGCTTGAGAGGAATCGGCTGAAATCTGCAGAAGGTCAGGATTGTCTTTTCGTACTGGTACTCTTCTCACGCCGACCAAACCACAAATTAAGGTTATCTTTACAAAGACTTCGCGTCGCAAGCCGATTATGAATACGTGCTAGCGTATGCGAAGCAGCTGGATGTTGTGCTTTGGGAGAACGCGGCCAAGCGGTGCTTCTTTGGTACTCTTGAGGGACATGCTAACGTTAGAGGATTCATCGAGAGACGGACAGGATCAGTTTAGAGTCATTGCTTGTGGCGCTTATTACGTTTGGTTGTGTAAGATACCACGACAAATGTATTACGTCCGATATGTACATGTATTAAGATCTATTAAAGTATTTATGACTCGGGGCAGTAGCCAGGAATGAATGGTTAGCCACGACGGCGTTCATCTACCCATGTGCTAATACAACGTTAGCCAAAACAATTAGGTGACAATGTACAGTATATGGTTACATGCATAATGCAATACATTCCAGATGTCAGAGTGAGGTCATGTAAGTCATCGCAAATTCAAATCATATCCATAGAAGTTTCATCCGCCTTGCAAAGCACAAACCCGCCCTCGTAGCCTAGTTGGTCAACTGCCGTGCCAGTTTCGCGCCAGCGCCCAACAAGACTACGCTCGTGTATGTAACCTTTGAATATCCAGCGTCCATGGTACGCATGGGCAGCGTGTTTCTGGATCAAAGAATTAGTTAAAATGAATGACGCAAATCGGACCTTCTTTCACGTACCGACCGTCGCAATAGAACAATGAAGCCATCCCATGGTCTTACTCGGCCAATGAAAGAGAAAGAACCCCAAGCCGGGCTCTCCCGATCGTACGTCTGTAAAAGTTCACGGACCTCCACCAACTCGAGGCGAATTCAGGAGCTCTCACCTCTCCCGTGATGATAATGTCGGTGACGCCACTAGTTCTTTCCTCACAAACTTCCTCATAATCATCGTCTGTTTCATACTGTGAATCCTCGCTTACGGCCGGCAATTCACAACGCCATTCGGGGCTCATCTTGGACGGTCTGGAGTAGGGGTTTTCGCGGTCAGCATGGTATGTTTCATATCGTACGGTCTTTCCCGTCTCCAGATCATGTAATGTCAAGTTATCCTATTTGTGGTGGTTTTTAATGCTGCACACGAGACCAAACGTGGAAAACTTACAGTTCCATGTTTAATTTCCAGTCGACGGGGCAACCAAACGTTGAGGACATCCTCGCCCCACCCATGAGCTTCAGCAGGTGCAGAAATGGGTTCATCGGGGATTAAACAGTGATGCTCTTTGAACACACAAGATATGCGCTCGTGTGCCCAAGTAACGCCCTGTACCGAGGGTCGGCGATTAGGCATGTTGGCTTCAATGTGAGCCTGCAGATATGGAATCTGATGCGGCAGGGTATGATTAACTTGCCGGGCGATAATATGGCCGCACACGTACCAAAGCACGACCATTCCAGTGTCCAGTTAATGATCCAAGATGGTAGAAGATTCCTCGGAGTGGTCGATCCACAGCCCACGGATCATAGCATGATACAATTCGGAACCATTCACTATCAAGACGCTCACTGCCAAGGCCGTTATAGTCGCCGAAAAATCTTGTGCGAGTGTGAAAGTGAAAGTCTATTATGTCTTCCTGTGTAAGCCGCGGAAGAGACAATCCCATTGCAGCAGCCTGCGCCCTCGTCTCGGGAAGCTGCGCTACTGCGGATGGCAATGGATTGTTATCTAAACGCACCTCCAACCTGACCACATAGTTCAGTAGGGCAGCTGGTATTAAAGGCGGTGCAGCAAGCCGAATTTTTCGACCATAGTGTACAAAATCGCGGGCGATGGGAAGCGGCAGACCTGTCGTACATGGGATTGCAACCTCAGTTTCTGCACAAAGAGGCAGATAGAAGAACGCATCAGGAGCGTACGCAGATGAGAACTGCACGTAATGTTACACGTGGCACTCAGGGACAAATAACGAATTATAATACGCACTCGATGTCCTTGGACAAGGAAAGGCTCAAGCCTAGTCAACATTTTGTTGCGTACTCTGGGGTCTTCATTCTTGACGCTCCCTGATGGAAATGTCAGAATATATGGAAGAGTTGGTATTCCAGCAGCTGACCTTCGCTACTGCTCATCCAGAGGAGCCAAAGGATCAATGAGGTGCCTTCGTTATCGTTAACCCAAGAGAGCGGATGCTCTCGAGGAACTTGGCATTTGTCTTCAATGACATTTGCTAACCATATCGGAAGCTCTGCCCAGAGACACAGCTGGGCCGAGTTTTTACCATCGTTTTCGAGCAACATGAGATAGACTGCCCAAAGGTCCTCCTGAAGATGGGTAGAATTTTCTGCATTCTGATGACGCATACGAGTCAGTATGATACTGCGCTTGCGAAGCTCCTCAGACAAGCACTCGACAGTAGTGCGTCCCCATGACAGACGACGTATGACTGCAGCTGAGTCGAATTTTTGACAAAAAATCTGAGAATATAGATGATTGTTATCGCGAAACCTGAGCGACGCATTGATAGTGCGAGAAGTGCACAAGAGAGGGACCAATTCCGACGGTGGTCCAATGAACCGACTTGTGACGAAGTAAAATGCGATACGTTCGAGTATGGGAACATCAAGCAGTTCAAATGGAGACAAGGAGCAAAGAGAAGCGGAAGGTCCTGCGAGCATGCGTTGAGCTAGCATGTTGGGTGAATGTGCTGTTCGAGTGGGCACTCGGGAATCGCAGAAGAAGGGTATTTGAGTGTTTCATCTCAGATACCGGCGCCAATGGCCAGATACTTAAAGGTGATAAATCGACGTACAATGTGTGATCGCCGCGTACTTCGCATCTCTTCCCCGGCTGTGGTGGGAGTCCGTCCTAATGACCACATCATTACGAGAACACCGACAAACAGTTCCTGGAAATAGGATGGCGTCACGAGCAGGAAACATCAAAACGAGAAAATAATCGGATATCACGTCTGACCAACGGTCTTTTCATTTCAGGACTCTCTCTACGTGTATTGATATGGTGGCCCATCAGCGCCAACGAAAATCTGGAGAGATCTGGAGGCGGAGCCAAGTGAGATTGGCCTGAGATACACTGCAAAGCGGACCGTTTCGGGGGGCATGTGTCTCCCAAATAAGGCGGCGTCCTTCCTCGAACTCTTCCCAACGGGTACCTGCAGACAGCTCATTCTGATCCAAATGACTCCACATGGTTTGGTTCTCTAGAGCTCTATTGTTTAAGTGGTTGAAGTGGTGAGCAAGCCTACTAAGTTGATGTTCATTTGAGGCTGAACCGAAGGCAACTGAACAATGACTCGGAAACTAGCGTTCTGATTGGTGGAAATTCCGTGGAAATTCCCGGCTCAAATTGAGTTTGGAGCACTGGCCACGCGCGGCTTTCTGAACGTTTTGATTTTCAGATGCGTTCTCCCTTCTACCGGCCCCGGCGATGCCAGCAGTGTACCGCAGTTTCTGAGCAACGTGTCAAATGATTTATCTGATCAACTTTAGACCGACTCGTTCACCGCGCACCAATCCACGTTTTCGCATCTGTCCGAAGGATTGAATACCTCATTGCCCTACTAGTCAATCATTGTCATATCAATTGGTGCCGTTTTCGTTATTATCTCCTGCGCTACTAGTAGTATCTGAGTCTGATCCGAGCTCGATCACAGTTCACGAGTGTGCGGCTGCCCGGCCTCTCATAACTATTAGTTCATATCCGCGTAAATTGCCCGCGCCCGCGGGCATCGATTCTTTGTGATCCACGGCAAGCGACTTCGTCGCGGGTAAGTACCAGAGGTCCTACTATGTATGCTTAGTATGCTCGCTCACGCGTTTCCATAGGGAACTGACGTTGCGGCATAGACCAAGACGTAAAAGTTGGCATAGGTGGCAAGGGATGAGTATAGTAGGTTACCTGTGATGCGCCCTCAATAATAACATCCGCATGCGACACTGCATCCTGGCGAATTTGGAATTCAGGTGGTGACCCAAATACCCTCATTGTCCCTAGTGCCGCGTTTGAACGAATTTTTTTTTTGACAAATGCCGTTTACGTGTGGCGTTGCCCTATGCAGGGCCTCTGTGGGCTCAGTATGGGTTCGTTGTATGATATCGTTTACATGTGTAAAAAATGTCCAGGCGCTCGTCTCATACCGGAAGGGTTAAAGCTGACCTGGCGTTCGGAACTGTGAGCTCTTTCACAGGTTCGCTGGGCTTGCGCTGGTTCGATTGAACAGTCTGTACCCGTGTGGATGGCTATTTGATGAATGATATCAGATATCAGTTCGCCGTCCGCATTGATCCTCTCAAAATCATACACAGCATAACTATATACACTTGCGCTATTGTTGGTCGAGGTTTGAGTTCGAGGCTGTTCCAGGGCACACCGATAGACAGATGTTCCACAACAAAAATAAAGTCCAATGACAAGTCCCGAGATGGTATGGTAGGAGCCACTCGTTCTTCATGAATAGGTCACCTGCATAGGCTTCCACGAGTGACGGAATCGACTGCGGACCTCGAGTCAAAGGTTCCTTCGTCCGTGATCGCGTTGGATATCATATCACGTACCATTTAGGCTTGCTCACTATTGAATGGATTAGGGAAACATGTTCTGGGTAGACTTACTCTTGACTACTTCATCAGATCTCTCATAGCCTCAGTAAGATCTCGAATGAACCACTGGGAGGGTGATCGGCGACTTCCAATGTGGCGATTGACCCCTGTTGTTGCATATTCAATAAGAACAAACGTGACCTTAGGGGTGGTATCGCGACGATATGACTCACCATCAGGAAGCTCAGGAACGATCTACGCGTGTGATCAAGCATTTTGCTTTAAAAATTGCATCAAAAGCCCACCGCAAACATTGTTGACATCTAAGACCGTCTTTGATGAGGAATATCTGTCAGTGGCAAATGACATCGGGATAAGCCGTAAAGAGGCGGGTGAGCGTACTCTTGGTTTCCACAATCGTATCCGGTGTATGCCCCAAGATGGTATAGTATGTCCATGGCGCAACTGCTTGCTAGACAGGATGGGAACCGTCACTCTAATCATCAAGACTCGACAAGAAACCATGACATCTGATATCACGCGGAGCTTCCTTCCTCCACACTCCTGATAGCGTGGGTGCCTGCCTCGAGGAGCCTCGAGGCCAACGAACTTTTTGTTGGCACTTTTCATCCAAAACGAGCGCCAATCGATCAGCCAAACCAGTGTGGATTAAAGCGCGAGGCAAATGGGCTTTGAGAAGTGATGTCAGGGTGAATGAACTGAACGTTCAGCAGGAAGAGCACTGCTGAAAGATAGACCGTGACGTCCATTCCATTGCGTCAGGATACAATCGGTTTTCGTAAATGGAATATTTCGCGTACAGCTGGCGATTGTCAGATATATCCTGTCGAATTCTCAGACAGATAAACTCGGCGGGGAAATACACAAAGCCAGACAGCTGGACAAAGCAAGTAGAACCAGTAGTTCGGATCCTAGTAGGATGCCGAAGATTTGGCTGGCGCTCAAGTTCCGAGTAGTGAAATTGAACGGAGCGCCCAAAGTGCACTAGGACAAACGAAGAATGGATGTTAACAGGGTTTGCTGCCATCCCCAGGGAAAATCCGGCAGGGTGGACTAAAACGGACAGACTGACAGGCCAATGAGCATAACGAGGAGCGAGCCACGCACCTGTGCATCAAATCAGGCTTCAGATCTTGAATTCCGAGTAGGGATCACTGGATCCGGTGACGTGAAGTTCGAGGCACCTCTGGAAAGCCAAAATGCAAACAATAATACCGGAACACGATCCGTGAATGATGTCAACGAAGTTTGCATCGTCTCCAGGGAAGCTTAGATAAGAGACAACATGCCGTCTTTCATGGTGGGCTGGCAGGAACGGGCATAACGACAGCGAGTCACATACCTGTTTACACGATTAAATTGTTGTGAGAGTAAGTTAGATCCGGTTCGAGGCACACTCGTGAAGGCAGAATTTCAACAAGCCTCGTAGGACACTTGTCCGTGCAGCGTGGCACATTATACGACTCCCTGCTGTTATCGGTGCTTCTTCGGGTTCCGCGTTATAGCACTGTCGAGACACGAGGCATAAGTTGCACTCGTGCAGTGACTGATGGGACTAATATCATGTTGAGATGAGCAGGGACCAATCGGTCCTGTCAACTAGCACTTAAGGACCCTCCGCAACTTTGCCATAGGAGCACATGATCGGAGAAGGAGGACAATGTTTCATTATCCTCAGAGTACAGCTTTGTGGTGATGAACGCCGCCATCATGGCTCGCAAGCGTTATGTTTACTAAAGTCAACAAAAGATCCGTCACACTGTGAGCCCAACTAGCGTCTTACCTCAGATTTGAATAAGTTACTCTGATGACCGCCCCCTTGGTGAGATTGATGACCGATTGCTAGAAATGACTTTGCTTACGTTCGATTTTTCATGTGCATTTGAAACGCTAACACACACACATGTTTGTCCTTTGAATACAGCCTCATGATGCCTCAGCAGGGTCTGCGCACCAATGGCAATAGGGGCCACACACCTTCCTCTACCATTTGGACTCCGCGTCGTTGGCCCCTTCTTTGAGTGCGATGTGATTCACATTCGGGTTTGTTATCATTCGTTTCTTGGATGCTGATGTACGACACGGTACGAAACCCGCTCTTTAACGGCAGTGCCCACGACGCTAGCACAGGCCGGTCCTTCACAGGGAGTCAAAACTTAAGTTGACTGTTTGTCGCCCAGTAATTTGATCACGGGATGGTTGGATCCCGTTCCTTGGATCGAAACGGCACGAACCTCACTCTTTAAAGGCAGTGCACACGACACAGACACAGGGCCGACCCTCTGCAGGGAGTCAGAACACGAGTGAGCTGTTTGTCGCATTTCTTCCCCAGAGACTTGATCACGGGGTTGTCGACACTCCCTCCTACGGTTAAAGTGTGATATCGCGTTTCCCAGAAAGGAAGAATTTTGGTGCGAGCCACAAGTGGATGAACGTCTATCTTAAGTGGCAAGTAGTTGGAAGGTAGTCAAGTGACACGAAGTGCTGATTGATGACCCAGCTCGCTGCCTGGTATACCTGCGAGCTGTGGATTCTTGGTCACTCAGGCTCAGTCAGCTCGTGGCAAGCATAATCGTTACAAAACCGTGGAATGAGTATTTTCTCATCTAATAATCAAATGAGCTATGGCACCAGACCAAGATATTCAGGTGTACGCACAGCTGGTCATTGCCATTGCCAATTTCCCTGCATAGGCTCTCCTCTTTTGCACCGGTGTTGAATCAACACAGGGTGACAACATGACACTTTGGAGATAGTGTTCGCATACGGAATTTATGAGAATCAACAGGAGTTCTCCATCAAAAGCGTTTATATGGTTCACACACGAAAAAAATGGCAAACAAAATTGATAGACTGATATAACTCTACAGAAGACGGGGCAACGACATACAAACAGGGCGACTGAAACCTGGAAAGATCATCAGCATTGGAGATTAAAATGGGAACAATGCACGCTGCGCCGTGCGAAAGATCAGACATCCTGGAAGGACTGCATACCCTCATCGCGTCGACCCCCACCTCCCGTTCAGCGCACCACAAGGACGGCCCACGCTCGACTGTGCTTTTGGGTTCACACAGCGAGGGGGAATATAAACGTTCGGTATTGGGGGAGTACTCCTGGCGGAGGGCGCTAAAGTGGAAACTGCGAATAACGGAAAATTTTCATCGTGCAAGGATAGACGCAGCGATACAAAGTTTGAAAGTAGATTGATTCTCACCTTAAGAGAACGCGACGCGTTGAACGACGACGACCTAAAAAGGGCTGAAGAATTGGTCAGAACAGAACATTTAAAACGAGTAGATCAAGGTAAAAAGAATCAGACAAAATGGCACTGGCAAGTACACTGTGCGCTCCGGAGAACGCGTGTTCGTTGCGAACGAACAGCTCTATTCCTCGGCATGGTCGTGTAGGACGGGGAAGAGAATAAAGTCATCCTTTGGATAAGAAAAACGACAGACACAATACTTACAGAACATGAGGCAGATGAAGAAAAGAAAAAGATCAGCCACAAGAAGAATTTATACACCGCCACAGTTTGGCATTTGTTTGGCAATGGCCCGTGCACCCATGAGCTTATGTAACCCATATATGCTTTGTGAACAGTGGCACCGATGGCCTTAACTTAGAACGACGACAAAGTCCATCAAGTCTTTAACATTACCGTTTCAGATGTCCCTAGCAGAGGTTGAACGCCCAGTACCTGCTATTCCAGAGCAACGGGACCGTGAATCCCCTGAAATCATCGACGTTGACCTCTTCGATGTGGAGGAGGCAGCTCGAATCGGATCGAGACCACCTACTCGCAGAAGAAGGGTATCGGAGAGTGGTCGTTCTGTGGCAGTCGAGCCAGAGATTATAATAATAAACGACAGCGATGATGAGGATGTACAGTTTGTTAGTTCCAGGCCTGCTCCCAGACCTCACAGTAAGTCCCACACATCTATTTCAGCATGTCTTCCTGAACGATTGTTAGGAGCGCGCATTTTTTCACCATCGCCTCCGCCACAAATTGCTGCGATACCACCAGTTCCGCAGATACCGCGTAGGTTTATACCTATGCGAAGAAGACCACCCCCATTTCCCACCGCCCCTGGGTTGGTGATTCCCAACGCCGAGCCTTTTCCATTTGAAACGAACATCAGACTTACCCCTGCGCCCATCGAGCGTCCTCCAGCACCTGGTCCTGCCGCGGCGCCATCTCATCACGTTCCTGTGATGGGTTTCGGCGGCGCACTGCTTCACCGCGCGAGAGCAGCTTTTGAGCAACCCCCCGCACGATCACATAATCACGAGCGCCGCCGCCGAATCTTCGGCATCCCAGCGGATGTGTTCATGCAGTGGAACCCTCTAGACTTCTTTGGTCATGAAGAAGACGAACTCTATGATGATGATGGCTTCCGTCACTATCGAGCTGCAGATTTTCATGATGAGCCTGGTGACCGGCTGATGCGAGGTGATCTCCGCCTTTTCAACGCTCACACCCCAGGGCGGCCTTCAGAACCTGATTATAAACCGGAGTATACTCATCCTGTGAAGCCTCCATCTGGCTTTACGCATGACTTCGAGTTATCATCTATGACACCTGCGCGCGTTATCGACATCGATAGCTCCGGTTCCTCCAGCTCAAGTAGTAACCGTTCTGGCGAGACTATGCTCACCTGTCCTCGGTGTCATGACCCATTGATGCTAGGAGCTGCGGATGTTGCTGAGGACAGAGCAAAAAGAAGACTGTGGGGTTTAAGATGTGGTCATCTTTTGGACGGAAAATGCGTGGAGGAATTGATGAAGCCGACGCCTCTCGTTCCTCCGCACTCGCTGGACACTGCTGACGTGAAAGGCAAGGGCAAAGCAAAGGAGGAAGACGAACTCGAGTTACCTGGTGCCTACCTCACCCGCTCTGTGAAAGGTAAAGGCAAGGAGACAGATGGCAATATGTTTAACATCTTCTGTGAACCTGATTTCTCCTCTATCCGCTCACGGCTTCGTCCCCGTCCCCCCCTTCCGTCTCACCCGTCTGGACCTTTGCCCGCTGGTCCTGGCCCATCTCGCGCGCGAGCTAGAGCTGCCCCTCGCCCGCCCGTAAAAGCGAAGGCCAATGGGAAGGGTCGAACCAAGGTTCCCAATATAGAAGCTGAATATGAATGGACTTGTCCTGTTGGCGGATGTGGGCGCGTTCATGTGAGCCAGCTCATGGACGGGCAGTGGGTCATGGACGAGAGGAGAGGAGCTATCACTGTCTTCGTATGATACAAGGCAGTCCCCAAGCTGTGAGTTCGAATTATGCCTTCTCGTCTGTCGATGCTCACTCCATCTCGACAGCATTAGCGAATTATATACCATGACACGCGCATATTCCCACTCATGGACTCATCGGTCCAGCATTACAATTTGGATTCGCACCCATCAAATTGCATATTTATTCTCACCTGTACAGGTTGTCCCGTCCTCGGATGTTCGAAGCAGGTGCGTGCATCTCTTAAACCATTTGTGGGATTAAGCTTTGCCACGAGGTGTTCGGGTAAGCACTTCCAATTTTAAGGGTATCGCTTTCTCTGCTTTCTCGAACCACTTTGGTACTCATCAATGAAAGAGTACCAACCGACTGAGCCGCATGCAGATAAATTTAGCAATTTCAACACCATGTAGTCACTTTACCGTTCGACTGCATAGTAGGGGGCGACCTAGTCTTGGTGGCTGTTCAGTGTTTGCATTACGTCAGACATGCGTGACCTGGCATGCCTTTTGCGCGTTGAGCTTTCCGAGGCTTGGTGGAGGCCACGATGTCGCTCGGAAAGGCCGTCAAGCACGCTCCAAACACATGCTTTAGAACGATCAGCGACCACGGTTTCAGTCGCATGATCGATATGTCTGTACTCGCTTCACTGATGCCTTGATAAATGCAACCTCTCCGTGCCGCACTCGTGCTTGTGATTCAGACTAATTGTTCAGCTTGTTCAGACGTCGGCCTCGTGGACTTGGTTTTTTAAGTAAAGCTCTAGAGTTTCAGATACCCCGCTTGCTCCCGCGCACATTCGAGATCACACTAGCGACGATATCTCAAACTGTACATGGCCCTCGATCCCCTTTGCATGGACCCATCAGCAACTCCGCGACGTTATCTTCGTAGGGATTGGAAACGAAATAAGCCCGTGAGTTGCATTCATGTATCGATGAGGATCATGATCACTCATCGTGAATCTGTGCTCACCAGCACTTGCATGCATCCGATTCGCTACCTTCACTGCACCTCTGTCCGAACCGGCCCCTCTTTGTCTGTGCACGATGTGGCTTTTCCAATGCGCTCATACCTATGTGTCTCTGGTGTACATGGAGTTCCGCGGTGGCAAAGAAAGAGTTCGAGGAGAAGTTGCCGAGGCCGCGAAGAATGACTGCACCATCTAAGACTACATCTCAATTGAGAGGCACAAGTGAGCGAACGAAAGTCAAGTGCATACCAAAGAGGATCTCGGCTGATTCCACAATATCGAGCGCTGGTCCTGTGACTCCTCAGGGTGACCTCATGTTCTGCGTGGAAAGCCTTCAGGTACCCGGAATTACGGCAGTATTGGACTCGTGTGACAGCGAGCTCGCTTGTTCACGCAAGCTTGGTGTTGCACGAATAGTTGTGGATGATATTCCCAATGACAAAGTCGATTCCCAAGGAGATGGCGGCGGCATACTCCACGACGTCACCACAGCAACACCGATTTTGGTAAATATTGCATGCCGTTTGATACCTCATAGAACCAGGGTTGTATTACTGACCCTTTTGTTTATTTATTTTGCGCAGCCATTGTGCCCTTCAACGGCTCCCACCAGCACGAAGCAGGTGCTTCTGGATGGACCATACAAACACGAAACCGTGAAGAAACAGTCGATACGATATCGTCGAAAACTACCCGCTCTTTTTCTTGCGACGTCATCGTCCGCGCACGCACACGACACTCCTCACGACTTGCCACGCAAATCACTCATGATACAAGAAACGACTTCACGCTCGAACACTAGTTCCGTTTTGATCGATGCACCTCACGCCGCTGGCGGCGATGTATGCCCTGATAGTGTCTCTCACGTTCGCGCTCTTTCCTTAGCATCCGTCGTATCACTTTCAGACTCCTCACAATGTTGCCCGAAACTACGGAGGAAGAAAGGCATACCATCACTCAAGCGCATGTCATCGCTCTCATGTCGGTCAAGATCACAACAGTCTTCCCCCGCCATTGATGATCGTACTGAATCACCTGCGCCATATCCAGTGCATGTAGCACCAACACCCTCTCCTGCGCCTTCGACTGCTATCAGCGCAGAACCTCCCGTCCGAATCGGCCACCCTAGCCGGCCGTATTATACTGCCATTAGGAAGAACATGTCTCGACCCAGTACCGCTGGGCATCCTAGCTCCCTGGCACGCACGCCCTCCCCCATTCCATCTGATTACGATTATTCACCACGCGCCACGAAATCTCTTGACTGCGGGGAGCGTATACCAGTGCAATTCGGCCGAGATTCACGGCCCATGTCGATGGTTCTCCCTGGACAAGCGGTACCTGTGAACCTGTTCTCTGGGTTCTCGTTAAGCGGCGAGACGGAGATGCGGATGAACTTGGCGAGATGGCGAAAGGAAGATGGTCCTGATGAGCCAGGGGACTACCTATTCAAGGAGACAGGTTACCGCGGGAAAGGGATAAAGGGCAGGGTAAGGAAGCTCGGGAAGGGCTTGCGAGATCTAGTGCTCGGCAGGTCGTGATGTATGTACGAACAGCTGTAAGAACAAATCATGCCACGATATATGTACCCATCCTGCATACCCATTACCCGGCTTGTCTCGCTTGTGTCCAGCTTGTAGAACTTAGAAGAGACCCGTCAAAGAGCACAGCCTGAGCGCTTGAGCAGCTGGACACGTGCCAGTGGTTGTTTTTTTTATTCATGTGATCTGGGGAAGCGACACGAATAGAACTGAAACCACTTGATCGCGATCAATCATCAATGAAGCATAGAAGACCAATTGTTCCTGTTATCCGTAAGAGCTGCTCCGTTTCAGATGAGTACGAGAGTGTGCTTCCCAGGTGTTTTTCACTGGGTTTCCGTAAGCTTCCAAGTCCGTCAGACTCCGTCTTACCGGCATTTCCAAGTGCTTGCAACTCCTTGAATGCACACGGTTGTGCCACGGCGACTCCTTGCACAGCCTAGCTACCGTTAATACTGCTCTCTCAGCCAATTTTGTTCCCTGTATTTCCTGTGCAATAGCTTGCAACTTCCCAGCATCAACTTGTCACGATTTATATCATCCCCATCATGATTGAACCGAGGATCTTCGATCAGAATGACGAACACCTTGATGCGTCGGAACCGCCCAAGACCCATCTTTTACATCCACCAGTGTTGCGAATCAACACCAATACAATATCGGACACGAAACATGTTTTGCGTGTAGGTAATGATCAACTAAATAAAAACCCTTTGATTCACTTCACTTTCACTGCCAGGAGCGTACCAATACCACAGTGGCACCAAAGGACACCATTTCTCCAGATATATCGGCTAACGTATACTAGTACGTGTTATTCACGTTGCGCACAAACCGCATCTGAACAGTACATTGCTGCAACGCTTAGCACACCTAATTCTAGCCGTGTATGCGGCAGGCCCAGTCCCATCATGAAGCCTAACCGCTCCAATAGGGCTACTTCTATATGTGGATCCCCTACGGACTCTTTACGTCGCCAACGACGCTACTCCATAGCGGAACAGGCCTTGGAGTATGCACTTAAGAGATGCGCAAGCGAACGGTCACCTCGAGAACTTCAGATTCTTGCTTTGGAAAAGGCGAAAACTGCGCTGAGTACACGTGCGAATGAATCCAGGGACCGTGCTGCCAAGTTAAGGGTTTGTCTCGCGGATAGAGAGGTCGATCCCGAGAGCTACGCAGCCCTGCAATCGGATCGCTGGATGGAAGAACGACGGCAGTTTGAAGCAGACCGTGAGGTTTGCCAATTGAGTCAGCATTTGGCTTCACTCAAGTTGAAGGGGGGCGTGCCGGAGCAAGGAAGGTTTGACGAGAATCTTCCAGTTACACCCCTCGACAACGAGGCGAGACGCCGGGCTAATCTTGTTAGATTTTTCGAACGATCCCCCACGAGGACATCATTTCACATCCGCCATAAGTGCAGGCCTTTTTTCGTCGACTGCACCTTCTCACGCCGGATAACCATGAGCGACATTTCACCCCTTCGACTCCGTCCGTCAACCAGTGCCATTCGGAGGTTCACAACACAGAATGCCCGTCCAAAATCAATTGGTGATGAGCCATCTGTTCTTCCTAGACACTCCAGCAAACAACGGGTCGCAAGCGGGCCATCTAGACCCTCCTCACTAGTTAGACATATGGGTTCTTTCAATGCCGAAAAAAGTTCATCTTTGTCGCATTTATCAACCCCTTCATCTCGCTTGCTCTCATTTAATGAACTCGCTGATGACGTGACGACTTCCACACGGCCATCGACTCCTCCATTATCCATTGCATCGACGTCTTCAAATGGGGCATCACATGTATCACGTGTGCCATCAGAGACGCCACCACAAGCGCCTTCGGGAGGCGTGGCGACGATTTACGCAACTTCCTCGCCACGCTCGCATATGGAAATCCTTGCAGAATTAGACGAGGACTCGGTCCGCGTGCCTGAGTACGCTGTGAACCTATTAGAGGGGTTCGATCTCATTCACCACGATATCACTCTTCCAGAGAGAAATCTCTCCTTAAAGCCGAGGGAGGAGGAGCCCGCAGCAGAAGTACCCCGTCCATCGGAGGAATCGGACACAGGGCCTTATACGTCATTCGCTCTCCCTCCGTTCCAACCGGACCCATTGTGGTCCCACACATCACTCAATGCGCCTTCCACACCCCGATCGCACGTACCAACACTGCATCCTCTTTCTTCTGGATCATCAACGCCCTCAGGCTTGAGCACGCCGACGGGGACGCGGCCCCCTGCTCCGCCCTCACGGCCACACTCGCTCCTGTTTCTCATGCGGAAGCGCAAGGACTTGCAGTACAGCCCAGCATCATCAACATCGTCAATGCTAGACAGGGACAGTGCGCGGGGATCGAAGCGGCGATTTATGTTGTTCGCGAGGAAGTAGACGGACATGATGCGCGTTTTGGACTTGATCTGCATGTATTTACGGAATTGCGCAATTTTTTTTTTCAAGCGAATCACATTTGGTGCCTGTGAAGTAGGGCGGCTACGGATGGACCCGTGGCACAGTGGTAGCGCGTGAGATTCCAGAGCTTTGGCTTGTATCCTCAAGGTCATCCGTTCAATCCGGGTCGGGTTCACATTTTTTGCATCAGGGAACAACGTTGTCGGAGGTGAGCGGCTTTGCATGTCACATCTACTACATTACATAGATGAATGCTCTGATCCCATCATGGAAGGGCTCTATATACAATAGGAAGCCGCTGCGTAGTGATATGTTGCAAAGCCTGCTGTCATGACTGAGGTTCAGCCATGTCCCAAGTTGTCTATATTACCGCCTGCTGGTTCACGTTGATAAGTATTGATGCATGGGCCTGCTGTCTGTATCCTCACCCATCACACCTGCTTCGAAAGCTTGCTTTATTCGATCGACTCAGACGACCCCCGGGCCCCGGCGCTGAGTGAGCGGTCAAGGAACGGTCGAAGAAATCTCGCGAATTGAACAATAGATATACAATAACATTTTGCCGCCTGGTTAAGGGGTGCAGTTCTTATTATCAGCCACGTATATGGATACCCAAGGATACCATGCATATGCATCGTAGATCGCCTCTACACACAAAAGAAATGGTTGCATGCACAGTACTCCAAAGCAACTGCCACGACCCAGTTTTGGCTGTATTGCTTCGTTGGCCCATCGCCGCCAATACCATACCAAATAGCCACGCTGTCTGTATCCCGTCGTTGCGGTCGTTGTTCGAAAGTCGATATATCCTGCTTGTTTCTCCGACTCGTCGAGACCCCAGTACTGAGAGCTGTGAGAGTAATTAATGGGTCAAGAAGAATGTCGGAAGAAATCTAGCGAACTATTATAAATTTAGTATCCCCGCCGGCCACAGTTTGCTTTATCAAAACATCCCTAAATGTCTGAAAATTCAGGAACTTTGATTGACCACCATCGATTGCAGTAATGAACCTGCGGGGGAAGCTCCCGCTCGTGCATTTTACGCCGTTCACCTAATTATAGGTCGCTTATCGCCGGCGTGTCTGAGATAGACCAGACGGGTACCTAAGTATGATATTCATCTCACTTACAGCTCATCGGAATTGTCCTGTCAGTTCACATCTGCCGTCATTCTGCAGGTTCTCGTGTTTCTCGGTCCCCTTTGGACACTTTCGAATGGATACGGTATCGGATTTTTATATATAGCAGCAGCTCGAGTGCTCACCTTGAGTACACGTTTGGTCTGTTGGTTATTTGGTTGAGATGAAATCCGCGTTCTAGGGCGCATCCTAAATTGATGGGCCTGGTTTGCGATCAATCAACTCACACCGACAAGTCTCTGATACGTAGGTATTGATTATTCCCGAAGCTGACGTATGGAATCAAGGAGCGCTCAAAAGGACAGCTCGAATTAGCTGTAGTCATATGGTGTACCTTGGATATTCAAATATTCCTTACTTAAGGTTGCATTGCAGATGGATGATGGAGCTCACCTGTAAAGCGGACTGGCATCGCCCATATCTTGGAATTCGTATCCTCTATCATCGGTAATGTTTTCTGCCAGACACTGCGCTTCTTTCTTTTTGTTCAGCCGATTGTAGTCCCACATAGCAAAGAGGCTCGTTACGATTCTGTTACAAATTGTATTAGTATGTTGCAGTTCGGAAGACCACCGAGACATACGAAAGAGAAAGGAATCCCATGATGGTGCCATGCCCAATGTGGAAACGTGGCGGATCAATATAAATAAAGGAGGAGCAAATACTGAGACTAGTATGAGCAGATGAACATTGCGTATTTATGGTAACACGACGTACCCTCCGAGATTACCAAAACCAATGACCATTGCTAGTACAACTCCACGCTTTAAGTCGCCTCCTGCATTCGAGCCCGCCCAAGCCAGAGCAATTGCGACGGTCGGAAAATTTCCCGCAGCGGCCAGACAAGCTCCAACGTACGACGGGCCCGCTTGTACGCTGCAATATAGCAAGATGTATCCAACAAGAGACACAAGCGCACCGCCAATGATGAACGGCCCACGAAGATTGTACTTGTCAGAATAAATGCCAAATATGATTGTTGCAATACAACCAGCAACAAATGGCGGGACTGAGAGTAGCTGGGCATTCGCAGCAGAGTACCCAAGCTCGTCAATGATGGTTGGCGAAAAGAGGGCAATGGCATAACCAGGGACGAGTAACCTGATGATGAACTCAGATATTGCACGCGAGATGACAGGAGGACTGAGTACCCCAAATAAATGATAATTTGGACGTAGGTCTTGTAATCTTTTATGGCTTGCCAGATGAATTGAGTGTCGAAGCGAGAGGAAAGATGACTCGAATCCTGTTTGAGAATATTTATGATGCATGATCTCTCTGGCTCGGTCAAAAATTTGGCCGTTTCAGGATACTAAATAGTCTAAATCAGCACACGAAAGGCTGTGAAAGGCCCAACACAACTGCGAACTTACATCATGCATATAGAAAAAAGAGAAAGTCGCAACGAGAACAGTGGCTGATTGAAGTCTAAGATGAGCATCCGAATCGCCTCAGATCTGGCACGACTGACCCAGGCCTTCCAAACAGAACTAGCAGAGGACATAAATCAGTGAATGCTCGGGTTGAAAACATGCAAACATACAATCCATTGCCAACCATGCAATCCTCCGACCCTGATTGGCGAATCAGGTGACGGCTGATAAGGAAAACAACTTGCTTACCCTTCCATCCGCTCGATGCCATACCTGTATGTATGAACATGAAGGTCAATGACGGGTTGATGGGAAAATAAAGCGACTTACGCAAGGAGCCCACCAAAGGCGCCTACAATCAAAGAGAAGTTTAAGCAAAGATAGATTCCAACGCATATCAAAATATTGCATACCTGACATTGATGCTGCAGAGAAGAATATAGCAATGCGTTTCGACCGCTCCGAACGTGGATACCAAAGGCAGATGTAGTAATTTACTCCAGGAAATAACCCTGCTTCTGTAAAACCGAGGAACACTCGGGCTCTGCCGTTATGTTGTTATGGTGTCCGTCTCCACTATACAAATACACTCCACGTACACAACGAGAGATTGGTACGATTTGACGAGACACATAAGGGTCATCACAATACCCCACGCGACCATGATAGACGGTACTGGATAAATATTAGGTGGCGAGAAAAAAGGCAGAGGTAAGCGTACTCCAGCGTGATGGCCTGAATAGCTTGAGTGCGATGTTCCTATACAGGCACTGAGTACAGACTCCCTACTCTTAATGCCATACATACGAGGGGACCTCAGCAAAGCTGTACGGGATCTAGAGTAATTTAGCAACTGATGGAACATGCGTGGTACATGACGCACAAAAAAGACAGCTGCAGCGATATTGTACCTGAAGCCGGTCAAGTTCAGGTCTGTGGCCATTCCAGCAACCTTCGCGTTTCCTGGTGATGGTCTTAGCCGGTGATCGACAGGAAGTATGCGCTAGATAACTTACCAACATTGGACCGGTCTCTGAAGGTGGCGTGAAATGTGAAGTAACATCAAACAGTACAGGCATACTCACAAGAACGACAAGAGGTAAAATACCGTCACGAAAGGTAACAAGTGCCAATCAATCTTGCGTAGAATGCGCGCTCGTTCTCTCGGATTCAGTACAATCTGCTTTTCGGAATTGGACTCGATGCTATCGTTGTGTAACGATCCCATGGTGTCCTAGGTGATGATAGTATGGCTTGAAAGGAGGGACTGATCGGATGGGCGCTTTGAAATCGTCCAGACGAGGGGAGTATTACAATAATATCAAAACGTCCCGAGCGTGCCGACAAGTGTGGGGATAGGTCAGGCCCGCCAGTCACCAACTTTTAAACCAATACCCCGGGCGCATAGAATAAATGTATATGGATGCAGCCGATCAAGTGCGGTGATACCCTAGCCAAGTGTCACGGTAGTACGGCATACCTACTTATGTAAAAGTCTTGTTAGAGACTGTTAACATGTGGTGCCCTGTGGGCCGTGTTGGAAGTTGATGTAAGATGTAGCCAAGACATTTGCGTTTGAGGTGGTTTTGTTGATGGGCCCGCAAGCGAGTGATGGCGTTGTTAGAGGCTTCGAGCGCCCCACAACATTTCCGCGCCGCAGCCTCTAAAAATACATTTGAAAGGGAATCTAAAGCGCTGTAGAACGCTCTAACCTAGTGAGGCCTAGTTTTGAAAGTGAACGTTAATTGAACCTACACCTGCCGTAACGACATACAGTGGTAATAACTATTGTGAGGACTTGGTGCATCCTGGCGAAGGTTCTGTGAGTACCGTGCATTTGGAGTATCGGGTTCGGCGTACTGATTTTACTTTACTTTGTAGTAGTCAAAGGGCCCTTTAACTCATCCGGCCCCTGAGGTTCTACCAAGAATGATACCTCAATCCTAGTCGTGTCTTAAGTACGCGCATGCCATCTCATTCCTGCTTTTGCGCTAGGGAAAACGGCAGCTTTGCTTGGGCCTTCAAAGCATCGGTACTCAGACAAAGGGGACTGGGTCAATTATTATGTCGTGAGATATGTCAACAACGACATGATGATGCGTTATCTGGGGACCAGCATTGGACACATGCGTTCTCCCGGGTTTCCGAACGAGACTCGATCGCTCCAAGTTGTTCGCGAAGATCGTTATGTGCCTCCTGCGACAAGCGGACAATTGGTGATGTCTCCGAAGAAGACTCTGACTTGTACGGATGTAGAGAATCTGATGGCGACAGCGAGGATGGTTCAAAGGAAAACTTTGACAAAAATGTATATGAATACTGATACACGATGTTAGACAGTAGTCGATGATTCCACAGGGTCCTTCAGCCACGTTTGAAAAACAACATCGTCTGCTGCGACGACGGGCATAGCATAAAACAAGCCAACAGAATCAAGTAAAGCCTGCGCAAGTACCCAGTTGTCCCAGTGTGATGACGAGGGCCGCGTCTTGGGCACATGACGCATCATCATCAAAAAGTGGGACTTGAGCATGGAGCACATAAGCGCATCTACTTTGAGCCACTGGTCGAGGGATCTGCGCTTCCGGCGGAGCTTGCCGTCCCTATACTGAAGACAGACCCAGACGAAAACCCAGACGAATGATTCACCATCGTACCGGTATACGTGCGTGACTTTGCTTTCCAGGGCTGATGGTGAGAGCAGGTCAATCGGCATGAAAGGTACTGTTCCTATGCGCTCATTGCCTCTGGGACAATCAGTTTGAATGGACGATAAGTCATAATCGTTGAGGACGCCTATTACACGACCGCATGAGGTACGGTAAAACCTGATATTGCTGGGGCTGATGTTACGGTGACAGACACCGCCTTCCCGGAGCATATAATGACCTAGAGTCGCAGTTAATGGACAATAGCCAAGACAGAAAGAAAGAACACCTACAAAGGACGATTTGCCATCATACATCACGAAACTCGGGCCCACTCAGGTTCGTGATTGGCTCAAGCTTCCTGAATAGTTGATGTAGAGGACCCGGCTGCTCTGCTGAACGTCTTTCATTCCTAAAGCCCTTCTGGTGTGGGCCGTGGATGTCTCATCAAACCTATGGAACCGGATCATGTCCGGGACATGACCTTTCACCCGCAAGTCGCTTTCAGCGATCGCATGCACTTTCGCCAGTGTCTCAGGTTCGCTTAGGCGCGCCTCTTCTGTCCAATAGAGCTTGGGAACCAATTCGGCCGATGTGTTATGAGCATTATCAGCGTCGGACGGTTGTGTATTAGGAGGAAGATCAGCGGCAGATGGATTGCGTGATGTGCTAGGAGTAGGGTCAGCGGCGGATGGTTCATTGGGACGCTCGCGTGCCTGGCTTTTTACTGGTCAGATGGTGGTTGCATCAACTTGCATGTCCGCACAGCCCGGAATGAGATGAGCACTCATCCGAGTCAGAGCTGGAATCAGATGTGAGGTCAACCTCGCCAAGTTTTGTATCGTCGAAATAGACAGGCTCAAACTTGAATAGAGGGTGAAAGCCCCTTTGCGTATATCGCATTCGCTGCATAACGAGGAGCAAGACGAGAAAGCGGGGAAGATCCTGATATATTTAGGTCGCCGATACAAACCAAAAGATTACATCCCCGGCGGATAACTCCAAGTAAATAGCATCAGGGAAGTGACGTGAAAATGGTAAAGTTTTGTCAAGCTTTACCTGATTTAAAATTTGTATAATATCTATCAAAATGATAGTTCACTAGAAAATGCTTTATATACCCGGAGTAAGTTGGATGAAAACTCCCAAAAGCACAATCATGATAGTCTACCTGCAATTACTTGCCATTTCTCACCAAACCGGCAAATGTTGCCAACACTTGGCAGCCATGACAAAGTTTGATACTATCATTCCCGGTTATATGCAAAACTTTCAGTAAATCTTTTGTAATTCCTCAACCACATCACATTTTCTTTTGAAAATTTGCACCATCATGTATTCGTATCTCCTCTACATAGATCTATTTTTAGGATAATGTGGTGTGGTGTCGGAGCAAACCCGATAAAACTCAGGGTCCACCTCTAATCTGCAAAAGTATGGTCACGTCTTGTCACGCCTCGGCACAGTAGCGGCACAGGTGACTTTCACTCTCCGAGCGCAGGCTTGAAACTTTGAACTTCTTGAAGCGTTGTGGATCGCGAAAGGCTCGAAAACGGTGGATACGGCAAATCATTGAGTACCATGGTTCATCTACTACTGACTATGATTGTAGTACTGGTGTTGCTGATAGCCTTCTGGATAAAATTGATGCCCTGCATACCTGTGCTGAGTCTGCACCATATCACCAACTCGGAAATCTGCGCTACTGCGACTCGCCGGTGCAAAGTGAGGGTGCGAAATACGTTGAGGCTGAGGTGCAGGATGCTGCATTGGATAATGTAGGGGTGCATACCCAGGTGGGGGAAATTCGTTTCTCGACATCGAGGGTTGAGGTGGAGGCTGAGGTTGGTATCCGAACGGCTCGCGAACTGGATTTGATGGGGGAATCGCGTCCTGCGGTAATTCCGCAGTGTTATCACCGTTATCGAGACGGCGCCTGCGAGAACGGGTAGGGTTGAATAAACCCTCATACCGTGGATTTTTCTTGAGGTCAGGGTTGCCGTCAAAGTGCTGGAGAATCCGCTGGAACACCTCAGCCTTGAGTCCAGTCTCAGGTAACCGCAAGGCTGCGGCTAAGTCGCGTAGCTCCTCCAGCTTCTTGGTCTTGATTGTGCCGGTGAATGCAGCTTGGGAACGCTCCTGTTCTGCTCGCCGATCTCGCTTTGGAATTTGTGGGCCTTTGAATGAGGTTTCGTAAGGTTCTGTGCACGTCGACGAAGGGTATGGTATGGCACGCTGAACTGGCCAGCTGCAGCTGAGAGGTTTTTAGCCCTCTTCTCTCCAACAGCTTGGATAGCAGCTTTGATGTTGGCCTCGCGAATGGCATCTTTTTCGGCTTTTGTCTGGACTGCTTGCCTGCGGTGTGGTGCCATTGGAGAGAATGATGCGACTCTGTGAGACTTGACTGCTGCAGAGGATAGATGCCGGATGTGCCGAGGAGGAGATTGAATTACTTACGCATCTCCCCTGTCTGGTGTCACGTTTTTGTACTCGTCGTTGATTCTACCACTGTAGCACCTCAACACAAGAGAGTAGCCTTTATCGAGTTGGTGTTCTTACATCTCTATAAGGTGTTAATTATGCTCCGGGTAAAATTTTGCGAATACCTTGGCAGGATCTTTGGGATCTGGGTGATTTGTGTTGGACCAAGGTTGCAAATTATCACTATTTCATCTCTCGCAGCTGCAACATCCAAGAAATTTTTATTCTACTTGTACAAAACATCATTTCTAGGTACTCTGCATACACCTGAATTTTTTCGACACCAGTTGAGCACGATGTTGAAGTGTTATAAAGTTTTGCATATCAGCAACCGTGTACATATTACCGGGAATGATAGTAATGTTGGGTGGCTTCAAACAAAAGCTAATTTTTCGACCTTTGTACACACATTTTATTCCAAAAAAAATTCATTTTGTAATTAAACAAACAAGATGTAAGTACATATATACTTATCTCGAGAAATTTACGGTGGCGCTCAGCCAAAAGGCCACGCGAGGTCACGTGACTTCGATCGATTACCTTTTTTGGTCGGGATTCGGTAACCTCGCAGGCACATGACCAGGTTCCTGTGACGGCGTGAGTTTGGGCTTAAAAATAGAAGTGAAAAACACGTGATGATGAAGATGAGTGGGGGAATGCGTTCCATTCAAATCCGACTAACACTGTATTCGATGCCAAACATCTCATTGGCCGGAAAACGGACGACTTGGAATTAAAGCGTGACATCAAACACTTTCCCTTCCAACATTCAAGTTGTTAGCAAGGGTGATAATCAGTTACAAGGGCGACACCATTCAGATCCGACTAACACTGTATTCAAAGCCAAACATCTCATTGGCCGGAAAACGGACAACTTGGAATTAAAGCGTGACATCAAACACTTTCCCTTCCAACATTCGAGTTGTTAGCAAGGGTGACAATCAGTTACAAGGGCGACACACTCCACAGAGGAGATCAGTGCTATGATTCTGACAAAGATGAAGGAGACTGCAGAGGCCTATCTCAGCGCAGAGGAGATCAGTGCTATGATTCTGACAAAGATGAAGGAGACCACAGAGGATATCAGTGCTATGATTCTGACAAAGATGAAGGAGACCGCAGAGGAGATCAGTGCTATGATTCTGACAAAGATGAAGGAGACTGCAGATCTGGCGTATCTCAGCACAGAGGAGATCAGCGCTATGATTCTGGCTCGTTCGAACGGATCGAACGCAGTGGATTGCAGATGCGGGAAGTAGCATGCGGACATGGTGTTAATGATGATGAGCAGTAAGGTAGAGGGCACGAGAGTACTATAGTAGTATTAGTAGTAGCAAGCAGCGAGAGATGAATGTATAGTATAGGTTGTTACAGTACTGGAGTCTGCAGCAGCAGACTCAAAGAAGCGAAGGATGGTGGAAAAAGAGGGCTGGTGTCACTTTCTGCGAGAAACACGCTCTCCTCGTGCAGTGCGCGCCTCGTTTATGGCTTTGAGGAGCTGTGTGTGCCCCAGTTTGGCCTCCGGATAAGATGCAAGGAAGTGGGCCTCGTTTGAATCATACCTGGAGCCGAAATCAATGGTGAGCAGTATGAACAAGACAGTATTTGCATGGGACTTACTCATTAATGAACTCCAGCGCGATTGTGGCCCTCTGATGGTACTTTGATGCGAACCGTCGGTTGGCGCCTTGGTACCATTCCTTTGGCCAATCCTTGAGTGGCGCTTACCAGTCCTCTGTCGGGATCGCCAACAAGCCAGTGTTCAACAATCTCCTTCCAGGACCTGCTCTTCGGGCTGGTAGTGCCGTTGGGACGAGATACTGGCACCCGAGGGATGACGAGGCCAGCTGTAGGGAGCTTCTGTGAAGTGACACGGATGGACAGCGTGGCAGGGAGCTGTTGCTGTGGCAATGTGGCAGTGTAGATGGATGGCAGGGTAGGAATTTGGTTGATGACAGGCCTAGCAGGTGGCAGCTGTGGAGCAGCAGCATGCGCTCCTACAACAGGCCCAGATGGAGTATATGATGGAGTTGGTGTGCGGGAAGCACACTCTGAAGAGACGTCAGTGAAGCGAGATGAATCAAGAAGTTGGAGAGCGGTTGCTGTGGTGCAGGCAGCCTGCACTACACTTGTTAGTGAGCGCAGTGAGTTGTTCACTGATCCAATCTCGTTGTGCAGGGAGTTGACATCTGTTGCAACAGATGCATGGACCATGCGGAGCTCTTCCGTGGACACTGGTCTTGCGAGAGCATATTCACCAGCGAGGGAGGCATCAGCACCACGGGAGATGGGGGCAAGGGCATCACTGTAGTCAGTCTCGTATGTATGTAGTTCATCCAGGAGGTAGCGAACAAGTGTATCACGCTGAGAAATAGATACAATAAGAGAAAAAAACATTGCGTCAGTCAAGTGTCAGCTGTAAGAACGTGAAACGTACAGTGCTTGCCTTCAGCCCATCCACCCCACCACCGAACTTTAGCAAGCGTCCACCGTTGGCCCACTGGAGCGAACATAAACAAATATTGTGCGCCCCCACGATGAAAGCAGTGAGTTGAGAAATTACCCAGGATTCCGGCACCGGCAGTCGACTCATTGATCCATTTCTGTACAGTATCGTGAGAGATTGGCTGTCCAGGGTGCATGACACCGTTTGCACTCATTGCAGGGAAAACGAAGTCGTTCGGCTGAAGTGTGCGTGCATAGTGAAATAATTCAAGCCATTTGATCCAAACTAACGTCCAGAAGAAGTTGTCACAGGCTGGCATGTCGGGGCGTGGATATATCTTGTAGTGATTTGCTGGTGAGGTTATCATTTAGTCATTCAATCCAAAGTTTGATGCAAGCAACGTACACCTTAAATCTGCCTCCCACTTGCCCTTATCAACCTTCTTTTGCCACCCTTTACGGTTCGAGAGGAAGATCTCGAAGTGAGACGCTCGTTCATGCAGCGTCAGCATCTCACCTGCAAGATACGATTTGAGCAGGCTGTCCAAAATAGTTGCATCAAGTGAGATATCCTTTCGTTGCAGTTTGATGAGCTCAAAACACCTGCAAATAGCAAGTTAGATAGCGCACATGCCCAGACAAATTCAGTTGGACCTTGTCCATAGCGTCCATCCATTGGATGCAAACACGACTTGTTCGAGATGACAGGTGAGTTGTGTCCTCACGGCCAAGTCTAGATGCATATCTGAAGGCCGCGCACCAGTCATCGCCTTCTGGATCATATGCACCGCAATCTCCAGTGGACATGAAGCCTGATGCCACCAGAGGGTCCGATCCATGTAGTCCTTTGTCATTGCCATCGAGTGAGTACGGTCTCCACCCTCTGCACTTGCTTTATGCTTGATGGATGACAGGACGTCATAAATGTCTGCGGAATCGGCGGGATTTCCTTCCCACCGCTGTCTCGCCTCGTTTAAGTGCCATTTTCCGCGATAGGTGTCCCCATCTCTGGTATGTAGATCAATACTTTGAGTTTACTGTTGGAATTTGTGAACGGAACACTCACGATAACTCCCACAGTTTTTTAAATGCCGAATGGATGCTCTCGACAGTTGTTTTGGAGAGATTCTCATGGAACCCTTTCAGGGACATGTAGAGTGCCAGAGCTTTGTCGGAGCATCTGTTTGGTATCCGATCAAACGCATCTTTGAAGGCCAGGTCATCGTACACGTCACTATCGGCATGCGTTTCGACATTTGCAGGCAGCAACGGCATCGGAACGAGCAGGTCTTCGGAACATGGGCTTTCGAAGTGGCTTGCTAGCCATTCCCGTCCATGTCGAACATGCCCGGCATAGTTCACCCTCGTGTTGTTTGCCTGAAGGTGAGTTTCTATACCAAGTTCCTTACACTTTTTGACATCAGCTAATGCTGTCTTTGTGGTCGCCGTTCTCTTCTTTCTCCCGGCCTTCTTTTGAGCAGGGTCAGGCAGCTGGGAAGCTTTTGACCCCTTCTTCGATCGTGCCATGGTTTGTAGTATGTTGCAAGGCTAGTTTGAAATTTTTGAGCGGGATCTCAGGGGCCTGTAACTAGTACTTTGATGTCATTTCACATTTCACACAGTTTATGAGAGCAATGTTAATGATACACGGTGTTATTGATTGTCATATACCATATATCCGGTTACAGATCCGATGATCCGGATCTCAGATCCAATCCAGATCCGATGAACATATCCGTCGTCTGGTCCACAGATCCACTTTGATTCTTATTTCATTTCCTGTTCATATAACTCTAACTATCGTTCATCTCCTTTCAGTATTCCTGTACACCGGTATACTGGTTATCCTTTACTTCCGCTTTGCTTACTGATCCGCTACACTTACGAATCCGCTTTTACTTGTACTTCATTTCCAGTTCATGATTCGTGATCCATCCGACTTACCAATACGCTCCACTTAGACTTTGCTTATACTTTCGTACATAGCCTCGCACCTTTGCTTATTGATCATTCCGTTAGCTATCCGTAGTATATAAACCTTTGTATATGTGCTGTAGTAGATCAGTTCGAATATCATCTTAGATTGCACTCATTCCATCTGGACTCTAAGTCCCTCCGTTATCCATCCGGACTTGAGTACGCTACTCTTGTCTACTCCGAGACTTAGGATAGATTCCTATAGACTACATATCCGCCTCTGTCTTCGGACAGTCCTCACCCGTTAGTTTCTAGTCCGGATCCGATCCGGATTAGCCGTTACTCTATACGTTTGATATCCGGAAGTCTTAACGGATCCATTGCAATACTTATCCATTGCGATACAAGACTTATCCGTTACAATACTTATCCGTCTCACTAGACGCGATACTTTAGCTCTCTGAAATAAGGGGCAAGACTCGGGAAAGGGGCACAGCGCACGAGCTGAGGCCGAAGCCCTTCGGATCCGATACTACTTGAGTACGGTCTTAACATTGATACAGTTTATAGACTAATGTACTGCTGTACTGCTTCTGGTGCCATGTGGCTGAGTATGACTGTCGGAACACGCACATACATAGGAGATAATTGGCTGGGAGTAGCGTTGCCCAAAGTGTTGCGTCCAAAGCACTCACAATTAACTTTAACAATATAAACTTCAATATCGCGCCTCAATGCCATAAGCGTCAAGTGGGAAATGACTCGGAATGTTGGCCGAAGGTTTGGCTGGTCTGCTGAGCGTTTCGGCAACTAAAACACTGGTTAACAGCTGCCGACAAACACCATGCTGCTTACTTTGCATAATGTGCGCAGATATGCACCCTCCCATACACTCCCATACATCTTCTCAATGATGGCGTCATCATCCCAGCCAAAATTCTGACGGCAGAAGTTGGCAAGGCTTGCAAGATCTGGCTGGTGGGATAACACATCTGATGGCAGCATCGTCGTACCGCTCCCAGTGGCTGAAAATGATGTGAGAGGATGGACATACTTGCCAAGTAATGCATGTTGTGGGAAATTATGCGGAATATGATCTGCGACGGCCTTGTACCTGCGCTCAAGGAAATTGTGAGGGTCACAAGTGAGCAGAAGACGTAAGTCCTCAATGAGCTCCTTGGCCCGCTTCGAGAATTCATCTGGTGTCAGTGACAGGAAGGCATCAAGCATCATCTGACCTATTTTGCTGTGCTGTGCCACCTTGTGCGCGATTTCGATACCACAACCAGGCACACCTCCATCATAATCACCACCCGCGAGCAGGGCGATGAGGAGTCTGTCTCCTCGGGTTAAGGAGCAGCCATGTTCAAGGCCATCTTCTGTATAGACCTGTACATTGAGATAATCCCTGTCTTTTTTTGCGCTACCAAGAATTAATGGTAACGGATTGACAGGAAAGCGATAGCATACCTTCGGATGATGCAGGGAGCACCAAAGATCAAGGTGTCGCTATCCTTGGTCATCACAGCATCGATGACACCATGGGTGTTCATGGCAGCGAGCTCTGCTTCACCTTCACTCGGAGCCTATTTAAGTACCAATGAGACAATGACATCATAAGGGAAATCAGCGACAAAAGCATACCTCAGTCCAATGAAAACCAAACAGCTCCAGCATGCGCTGGAAGTCATGAGTGAGCCAGTGGGGGCTGCTTCTGACCTTTCGACCTTTGTCTGGTAGGCGCTGCAGGCCATCAAAGACAAACACAGCATGCAGGGGCAGCTTGAGCAGCGTGCCTAGTCGGAAAAAAAGTGTGTGCAGCTCTGGTGACTTTCCGGCACCTGCATGGTTCATCCGAAAGACAGCGCACACACTGTGCATCCATGCACTAACAACACAAGTCAGTTCAACCGACGGACAAAAGAAGAGAAGTACTGTACCTAGCATCAATCCCAATCTTGAACAATTTGACATTGCGGTTGCCGTCAATGACTTCGGTCTTCAGTTCTGACAATGCAAGCTCTTTGAGGGTTCGGTTGTCGGCAGATAAAGCGACTCGCTGCAGAGAGCATCAGCACCTCACCCGAAGTCAAAGTTCTCAGCTCACCTCCCATAGTCCAGGGATTCCCATACTGATCCGTGATGATAGTACACAAGGACAAAAAATGTTCGAAAGGGGGAAAGAAAGAAAGGGGCTGGGTGCAGGTGTCACCTGACCGCTGTAGAAAGCAGCAGTCTCGTCAGTTACAAGAAAGGAAGGTGAGTCTATCAATAAGGCTATGGAAACGAACATACCAGTGTTATGCTTGATGAGGGCGGTCATGACACCACCAGCAGTCTCAATACTGAGCAATAGAGGAGCAACGTCAAGAAGCAGGGGGTTCAAAACGGGCATGAGTGAGGGAAGTGTAGAAATTGATACGCCCAAGGAAGGAGTGCATAGTTGATGGCAGGGTGTGCTTAGCATGCTCACAAGCCATCTGCAGATGACAGAGTGCAAGAGTGGAAGCCATTGAAAGTATAATCGAGTAGGGCAGGATTTGTTGGAGTAAGTGTCGTCACAGATAACCTTTGATGTGAGCATGAATGTGAATATGAAAAGATGGTGACCAGAAGGATTCTGGTGCCTCACCTGGTTTATTTCTCGCAATTGGAACATGCCCTGCGCCACAATACTCCAGGATTTGTTGGAGTAAGTGTCGTCACAGATAACCTTTGATGTGAGCATACAAAAAGATGGTGGCCAGAAGGATACTGGCGCCTCACCTGGTTTATTTCTCGCAATTGGAACATGCCCTGCGCTACAATACTCCAGGATTTGTTGGAGTAAGTGTCATCACAGATAACCTTTGATGTGAGCAGAGCCGCTGCTTTGCGGATCTGATGGGTGGTATGAGTGGGAGAGCAGTGCTGCCAGATTTTGTCCAGACGCCCTGTAAAATGTGAGTGCTGAGAACTATGAAATGAAAATAAAAAATGGACTTCTTCTCCGAGTCCAGGGGAGGTGATGTTGTGGCATTGTTGGTGATATTGACCTCAAGGCTCCAGTACTGCACATGGCAGCATGCAGGATGTGGGAAAATGTCGTGCCCACGTGACTGGGACACCTAAGCCTTATGGTGGCTGTGTAGGACGAGTCCAGGAGAGAAGGAGAATGTTGACGAGTGCACGAGTGCATGAGCATGCCTAATAATTTGTAAAGTACTGTAAAGTACGATTTTGAGTGGGTAAAGTGAGTAAAGTGCAGGAGAACGAGAAATACACTGTAAATTTTGTAAATTTTGTAAATCTTGAACTTCCGGGCAGGCTCCCAGCTGCACCTGCAAACATCATAAATTTTTTTTGCTTCCGCAATTAGGTGCCTGGCGGATGATTTACATTAATATAATTATTACCTAGGTATTATATATATTAATGACAGTCAACACCTGAGCGCTGAGCGCTGAGCAGTCTGCTTGGTCTGCCAGACTTTGGATGGTGACTTGACTCAGCGATTTGCATTGATACAAGAAAAAAAACATTTAATGCTTGCAAGTTTCTAATTAATAGTTCGACTTTCAACACTATGTACTTCGGTCCTGGCTCGTCATTGGTGGAAATACACATCAGCACGAGCAACTCGCGTGCCGAACCCTAAGTTAGGTGCATGCGGCAGGACAATGCAGAATTCCAACCGCGTGTCACTTGACTTTGGATTCCCAGAATCTGAGATGAATCCCCTTTACAGAATTTACCTTAGCTAATCGTAAATTTCTCCAGATATCCCGACATATATAACACTACAAAAGACAGAAAACGAGTATAAGAGGGAGGAGGGTCCACAAAGGAGGGTCCGCGAAGGAGGGTCCAAGAAGGAGGGTCCGCAAAGGAGGGTCCGGGAAGTAGGGTCCATGAAGGAGGATCCAGGAAGGAGGGTCCAAGAAGGAGGGTCCACGAAGTAGGGTCCAGGAAGGAGGGTCCAGGAAGGAGGGTCCGCGAAGGAGGAACCAAGGAGGAACCGCGGAGGAGGGACCACCAGGGAGGAGGGACCACGAAGGAGGAGGAACCAAGGAGGAGGAACCATAAGGGAGGGACCAAGAGGGAGGGACCAAGAGGGAAGGCCAAAGAGAGTGAGAGTTCGAGATTCGGAGAGTAATTAAGTGGTGGTGGTAGCATTGAGAGAAGGAACTAGTAAGAAGACTCTAAGGTTGAACTTTGAAAAAATTTCGGACTTACATAAGCATCCCATAGGGCCGAGCCTCTTGATCCCAAGTGGTCACTGGTGACCATAGGTGACCATGCAGTCGAGAAATGCTGGTACACTTGCCTATTTTCATCAGAATTATACATTTTTTGCCATATCTTATCCTTCGCTACCAATTTGCTTATCTTATATATTATTTTGTCTACTTTTGTCATTACATATAATCGCGTGAATTTTTGATCTGGTCTTACCAACTACAACTACAAAAACCGTCGCCTCGGCGATTTCCTGATGCTACTCGTAGGCGATTATGAGATGATGGCGAGTGCTTTCAAATCGATTAAAAGAGCGCTTGGCAAAATCCGGAGTTTTCCCTGATGGGTGGCTGTAGGACTCAAAAGGATCGATCCCTGCCCTTATCAGCCCATGGCCCCATGCCATCCCTCACTTCTTGCTGAAAGCACTCGGAGCCCGTGCCATTCGTTGCTGCGAGCTCGTCTTCCCCTCACATTACCAGCGGATGCGCCAGACAAACTAATTTGAGTACATGTTTTACCCCCATTACCTCGTCGAGATCATTCACCTGCAGAATGCTTCGGAACCGGACACCATCACCTTGATTATCAAGGCATTTACGGGCGCATCGTGCGCAATGCTCGGAAGGCATGGTGTTTTCTTTTCCTATGCCTCCTGGACAGCACCTGGTGGCATAGGACAGGAAAATACTTTGTGGGCGCAGCTCCACAGCACCAGACGCTCATCTCACCATCACCTGAATCAGTTGCAGGAGCTATATGTACTAGTTGGTTCCAGGCGGTGCCAGAACACGAGAGAGGAATTCATACCGTAACGATCGATCATTCCCGCTTTCCTTGCGCTTTCCCTGATAATCATCCAATCAGGTTAACTTGAACCAGGACCTCTGCGATCCTTGAACCCCCCAGGTTGAATCCGAGGGGTCTACCAATGTGTCTCCGAGCTTCTTGAAATATTACGATTACTTGTTTGTGTCAAACTACATAGTATTGAACCCATAGTTCGCCAGCGGCTTATAGGCGACACAGTTACTTCGATTGATCAGTAACAATAGTGGCAGCCTTGTCGTCATGATAGAGCTATCTATGCAACATTTTGTCTCCAGTAATTATGCGTCCGATTATTTCAATCCAACTGTCATTCCGACCAAGTATTAGTAGTCTGCAGCCTGAACCCATCAATAGCGAGTGCTTGAATGTTGACGGGCATCGTATTAGGCAATACTATGGCGTGTTCAATGTAACTTCGCGGAGTCTTTCAGCAACGGTGCTATCAATCCATTTATTCTAGATGTCTGTTCCGGATCCCTGCATATAAACTTCACCCAACAATTATCGCCTTCATATTGATGAGCCTGTTTTGTGAAGAATCAACTAATATCTGTTATATTGCAACATCCCAGTACTATCACAAACGAGCGCGTTATTCCCGAAGTACAATAAAAACCGCTTAAAAGGGACAGCTTGAATTAGCTGTATGTCTCATATAGTGTACCTTGTGTATTCATCAGTCAAGGTAGCGTTGCGGATGAGCTATGGCGCTTACCTGAAAAGCGGACTGGCATCGGCCATGTCCTGGAATTCGTATCCTCTGTCGTTGGTAATGTTTTCTGCCAGACACTGCGCTTCTTTCTTTCTATTCAGCCGATTATAGTTCCACATAGCGAAGAGGCTCATTATGATTCTGTTATAAAATCATGTCATCACGTTGCAGTTCGGAAGACTACCGAGACATACGAAAGAGAGATGAATCCCATGTTGGTGCCATGCCCAATGTGGAAACGTGGCGGATCGATATAAATAAAGGAGGAGCAAACACTGAGACTAGCATGAGCGGGAGGACATTGTGAATTTATGAAAATACGACGTACCCTCCAAGGTTACTAATACCAATGACCATTGCTAGTACAACTCCACGCTTTAAGTCGCCTCCTGCATTCGAACCTGCCCAAGCAAGAATGACTGGGACGGTCGGAAAATTTCCCGCAGCGGCCAGACAAGCTCCAACGTACGACGGGCCCGCTTGTACGCTGCAATACAGCAAGATGTATCCAACAAGGGACACAAGCGCACCGCCAATGATGAACGGCCCACGAAGATTGTACTTGTCAGAATAGATGCCAAATATGACTGTTGCAATAGCGCCGGCAACAAATGGTGGGACTGAGAGTAGCTGGGCGTTAGCAGCAGAGTACCCAAGCTCGTTAATGATGGTTGGCGAAAAGAGGGCGATGGCATAACCAGGGACGAGTAACCTGGTGATTAACTTAGATCATACACGCGAGATGACAGGAGGACTGAGTACCCCAAATAAATGAGCATTTGGACGTAGGTCTTGTAATCTTTTGTGGCTTGCCAGATGAATCGAGTGTCGAAGCGAGAGGAAAGATGACTCGAATCCTTTTTGAGCATATCTATGATGTATAATCTCTCTGGCTCGGTCAAAAATTTGGCCGTTTCAGGATACTAAATAGTCTAAATCAGCACGCGAAAGGCTGTGAAAGGCCCAACATAACTGCGAACTTACATCATGCATATAGAAAAAAGAGAAAGTCGCAACGAGAACAGTGGCTGATTAAAGTCTAAGATGAGCATCCGAATCGCCCCAGATGTGGTACGACTGACCAATGCCTTCCAAGCAGAACTAGCAGAGGACATAAATTAGTAAAGTCTCGGATTGAAAACATGCAAATATACAATCCATTGCCAACCATACAATCCTCCGATCCTGATTGGCGAATCAGTGACGGTTGACAAGGAAAGCAACTTACTTACCCATCCATCCGCTCAATACCATACCTGTGTGCACGTGAAGGTCAACAGCGGGTTGATAGGAAAACAACGCAACTTACGCAAGGAGTCCACCGAAGGCGACTATAATGAATGAGAAGTTTGAACAGATATAAATTCCTGCACATATTAAAATACTGCATACCTGCGACTGATGCTGCGGAGAAGAATATGGCAATGCGTTTGGACCGCTCCGAACGTGGATACCAAAGGCAGATGTAGTAATTCACTCCTGGATATAATCCTGCTTCTGTCAAACCGAGGAACACTCGAGCTCTGCCATTATGTTGTTATGGTGTCCGTCTCCACTATGCAGATACAGCTCACGCACATGACGAGAGATTGGTACGAATTGACGAGACACATAAGGGTCATCACAACACCCCACGCGACCATGATAGATGGTACTGGATCAACATTAGGTGGTGAAAAAAATAAGGCAAAGGTGAGCGCACACCAGCGTGATGGTCTGCATAGCTTGAGCACAATGTTCCTATACAGACATTGAGTACATATTCGCTACTCTTGATGTCATACATACGAGGGGACCTCAGCAAAGCTGTACGGGATCTAGAGTAACTCAGCAACTAATGGGACATATGTGATACACAACGCACAAAAAAGACAGCTGCAGCGATGTTGTACTTGAAGCCAGTCAATTTCAGGCTTGTGGTCATTCCAGCGATCGTCGCGTTTCCTAGTGATCGACTCAGCCGGTGATCGACAGTAAATGCTCTAACTTACCAATATTGGCCCGGTCTCTGAAGGCAGGGTAAAACGTGAAGCAGCATCAGACGGTACATACAGTCAGCAAACTCACAAGAACGACAACAAAAAAAATATCGTCACGAAAGGTAACAGGTGCCAATCGATCTTGCGCAGAATGCGTGCTCGTTCTCTGGGATTCAGGGCAAATTGCTTTTCGGAGTCCAGCTCGATGTCATCGTCGCGTAACGAGCCCATGATATCAGGCTGGGTGACAGTACAGTTTGAAAGGAGAGACTGGTTGGATGTCAAGCGCCTTGTTGTCAAGAGATAGCGGGTATTATATCATTATTGTCCTGAGCGCCAGTTGTTCGATCAACTACAACCTTGGAAATAACACGCCGAGTTAGTAGACAGGTTGCGGCCAAAGTGCGGTGACAGCTTGCCAACCACGCTATACGGCACACCTACCCGCTATACCCCGTGCCCCACAACAACAAAACCTTCTTAGAGTGCACCATCATTCACTGGTTTGAACATTTTGCGGCTGAAGGTGCATTTGGAAGGGAGGCTAGAACATTCTAACCTAGTAAGGGCTAGTTCAACAGGACATCAAAATGTTGAAATGCCACCACCACATGGCACAATGATCACTGATCAGTAGTGGCACTGCGCTATGCTGAATCGGTGAAATTACTGCCGCAGTGTTGGATCGCTCCATATTGCTTTCACTTCAACCCCACTATAAAATTCTTTGCGAGTCATCAAATTTTTACCAAACACTGAATCCGATTTCAGATGAGCGATCAATACATAGAACGCTTACCGCTCGTAGACTGTGAACACATTCTAGCTGTTTTCAGAGCAAATACCAGAACGGACAATCAGACGAAGTGTTATAACTTGGACGAGCGGGTGAGATCAACGGTACGGTAAGAGATGATAATCGATAAGATACAAACTCAATTGTGCGCAGTGCGTATAACAAACACAGAACAAAATTTGCGCGAGCAAATAATCACGTGGAGTAGAAGATTTTACCGTACCCCCACCATCCTTGTCAGAACGCTCTTTCTCCTGCTTCACAATCCCAAGCACTAAAAGGAAAATGCTTTGCATGCCAGAAATTTTGGTCACCGGTTCTGCCATCAGAATTGCTGGTTATTATTTTTGGAGAAGCCCTATAAGTTTGCCATCTTCCATGTCTGGCGTCGATGGCGTAGCCTGGCAGTAACTGCGCCTGAGCTGTGGATACCAGTAGACATCTCGCCTGTCCTCTTCCGATTAATATCCACGTCGTGGATGGTGAACCCAGGCACTTTACACTTTGAGTGGCGGGTGTCCAAAGTGATGGCACAATTTGTTTGTCGTCCACACCTCTGATGCATACCTGTCCTACCTCCTTCTAAACCTCCGCAAATCTGGGCTATTACAATTGCTTGAGCAGGTCTCGATACATGGACATCGTGGTTATGGGGGTACATACCCATTTTCGTACGCCGCAGTCAAGCCGTCGCTGAAGATGTCATATACACACAAACATCGATTTTAACCTCAGGTCTGTTTGTATCTTTGCGCGCGTTATTGGTATCGGCGCTGAACCTTACCTGCTCGCTACACGGCGATCCAGTTAGAGAGTAACTCGAAGGGTTAATCCCTCGTTCGGATGCTCTAAACCCTGATAACCTCATCCTCCGGCCCAGTCCATGCATTATCCACTTCTTACTTCCGATGTTAAATGCACTCAAGGTCTCTACCCTTCGTCACTACGAGCTTGTCCTCCTGCAATCATGCTCGCATGATCAGTGGACAGAAGAGGAACCAATTGATCATGGTTTATTGAAACTTCCTTTGGTTGAGACCGTTCGCCTGCAGAATGTTTCGGACCCAGACCATAAGTTTGTTTATCAAAGTATTTCCGGGTGCTTCGTGCGTGGTGCCCGGCCGTGATATTTCCTTATTTTCCTGTGCCTTCCGGGGAGCATCTGTTGGTGCCATAGGACACGAAAATGCTTCGTGGGCGCAGCTCCACCACCTGCTAGTAACACTCATCCCACCCGGTTACAGGAGCTGACTCGAAGCCAGAACACGAAAAAACAAAATCATACTGCCACGATTAATCACTCCTACTTTCCCCAACGATTATTCAATCATGTTAACTTGAGCCAAGACCTCCGTGATCACAACCCAGTGTGAGACCGAGGATTTGTCTACAGACTTCTTGGAACATTACCAGGGATTACAGTTGGCAGTTGTTTGTGTCAAAATTAGATGGTGTTGAATTATAGAGCATTCGCAAACAGCTTACAAGCGACATGGTTGCGAATGAGCAGCAGCAGCATTGAACTGTATATGCAACATGTTGTGCAAGCAAATGAGCCTAACCCATGCATCGGGTTATCTGTACATCCGACCAATTATGCAGTGCGAGCGCTTGAACCTCGACTGCATCAAATTTATTGCGTGTTCAATACGACTCCGAAACATCCAGCAGCTACTATCAACCCACCACCGTTTCTTTTAGACATCTGTTCCCTGCATATAAAACACAGTAAAACGCCTACCAATTGAGTTTCTGGCAAGTCACTTTCAAATTGGATCGTTCACATTCACAACTGTAATAACACAGCGCACGCTGGATCATGGTACTCAGTACTGCTCGAGACTTGGCCAATGGCCTCTCCCACAATATGGTTCCTGCAGAATTGCTTTCGACCCTTCTACAAGAAGTTTGTGCGTTGGAAAATAGAAGGAAGGAGCTGTTGGTCCGCCTTGAAGAAACGAACACATCGCTCGTCGAAGTCCAAAAACTCTTGACAAGGAAAACAGCGCAAGCACATACAGTTCAAAATCTTCTCGCACCCGTATCTCGTCTTCCAGATGAGGTCCTGTTGGCTATATTCGAAGAAGCAGTACGAAGTCAAGAGCAAGGACAAGTCACACGGACGGAGATAGCTATATCATACACTTCGCATCGCTGGAGACAGATTACGATCAATGCCCCTCGGCTGTGGAACAGCCTTTGTATCAGAGCAGAGGTTCCTATCGCCATGTTACAGATCTACCTCTCCCGCTCCGCGAACATTCCTCTTACCGTTGAATTCCGTGAACGCGAAACCGCTTGGCCCGGTGCAGATAAACGCAGCATGGCACATCTTGGTTCTGCTCTTGATGCTATATTGCCTTCAGTCCCTCGTTGGCGGCGTATCGTCGTTCTGCACAGATCTTACCCGTACTTTACGCATGTGTTTCGGGAACTTCGAAAGGTGGCCCCTTTGAAGATGCTTCAGAGCATCTCTATGAGATCGCCAGGCGTGTGCGGACCATGTCCACTGTTGCTTGGCGACTCGGCTCCAGCCCTGGAATCACTTGAAGTCGAAGACATGCCCCTTCCACCCCCAGTCACGCAGACTTTTGACGCTGCCCACTACAGCGTTGCAGGATTGACCACGTTGCGGTTGCGGGTGCGTGGGGTGAGAGTTGGAAGCTCCCATGCAGCAACCGACCCCTCTGCATTCAGAGCATTGATAAGTTCAGCCCCGATGTTAAGCACCCTCGAAATCTATGGACAACCCATAAACTTTGGCCAGGAGAGAGTTAATGAAGAAGACATTCTTCCCTTGGAGATTCCTCGTCTCCGCACTCTGGTTCTTCGTCCGGGCACGCAGCGTCCTCGTGATTTGCGCCACTTTATCTCGGTGATCAAAGCACCAACTCTCCGTCACTTTGAGCTAGTCTATCCTGACAACGCTCCACCTGGGCAAGATGTATCCGATCTTCTATTTGACCCTTTCCCATTAGCCAGATTTCCTTGTGTGGAAACTGTGCATCTTCATAATGCGGTTCACGCGGATACTGTTGCGGCATTTATGAACGCGTTTCCGGTTGCGGCTCGCATTACACTCGGTAATCCGGATGCTAGCTGCCTTTTCGAAAACCCAACTTCCAGTAGCACGCGTAGCCCGTGGACCTCTTCACACGCCCAGCACCTCACTGTCATTTCTCCACTTCACAACACATTGCTGCAGATGTACGAGTGGCTTCTCAGTGGGGCTAGCCAGGGCCATCGATTGCCAATAATAACACTGGAAGGGCCCATCCGTGCTATCGACGGCCCTGAATTTCTTACACAATCGTCGAAAATTGCGAGCTGCACGGAAGTGCGGCTGTGTGATATTGACCTCTCCATGTCGGGGTAGATTGCTTGTTGCACGCGTCTAATAATTAGTTGAAGGTATGTGTGCGCCTTGTCCTTCCAGTGATACTAACCATGTACACATCTATTTGCAGCCTGTTCCACAAGTCGTGACCTTACGTCGTGAATATAATAATGTACGAGCAGCTTGATATTCAAATGCTGTGACTCCCTTCCAGGCCCGAGTGTGCAGGATTTGAGCATTGGATGTGTTTACGATCATCCCTCTCATGTTCAGTTATTGGTTTTCGTTTCATGGACTCTTTTACATGCCAACTTTGACACTCTAGGTAACCAAGTTCATCGTGAGATTCCGCAATACTCGGACAGGCTGAAAACTCGTGTTTTTCATAGAAAGTCCCTGCCAACCATCTGTCAAGGGACTGCGGATGCGAGTCTAGCCAAGATGATCGTGTCAATTGTTCAGCCGGACAGACCATGTCAACGCGGGTTCTGCCGCAAGAACAAGAATGAAAGCCACGAGTTCGGCTCGTGCGTGTAGAATTTCAGTGACACGCGAAGACACACTCGCTCATGTTCTGATTTGCCGAGCAGACTGGGATAAAAGGTTCCAATGATGGCGAGGAGGTAGACGATTCAGAAGAACAAGAGGTGAGCTTCCTCGGTCATCGTACTTGCTCTCGGTACTCAAATTTGTTTCAGTTAGTATGCCCGACAACGGCCTGTCGCGCTCTTTTACCATGTCAAGACCTTCGCAGAGAACCTACCAACCCAGTGTTGACAGAGAACTCTTTCAAGTGCTGCAATCAGAGGCAGTGCACCTTGAAAGGAAGGAGATAGAACTTGTATCGCAAATCAAGGCGCTCTCGGAGGCTTTGGTTTCCGTTCGTAGTACGCTGTCCACAATACGCGTTCGAGCAAGCGAATGCGCAAAGCGCATTTCTCCAGCTGCTCGCCTGCCTGATGAAACTTTGCTTGCAATTTTCGAGGAAGCAGTTTCGAGCCAGGACGTGTGCTCACGGACAGGGGTTGAAAGCGCGATATCGCGTGTGTCGCATCGCTGGCGGAGGATAGCCCTGCATACACCCCGGCTGTGGGCACGGGTCTGTGTAACCCCTGACAGGGACGAGCGTGACATGCAGCTACACCTCTTACGATCCGCTGCTCTTCCTCTTGATGTGGAAGTCTGGGGATGGTGGGATTATCGAGATTCTTTCACCAGGCCCCATCACTTCGAACATACCCTAGCCGCAATCCTCCCGTCCGCGTCCCGTTGGCGTCGTATAAAGATTGGCGCGTCCTGCGATGCCCTTCTTACAAGTCTTTCCTTTATTCTGCGCACCGTGGGGCCTTTGGACGCACTTCAGCAAGTTGCCTTCAAAGCCCAGCAGCCCGGGCAGATATGTCCGACGACTCTCCTCATGGGAAAATCAGCACCCAATCTCCGGTCCATTGATGTCGAAAACATTGTTCTTACAGCGCGCTCCCCTTGTTTACACAATCACGATTTCGACTGCTTCATTGGCGTAACCCATCTTACTCTTCGACTTCATGAAGGAGACGCGAGGGCTCTCAAAACGACAATGGAACCCCAAGGCTTCCACGCATTGCTTTTGCGAATGCCCAATTTAGTTTCTCTTTCTCTCCATGGAGAACTTGTTTGTGTCAGATCAGCCACAAGCCTCGAGGACCAGGCCAGCATCACGTTGCCTCGTTTACAGACGTTGATTCTTCATCCCAATACTGTCCGGCCTCGCTACCTGCGGAACATCATCGCGATGGTAATGGCACCAGATCTACGGCACTTTGAGCTTATCTACCCAGATAGCTTTACCCAAGGCCAGGACATCTCCGATCTACTTCTCAAAAAGGGATGTGAACAACCCACACCTAGATTCCCTCTAGTTGAACGTCTTGTGCTAAACAACGCCGCCAATATCACTTCGGCTGCCGCATTCATCCAGGCCTTCCCAGGAGTAGATCAGCTGACCATTTCTGGCGCCGACGTCGGGATTTTCAATCTGCCAACTTGGGAAGTGACAGGAGGGAGTTGGAGAACCATTACAAGACTGACATTACGGCCTTCCCAACGAGATCGTCTGACCACGGTGGTCGATTGGCTGGATGCCATGACTAATAACGGCGAACTTCAAGCGCCGTTGGTCCAGGGGCCAATAACCCGCTGTCCCACTATGTTGCACCTCTATGAGGAGCTCAAGCGATACACTCAAATCGAACTGCTTGGCATGGATTCAAAATAGCTCATAGGGTAGCCCGAGGGGATAAGTACACAAGCTATTTACAGGTTTATCTGCAGGAATGCGTTTCTTTTCGGTACATATGCGAACAAAGTATCGTACTTCGTTATCTAATTTTGTGGATAGGAGAAGTATGCGGCAACTCAAAGTAAACCTTGAGATCATGACGTGATGTGAATGAATTGTTATATGGTGTCGTAAATCATGCCTTTTTTCCAGGACTTCCCGGGAGTTTGGCTGCAATCCTCATAGCAAAGACGGTCATGATAACGAAAACGGTATACACAGCATAGCCGCCCATGAGCTTGTGCTGGACAGAGTATGCAAACATGGACGTGGACGTGGCGGGGCCAATGGCTCGAACGATGGATGCTGTCATTTGCGCAAGACCATTGGTAGCTCCTAAGGATCGCTTATTGGGAGCTGCTGCGGTAATGAACATCAGTATACAACCTGCAAATTAAATCAGCTATGGTAGAAGAAAGACCACGCAAAAAACGAGCGCACCGAACGCCATATCCATGAAAACACCCAGCAGCAGCGAACATGTGAGTAAAAACCAGACAAGCCAGTTGATCCCATGTTGGCGTGCAACGATGCTGGTGATCGGGAATAGGGCGAAGATAGGAATAAAGCATCCTTCGCAAATCCGAAAAACGGTCTTGGGACCAAATTTGTTTACCAGCGGTGCAAAAATCATCATCTGCAAGACACCGTTGACAATGCCGAACGCTCCCATCCACAGACCGATAGTGATGGGATCAAATCCGAGCCCCCCCAGTTCGATCGGCGTGGAATAGAAGAGAGGCTGAAGTGCAAACATAGCAATTTCTAGAGTGGCCATGCAGCCATAGTTGGTGACAGGGATCAGGATGGACGGCACGAAGAGCGACCGGATTGACACAGGAGAGTCCTCGACGGCATTTCCGGGAACGTTGAGGGCCTCGCCATCGAGAGCAGACATGGATTTCTCTTGCGTCCGTTGTCTGGGCAGAGTCTGAAAAGTCATCAGTCAAGATCTCGCCGGTGCACGGGCTCTCTGTACCTCTTTTAAGAAGAATAGAATCGCGAGGAAACATGTGACCGCGAATACGGCAGCGACAGCACTAGGCAGGAAGTATGGGAACTGTGACCAGAATGTACCAGGGAATATATTAGGAAAATGTTGTTGAGGGTGTTCTAGAGTTCCGCCGATCATAGGACTTTCAAAAAGTACGTTACCCTCTATACAGAATACGAGGAAGGGTACATACCCAATAGTAGCACCCAAGGACCACGCAACAGGCATCAGGGCAAAGCCTTGCGCCATGTTGGTAGAATCAGTGAGTTCGCCCATCATGCTCTTCATGACTCCAATGTTGCCGTTTAGGGCGCCAGTGATGCAACGACTATACTTATTCAGAAGGCAAATTTGATTGCAAAAGTTGTTCCTCACCTAAAAATCAGCCCCAACAGTGTCCTGGATAACCCAAAACAAAGCATTGACAGGGAGAGCCCAAAGATTCCTAACAAGAGAACAGGTTTACGTCCAATACGGTCCGAAGTACGGCTCCATTGCAAGATGGTCAGTGCCTGAGTGGCAAAAAAGAGAGACTCCTATCATCGATTTGATTAAGTTGTAAAGCGGAGATGCTATGAAAGGCGAAACTTACGATCAGCCCCGCATAATACCCTATGTGATCAAAAGAGCATATCAATACTTTTTACGTGTATCAAAAAATTGTTACTAACCAACTTTTCGCTCATCGCCACCAGTGATGTCCAACTCACTGACAAGCTATATGTAATATTGAATAGTGTGATTTTAACGTGTAAGAGGAGACTGACCTGATTGATGTAGGGATAGATAGATTGAGAAGCAATTGGCTCGACCAGCAGTGCCAGCAACAAAATTACGATCTGAAGCTTTGGCAAAGGGGTGGCCTTCTTCTGGCCTTGCTGTCCTGCGTCGAGAAGAGCGGTACGCTCATTGACAACGATGTCAGAATCTGAAGGTGCTGCAGAAGACATCCTCGACGAGTAACAGACAATGTTAAAAAAAACCTGATTGACGACCCCATTTATATATCCGCCGGCTACTCGAGCGGTCAGAAGGAGAATAAAGAAATCAACCTGGTCATCCGCTGGGAGATCTGCGTAATCAAGAAGGCGTTCCCAATTTCCCATTCACAAACTTACCCGTGGAGACGGTGGAGTGGATCCGAAAATTTTAAAACTCCATCGCGCACAAGTTTAGTCCAACAATTTGCATTAAAAGACAACAACGTAACATGTCAAGTTTAAACCCCTATCACCAGATCTGGATTGAACCTGCAATGACTAGGTTTTAGATTATATATCAAAGAAAAGGATAAACATAAGTCAGAAAGAAGTGTATAATCAATGCCGCAGCTAAGCAACAGCTTCTAGTTGATAATTGTAATGTTATTTTCATCCGCACGCTACTTGTGAGAAATAGAAGAAAAGATGGGAGCTCACGTCGGTGGCCCGAGCATCAGCTGGTAAGAAAAATGTAATCAGCGCTTGATCGATATAAGCATCAATGATAAGAAAGATATCAGGAGGGGGTGCCCGAAAGAATTGAGCTGTGGCGGGCCCTTTCGGCAGTGATAATACGAAGACCGTCGTGATAATACATCATATAAAGTAATGATCATCAGATAAAACTCACCATCATGATATCGCAAAGCAGGCAATCAGGGACATGCGAATGGCTGGACTATCAGCGCTTATCCCTAAAACAAAGTTGCATCAGATACGAATTCATTAAAGGCGAGACGTGGAGACTCAGAACGTAAAAACAGCCAGGAATTCACATCAATAACCCGGTAGGGTATCAGGCGGTAATTCCTTTTTGACATCCCCGTAACATGACATAAACAATAATGCTTACCTTAGAATCGAATCCGGCTTGATGGAGATACGTCCCTGGTCCTAGAGAGTAAGGGTGAGATATGTTCAGAAGAAACGACACAGAAAAGTAATAAATCAGTGGATTGACAGAAAATTGAAAGCATCGAGCCTATACATGAAGGCCCTCAGATACTCTAGTTTGAATGAAATGTTTCATCGTGCAAAGAAAAACCAATATGCGGTGCAATAGGTAATCCACAACTTACCTACTATAGTGCCCGGCTCAGGAAGAATGCCTTGATGCGGCTTCACTATCACGATAAACGAGAGTTCTGCGAAATGATTGAGTAATAGGTACAGATGAAGTGCAGCTGATGATGGTCAGGGTAACTATGACAAGAAGGACACATAGTGTCATGGGACACTCGCCATGAAGTGGAAAAATATCATCGCGAAAGGAGGGAGCTTAAACGTAGTAGATGATCACTAACCTGCGCGTCAGTCTAACCACATCCCACAATGACTACGCCGCGAGCGGATTGAAGGGTGTTAAAACCATCTTTAATGGGATCGACGGAAGTGAAAAAAAATCATAAGGCAGTACTTGTTTGGCGTCGATTCCAAAATTTCAACTGATTGGTTCAGGGCAGGCTAACACGCATTTTAGGTTCACACGGCAATTCCCGGCAATAGTTTACATCTAGGCTCTGGAGTCTGGAGCATCCACACCAGTTGGAGAAAGAAGAAATTCCATGTGTAAAAATCATTTCATCCTCCGAATCACTGACTCTATAGAGTACTTATGAACTGAACCTTCTAATGGGGACGTTGTGGAAATCGGTTTATGTCACCTTGATCATAAGTATGTACATGTATTATATTGATCGATATTTTGGACATCCAACTTGAATGAGCAGCTTGTACAATTCTAATCAAAAAATTTATTGTCTTCCTGGGGCCCCCTGTAGACAGTACAATATGTTTTCATAGCCAACCGTATTCTTGGTACGGCATCAACTCACAACCATTCATACCTTGCGTGCGCCGTGGGGATAGATGCAAGTAATCTGCACATTTCTGAATTCAGGACGGCAACGTTAACAGTAACAAATGTAGATAACTTACCAAACATCATGTGGACGTACAGCGGGTTACCCTGTCTGATTCAAAGGACGTAATCGAAGGGTCAGTCAGTGGGCTTCAGCCCATCGGGGATGTATGACGGCGACTGTATCAAACACCCAATCATTTACAGTCTCTCACCCGCATTAACTGACTTCCCTGATCATTTGATCAGCCGCAGTCGCTTCCATAGAGATAAAGTTTGCTCGTAAGGCTCCAAGCATCGAAGGGTAGCACTTCTGATTAGTGTTCCATGCAACCGTGACGGCCAGCAAGAATATCCCCACCGTATGCCACAGATAGACAAATTGTCTTGCGCCCCGTATACAGGGGGTCAGATAACCTGTTTGTTCTCCAAGTCATCAGAGTTTGCATCTGGCATGCCATATCGTGTTGCTCCATGTTCGGTCGCGTTCAAGTTCTAGAATATGGTCTGGCAGCTGTGGACTGAATCGACCATGAAACGCGGTTAAGCCATGGCAAGAAATGCCCTACCCAGATTGAATGAGAACTTGGTCCTGTTGGATGTACGAGTGGTCTGCGACAAAGACACACGTCACGACAGCGGCGGTCGTCATCTTCATTTAACCATCGCTTTACATGATGCTTAGCATGGTGCAACGGTGACACGATGACCTTTCTCCAAAATCCGTATTGCTTGACCGATCTCAGCAAACCAACTGAATCCCTTTTGATAGCCACCAAAGCCCCGGACAAACGGATACTTCAGCCGATATATAAGCGAAATGTATGGCAATGATTGTACATGGAGGTGCAGGTGAAGTACTGAGTCGAACGGCGGTATGTGGAAGCCCATCCTTAAAACGATGATGTCACGATTAGTATGATCCAAGAGGTGATTAACTCACTTCCGCTTCGAAACCGGTACATTGAACGTATCAAGAATGGAATGACCTATTTCCTCCATTCTCCGGACTTGGATCCAGATGAGATATTCAGCTGATGCAGCAGGTACGGAAATGCTTACGCATGTTCACATCCTTCTGAGAAAGTTTCCTGATACTTTCTGATTGTGACATGAGCCAGCGAAGTGGGCAGCTGCGTGAAGCTCGCCAATGTGGGCCTTAGGGATGAGTTGAATGTGGTGTTGTGCCGATGGACGAATGTCCCGAAAGGCAACAAATTCTTGATCCTGGATGCACGGGATCGTCAAAACTAGGCTCAACGCCTGACAATATGATATGGATACGCACCTCCCACACAATGTCAAAGTCACTGCGGTTTGTGGAATAAGCCCCACAGAATATACATGACCGTTGAGAGTTGCCCAGCTGGTAATGAGAAGGTTGTGGTTTTCCAACAATCCAATGAAATAATTTTGGGAACATAGTATGTATCGACGACTTGTCCGAAGAAAGAAGGTGGTTGTCTATTTTTAGAAGTCAGTTGCAGTGGTTGAGTTCCGACGCGAGCTCTCCACTTGCCAGCTGCAAGGTTCTCCAGCTTTTAAATCTCCGTGTCTGTTCACCACCACAGTCCCCGCATGAACTCTCAGACACTCCAGCACTAGCTGCATTGAAACGCGCCATCTTTGCCGGCATTCTGAAGTCTTGTGATATCCTGTTTATTTACTTGTTTTAGGCATGTCTGCATCTCCAGACAGCACGCACACCGCTCTTTTCGGCGAGGAATCTACTTTCTCAAACGAGCCACATCCTGGAATTGAACCCTCTGTCTCTTCCGACGCCTCCGAGAACGATATAGACAGGTGTTCACATCTCGCTTCTGTCTTCGCCGATCCACCCGCGAAAACAAGTATCATAGACAAATTTAAAACAGTCGTAGCCTGGCACGCTCGTAGAACACATGATTCCCTGCATCCAGCAAAGCGAAGGAAGGTGCGTTAACTATTTATTTTGGAAATGCCTTGTGAATGGATATGTTCGACCCCCTGTTTCGCAGGTATCGTCACCGACCTGTGACACATGCGACCAAGCACTCTCCCGACCGTTCGTCTGCCTGCACTGCTCATTTGCAGGATGCTGGCCAGAGGGGCACATAACTAACCACCTGAAAGAGACGGGACATACGTTTTGTACGTGTTTTCGCCCCCACAGTTTTCGGTCTGCTGACCATTCCAAATTTGCACAATTCAGGCACCGATACAAAGTCTGGATCAGTGTTCTGTTCAGAGTGCGAGGACTTTGTATTTGATGATACCATTGATGAATTGCATCTCTCTACCGTCCTATCGGTTGAAGAGCAAAATACGAAATTCCAAGGTAGTTTGAATGCACCCACAGGATAGCAGGCTTTAATTTATGTCTAGTGGCGAAGAGAGGCCGAGAGCCATATCAACCTTGGGTTCCGATGAGCGACGAGTCCACTGCCCTGAAGTATATCGCCACAGTCCCTTGCCAAGGTCCAGTTCTCCCTTACAAGTCAGGTTAATTCGCTCACACAAAATAGGTCGTCGTGGGCTGCTCAATCTAGGGCAGACATGCTTTTTGAACGTCATACTCCAGTCGTTCATCCATAACCCGTTATTACGGAACTATTTTCTTAGCGATAGGCATAACAGCAGGCTGTGCAAACATTCAGACTGCACCTGTTGCGAAATGGACAACTTGTTTACGGAGGTTAGTCATAAAAAGTCCTCGTTGCACCTCTCAAACTTTGTTTGCTAAAGAAAGTTGAAGATATATTCCCCAACCAATACCCCATTTGGGCCCACGTCCTTTCTCGCCACAACATGGAAAGTTTCTGCCGAGATGTCAGGCTATGCCCAGCAAGACGCACACGAGTTTTTCATCACTGCTTTGAACCAAATTCATGGGACATCCCGTGGTTCCACGAATATTTCGTGCAACTGCATCATTCATCAGACTTTCGCCGGTCAATTTCAAAGCGACGTTACGTGTGAGAAATGCGGAACCGTGACCAGCACAATCGATCCGATGCTTGATATCAGCCTTGAGTTGAGGTCAAAGTCTGGGGAACCGGCTACTGACAACACGCTTGCCAGCTGTTTGCGCAGGTGAGAAAGTCCGTTGTTGGATTGATAGAATTTGACGCTTTGAAAGGTATACTAAACCAGAGAAACTGGGAGCAAGAGAGTACAGTTGTAGCAAATGCACGAAAGCCTCTCATGAGGCCGTGAAACGCCTCAGCATACGGACATTACCGCCAGTTCTTAGTTTTCAATTCAAGGTTCATTCATACACCGTATGATCTATATAATTTGACGCTGACATTGATTCAAGCGATTCGAGCATAAAACGTCTGGGAAAGCTGCACCACAAAAGATCGACGCTCCGATACGAATTCCAGTCTCTATTAATATGGCGCCTTATACGACTCTTGCTATGAATATGAAGGACGGTGAAACTGGGTGAGCGTTTTTGCTAAAGGCCTGACTGATTTTCTGACCAAGTTCATGAATAGCTACCCAGGACCGGACGCCATGTATGAATATGATCTATTTGCGGTTATTAACCATGAAGGGCAGATGGATAACGGACACTACACGAATTTTGCTCGTTTTCGAGATGAGGTGAGTAGACATGGCATAGTTTTATTGCATAGTTATTGATGGCCTGCAAGTGGTACCGTTTTGATGATGACAAGTATGTAGCGCATTGCTTCCTGCACTCCGCGATCTTATTTTACCTTCGACAGAGTAACCCCATCGACACTTAGCGACTGCCTAGCCTCAAATGCTTACATGTGTTTCTACGTGAAGCGACATCTTGACTACAAACCCTATATGAAGCCAACGTATCTAGTTGCACGTGAAAACGACATCGTTCGTGAGCAAGCAATGGAGCGAGAGAAAGAGGCAGCACGTATGAAAGAAGTTGACGATGCCCTGATGGAGATGCTCTGAAATCGCCCCTGAAATGCGAAGGGTAAAAGGATCATGAACCATTGTATATATATAGGAGTCTAACAGTCGTTATTAAAACACGGAAACGAAGTTTAGTACGCAGTGAGAGTAAGGGCAATGATGTAGTAATGGAACGACATGGGAAGGGAAACAAGTTCGTGATATGCAAGATACAAAGAAATGCGATATTTCCAGAGTGAGGTCGTCGCTGATTTGACGGGGAGTAACGGAAAGGGTAGGATGTCGATCAAGGAATAATATCATAGAGTTCGCCATCTCTGACCCGAATCTCTACCACTTCTACCTCGCTGTAATCGGTCATCGAAGATGTATTTGACGTCCAAGAGCTGGAAAACCCTTTCGAGCTTGGTGGTGATGTAGATGCAACGTCTGTAAGTTAAATCATGGAGACAATAAGCCTTCTCTTCAGAAAGCAGTGAATGATCACTGAACAAGAAACGCACATCTATCTTTAATGTAAGGGGGAACGAATAGATCCTGTATTTAGAAAACCGGTCAACTGGGGCTCGGAAACATGGATAAAGGATGCAAACCTGGTTCCATACAAAACCTTGACTCTTCTGAATAGTCAAGATTGGACGAAGTGTATAGGTCGGCCGGCGCTCTCGCTTGCGATAATGCTTCTTTGTTGGCTCTACCTCAGGATCAAGTGCTTTCTGTTTGCCCTTCATATCCTTCTTAAACTTGGCAGCATTCTTCTCATCGTCAACTCCTTGATCACCTCGATCGATCTCCATGTTTTGCGTGTCATCCTGCCTCTCAGTATTTACGGCAAGATCTCCATCAGAACCACGGTCATGATGGCTGTAGTCTTCTCCGTCTTCTGAGCAGGACTCATCTTCGGAAGGACTGTCATTGTAGTCTTCATCATCATCGTCAGATGGGATTTGTTCATAGCAAGCCCAGGTTGGAGGAGAGGAAGCACGACCGATGGTACGGCGCCTGAAGTATGAGGAGTAAGGAGAGTTTTGGGTAGTAGGTACTCCTGGACTGCTCATCGTGGTATCGGATCAAACAATAACAGCTCGAGGTAAGTTGTATGTATATGTAGGTCCGAAACAACGTGTGTGTGTGCTGTTCGAAGCTGATGTGAATGGAACCAGTGCTTACAGCACTGTGATATCGAGAGTGACTAGTGACTGCTGTGGCGAGCGATCGAAGTCTCCCGCACATGTTCCCACAATCACACATATAGCAAATTAGATCGTGACTCGAGTCGAGTCAAGACGATCCTGATCACCAAGTACTGCTAGCATATTTCAGTTGAGCCTTGATGCAGTCACATCTGCTACTGGTAGAGGCGTATCCATGTCACCCGCGGCACAGTAATAAGAACGTGGGAGAACATGATACATGATCGAATAATTACAAGAACAATGCAGTACTAGTAAGAGGTCACGATGCGCATTTGACGGAACGGCAGCATCACTGCAGGTATCTTGATAACTAAGCGGTGGGACTTCGAGAATAAAATATGCGAGGGCGTGTGAGGGCGATCAGTACATCATGCAGGTCCGTCCAATGTTGCGGGAGAACTGGTAAAGTCGAAGTCGGGAGAGGATAATACGTGAGCCTATTAGGTAGTAGTGATGCGACAAAGAGTCTGCATCATCAGAAAAAGGTGTCCACACACGATCGCTGACGATATGCTTATACTAAGGGCCAACCAGAGTGAACTTGTAAGCGTTCTGACAATATTGTATGAATGCAAAATGAATGTCATACCACTAATTCAAACAGACCTGAGCTTCTTCAGAACTGTGCGGAGTGGTGTGGACTAAGGAGATCCTTAATTGAAGGCTTAATTAAAGTTGTTTATGTATCCACCCACTTTTATGTCATAAATTACCATATTTGGATTGATTTTGAGCGAATCCCTTTGGTCCCAGCGAAATACTTACAGCCTCAAGCGCAGATCATGCATTTGTATAAGTTGTAGATCACACTATCACGCCGCATTCAAGTTGATGGCGGGCACAAAGTTTGCATACGTGCGCAATTTCGAGCTCCCTGATCCACTGTTACCGGACACCTATCTGGTCTGTCGTCTCGATGGCCACTCTTTCCACCGGTAAGCAAGCATCGGAAGCCAATCAAGGGGGACAAAGTCTAATGGCATCGCACTTCTCAGGTTCTCGGACGAGCATGGCTTTTCCAAGCCCAACGATGAGCGTGCGCTTCAACTCATGGATCACGCCGCAAAGAGCGCGATGATCGAGTTCAAAGACATCATGCTCGCATTCGGTGAATCCGACGAATTCAGGCAAATATAACCCTTTCTTCCAGTTGTGACCAGTTTTATCACTCATAACAGCTTTCTCTTCCGAAAGTCGACGAACCTTTATAACCGACGACACTCAAAAATACTCACTACTTTGACGTCTTACTTCACATCATGCTATGTGCTTAACTGGTCGCAGTATTTCCCAGACACGCCGCTACGATATCCACCGTCATTCGACGGACGCATTGTCGTGTATCCGACTGAGCGTGCAATTCGCGACTATTTTTCATGGCGACAAGCCGACAGTGGGTCTATCTCAAATGATCGTTTTACTGAGACTGAGCACAGCTGCTTGTCAGCGTAAAGCCCACATAAACAATTTATACAATACCACATTTTGGGCTCTCATACAGAAGGGAGGTCAGACCACTACGGAGGCCCATGCCACGCTTAGGGTATTTTTTGCCTCCCGTATCTGTGATTCATCGTTTGACAAATCTTCAGGGCACCGTTTCCGCGACTAAGCACGAGATGCTTTTTTCCCGGTTCGGTATCAACTATAATGAAATATCGCAGAGGTTCAAGAAGGGCAGCGTTATAGTTCGAGAAATCGTACGTCCCGTTGGAACGTACTTTATCCAATCCTGCTCACGTTAACATGCAGGTAGCCCCTGAATCATCGGACAAGGGAGAATATCTAGAACCCCCAACGCTTTTGACTCGCTCAGAGGTCATTCAAGTACGCGACGAGACCCACGAGCACTCAGGAGCGTCTGGTCCACTGACAAACATTCCCCCGCATTCACAACCTACGAACGAAGATAATGAGACGCCACCAATCAACCCTCCGCGTCAAAAACGCTCCAAAGCGAAGAAAAACAAACTGGAAACTACAGTAGAAGTACTGCATTGCGGTATCATTGGCGATGAATTCTGGCTGGCTCGTCCGCATTTACTGGAAAATTAATAGTGTCTGCACGACTCGGAGACTTGCCATTGCCATTGTCAACACTGGAGTCCGTTAAAAAGTAGCGGCAATGACAAAAGTCACAATACAGCTGCTTGAGAAACACGGACTGCGAGGTAGTAGGACTCCTACGAAATGGCATGAAGGGAGTTCAGGCGCATTACATGCATCGCAGGTCTGTGGCTGCTCTCAGTTAGATTACTTTAAATACAGACATGTTATTACAACATTTGGCTACGTCTATGATCGATAGATGCGCTTGACTTCTAACTGCTTTTCTCTGATCGAGATGGTTGTATAGTGTCGTCGGCTTTCCTGTGTCCTACAACACCAACATTTCTCAGAGATACGAGGCCAAGAGAAGGAGCCCACCAGGAAGACGCCGACAATGAGCGTGGCGATGATATCTAGTTCTACCATCAAGATGTCTTCAGCGGGAAAATTGAGAACGAACTTACAAGCGGTTTTCCGATCCTGCGGTGTGAGAGCCTTGCCCAAGAACAAAAACAAAAACAAGTCCGAACGTTACCAGAATTGCGCCAATGCAACACATCGCCAAGAAAGCGGCAGCTACGCATAAAGTTACACGTCAGTGTTGCCTATGTTCTATCAGCTCACCAGGAATACGATCTTGGACGTGAGTACATACTTCGAGAGTTGGGTAACTGGGTACCACTACCACCGACCATGGTTCCGAAGGCGACCCCTACGGGAACACCCGCTGCGAAAGTAATTCGTGCACAAAACAGCGGAAATGCGTGCATAACTGAAGTAAGTGTGAGAGCAGTCATGGATTCTAGCCATCCGTACATACCACTGAGGGGATCAATGCAGCTGCCCCGAGGCCTTGGAAACCTCGTAAAATGACGAGGGTCTGGCCAGCTGAAGTCTCTGTAGCATTCGTATTTGTTGAACGGACCGCTCCGTACCATTAGCAAAGCTTCCACCAAGTGAATATGAGTTGAAATAAGGAGTCGAAGATAAATAGCTTCTTGCGATCAGCGATCGAATAGGAGGAGACACCGTGTAGACTGATTCAGCAAAAACCAGCTACTGACTTGAATTCAAAGTCCTATCGTCACGTGACGCAATAATTCAGGAACACTGACTTCATATGAGCAAAAGTGCAAGTCATGATGCATGATGGGTAAAACAGAGCGGAAAGTACTGCGCTGCGAAATTTTTGGGCTGTGCTTCTCTATTCTACTTCCTTGTGGAGACCCTGGTTCTTGTTCGACCGTGTTATCGGAGATGTGTGAGGCTCCGAAAGCAATGCTGGGCGTATTTTGAAAAAATGTATTGTACTATCCCTGGCGTACTGCACAATAATGCTTAGCGTCGGGCGCTGCAGAAACTGGTTTACCTGGACCCACAGATAGGTATTTATAGATAAAACACTGACGGTTTCCATCAGTTGCTGGCGGGTGTTCAATCTGTCGCCGCAGTGGCCATACTGGCAACGGGTCACGGTGAAGAGGATGAATGTAGATCTGCTCTCACTACCTAAAGGCAGGAATTAAGTGCGCGAAGTGGCAAAGTCTTCGCCTGTGGATCCATTGTAATATCTACGACCGGAAACACTGGTCTAGTTAAGTGATGTTGAACGTCGCCTTAAACGTCGGTTACTCAGGCTCGAGTGTCTGATTTGACTTGTGCACTTCATTGAGCTATGTCGAGGCACAGGGGTAACGCAGTGTCTGGGTCGAATTGCCAAAGAGATGTCACATCTTTGGACAGGATCTGTCAAACGGTTGAGAAGGACGCCTGAAATGATGCCAAACGTTGATGCGGAGCTGCAGATCATGATGCACGCCGACTATCAAACGTTAAACTATCCTACCTTCGGCAGTCGCCGATTCTGAATACCACACTTGCCATTTTTAGGATGCGCCAATTTGATCCCGCCTCCAACTCACGCCCACTCGTATGCGTTGATAGGCACTTCTTGAGCTTCGAGGAGCCCAAACTCCGAGCTTATATCTAATGCAAGTCGATGGCTTGGAAGCTGGTAATATTGTATCCCTTGATGCCAGTGCTGATACCTCGTTGTTGAAACACGTTAAACTAGCATGGTGCGTTTCAAGCGCATTACGCCTTCCTGTAAAAGGGAAATAGAGAACCTGCTTCCGATGCAATCCAGCGGAAATTACTGGATTAGGATAATATGGACTTACGGTGACACTGCCATCATGAATTTCCTTGCGAGGCAAGTACCAAAGTTCTCATGCAGAGGCGTTCTCAGTCAAAGGGAGCTGACGTACTCATTTCGCACGGGAGACCTTATCCAGAGGCAATCCGTGATTCAAGCACTCTACAGCAAGCGAAGTTTTTTGCCTCCTTTAGTAATTTTCGGAGTGAGAAAGGTGAAACATGTCACACCTTGCCGCCGTGGTTAAAAGGAGGGCCCGCCCACTGGTATTTGCAGTGAAAAAAAGCCCACAAGGCCTCACAAACCATACAAACCCTTCCCCGTATTAACCCTCGACCATCTCATTCATCTTGATCTTATACAGTCTTATACTCCTTTATTATCAGTGATATCAGTGATTGTTCTTGACAGTCAAACATATGACAGGTAAAATTTGATTTACATCTCGGAAAATGCCGTTATTGATCATGACTTGTGCCTTGCATCTTAATTTTTACGTGTTATCTGCCACCTCTTGATCACCTGATCTCCGCGTCGCGTCGTTCTATTACTCGACTATTCACGTTCCGTTGTTGTTAAACTGTTTGGTCTGGTGGGTCCCTACTATTTTTTTCATACAATGTCTTCTCCACAGTTGCCATGTCTGGTGCATCACATTTCAACACCTGGGGGTTGACCGGCGGTCTTCCTTCTCTCGGCGGCCTCACAATCAACAATTCAGTCACGATCACGCGTTCACATAATTTCTCGGACGGGGAGTCCGACTCTGGCACTGCCCGCACCGGCAACCAGGTCGGAGCCACCCATTTCGGCCATGCCTCTCGAAGCAGAGCTCATGATTCTGGAGTTCTGACTCCGGATCATTTTAATGACACTCCCTATGTCCCTCCTCGGGTTGGGCAGCCTCTACCACAAGTATATGGCACTGCAAGAGCTCACGGCATTCCGTCAGTGAGTAATCCAAGCGCTCATTTACAACTCATCTTATTTTTAAAAATATTCTTCCTACTGCAGTACCCAAGTCCCGGCGCAGAATCTCATCTTAGCGTGGACAGCAACTGGAGCAGCTCCTCGTCTTCCGATCAAGACCAGTCGTACACATCGCATTCTCAGTATCAGCAGTATAATTCATCGGTCTCTCGCCAGCCATCTTCTAATGAGCAACAGCACCTACAACACTTACAGCAGCCGCATTCGCATTATCCAGCTTATCATGGTATTCATCGTTTGGGTCTCGAGCATGTCGAATACCCACCCCAGCCACCCGCCAGTGTCACCACCGCCCATTATAGACCCCCTGCACGCCCTTCATATCAATCCAACAATATTCTGGCTCCCGAGTTCTATGAACAAATCAATCAGGACCTCCCCGTACCCATTCACTCATCTCAGACGCATATCGAACAGTCCTCGGCATCGCCGTCTAGTTCTCATGGATCGTTATCGACATTTTCCGCCGCCCCCACCACCAATGAGAGGTCCAGGCACCTTCTCTTCGAAGATGCCGGACCTTACTTGCGCGAGACACTGCACATCCCACCTTACAAGGCAGTCAACTTGTGGGCGCTTCCAGATCCTCCAGAAGGGGAAAAGCCAAACCAGCCCTACCCTATACTGATCAAGCTGGCGATTTACGGAAGCTCGAACAAGCAGCTCACGCTGCAAGAGATATACGCGGCACTCGAGGATCGTTTCCAATGGTTTAAGGTTCGACGAAACGAGAAGGCTTGGAAGGTGGGTTTCTATTCCGATTGCTTACCTATTACGCCTCATGGCTGTGCACAGAATTCGATTCGCCATAACCTTTCTTTGAACAAAGTCTTCAAACATGTGCCTCGTGCCATCACGGAGCCGGGCAAAGGAAGCTATTGGCAACTCGACTGCTCTAGTGGCGAGGGTTACAAGCGCCCTCGTAAGCGCCGTAGCAAGTCTGCTCGAGCAGCGCTTGATCAGGGTGACGATGACGATTCTTCGTCGGAAGGTGATATGGAGGGGATGAATGCACCTCAGGGTGGCATGCCAGCAGGTCCGGGTCACACTCCACATCGTCCTAGCCCTGCAGCATCCGACGACTCCTACATCGATCCCGATTTGAGACAGGGAAGTCACATTGTTGGCGAAGGTCGAACCCGATCTGCATCGCGCAGGTCCGCAACCAGTCCATATCCTGTCCCTGGTTCTCAGCAGTCGCCTAGGTACCTGCAGAACCAGTTATCGCCTCAGGAAAGTCCAGAATCAGCGCCAAGATTCGGTCAGCCGTCATTTGGACAGGGAGGATTCGGACGCCCGGGATTCAGTCAGATGCCGGCAGCCAGAATGCCTCTAACCTCTGCGTCTTCATCTTCAGCATTTGTGGCGTCATCTCCTGCGACGTTCGGCCCTGTTCCAGTGACGTCCACTCGTCCGCAACATGCTTTTGTGACCCAAGATCGCAACGCGCCTATCATACAGCCTACTCCCAGACCGGGCGTTGAGTACATTCATGAAGGTGGCTTGCCTAGTGCTAGACGCGTTCAAAGCTACCACCAAGGACAGTACCAGTCGTCTCAAGGCTTGCCGTCGTCGCAGCAGAATAACTACAGCTACCCTTCTGACCCCAAAGGCAAGGGCAGGATTTAAGCGTGCCAGTGCCTCAGACCGATGATCCCGCCCTCCTGCACATGTAGGGGATAATCGAAAGTCTTCTGCATATATTCTCTATCCACTTCTTTCTGGTTTCTTTCCTCAGGCTTACTTTTAATGTGCACTTCTCTTCTCTCTACCATCCCATGCACTAACGAATTTCCATGACGTTGTGTCTGTTTTCATCTTCCTGTTTTCCGCCTGCTTTCCTGCTCGATGATGTGATATAGAACCTCGCTGCAATGATTGTGCTCACGTGCTCACGACCCCATCTACCTACAGTCGACTATCGTCCATGCATCAATAATCATCTATGTTCTGCCTCACAAACTGTATCCCAAGTCCTCATCATTGCTCCAATATATATCTATATTCAACATTTGGACTCGATTTTTATGTGCCGAGGCTTCTCTGTCCCCTCACCATCATTGATTTAACGACGGATCGGGAAGCACCGGCTGCGCTATCGACGCGAATCGACACAAGTCAGGAATCACTGTGCCCTTCCCGGGTTCCAACTGCCTGGACCGAATCCCCTAGGTCCTAGTGCCTCGTCGACAACATGCATCATCGCGAGGACCTTCTCATCCTCCCATTTCTTACCTACAAGCTGAACACCAACGGGCATACCCTCCATCGCTTTAGGATCGTAAGCGGGATTCTTGCCCAGGTACATGCGGTTCTCGAGCACTTTCGATCGGCCCGAGGCGCCTGCTACGAAATCTGTTGATAGCTGGTCGGTATCCGGGCTGACGCGCGTCACTGGTATGGTGCCGACAGGAGAGTCAACGACGTTATATATAATAGTCGCGGCTGCGACTGGAGCCAAGTATGTGGAACCCCTGGAGATAATGAGTTTCACAACCAAGAGGGAAAGTACTGAAGCTTACCCGTGAGGTATCACTGGAAGGGACTGTACAGGTGCGATGATTCCGTCGAAACCGTATTTGTCCCATACCTGGAGGGCATTAACGAAGGAAAGGCCTTGGATGTCGACACGCTCACCTGTTCATACCACGCAGCAGTAATCTTATTGCGTTGGTCGGTCAAATCCGTGAATTCCGAGACAGTTTTCACTCGTCCCAAGGAGAAGAAACGAGAGAAAAGGGAGTCGCCTAAGACTGTCTTGGTGATCCAGCAAATCAGGTTACGAACGAAGAACGGTAATCTGGGGCCCAAGGTGACCAGAAATAAACTGTCCTCCTGCCAGTCGGGTTATGTAAGTTGTAGACGGCATATCCTTAATTTAAACTTGCCATAGGGTCTGAATCAAGATGCGACAGCATCTTCTTATAACCATCAGATGATGCGAGTCCCATGAACACCTCCATCGCACTTGTATCTTGATAAAATGTCAGGACGGAGAATGAGGACAGGTATAGAAGGCGTACTCAGAGGAGATGTAAACTCGATGCATTCATGTCCCTGCTTCCTGAGTGCTGAGACTGTTTCCAGTACTGCTCGCTTGCATACAGGTGATGTTTCTATCATGCCATCTATAAGGAACCTATAAGCAGCAAATCACGACGACCAACATACATCACGGTACCTGACAGGTAATAGCCAAAGCGAAGCTTGGAAGAGAGCTCGACAGCTTGGTACGGCATAGGAATATTCTGGTGAGACGAGTCCTTTTGACCAAAGATAGTTTTGCAGAACAGTTCACAGTCCTGGACAGACCTAGAAAATAGTCAAGAAATGAACCAAGTTATGCAGGTAGCGACTAACCGCGCCAATGGCCCATGAGAAGATCGAATTGCTTCGAATCCAGGCCGGGTGGCTGTAATAGAAAGCCAGTTAGCGTCTCGGTTGGAAAGAATCGAGAACATGACCTTCCTTGTGTACCAATAGAACTAATACGCTCAGCCGTCGGCTTCAAAGAGTATATGCCGCAATACGATGCTGGGATGCGTAGGCTTCCTCCTATATCAGAACCGACGCCCATGGCTGATCCGTCCATGGCAAGCAAAGCTCCCTCTAGCACCAGACATTGTTATTTACTGGGAGAATCACAAGCAGATAGCGAACCTCCACCAGAGCTGCCTCCACATGTATACTTGTTGTTCCATGGATTTGTCGTGCGACCCCAGAGAGGATTGGAGCACTCGAACGCGAACATTGTCTGCGGCACATTTGTCTTCACGAAGATGATGGCACCAGCAGCTCTAAGTTGAGCAACGAGCTATAAATAATGATCATGAGAGAATGGGCGAATGTTATAATAAGGACGTACGCAAGCGTCTTTTTTGCCTGGGTTGTTCGCCCATGCGGTGAACCCAACGGTCGCGTCGTATCCCTCCATGCGGTCTACAACAGGCTTCAGAAATGTATCCGTCACACATGGAGCGACGTACAATTATCTTTGACGCTGAATGGAACACCGTGTAAAGGTCCCCGCAATGTCTTTGTGCTCGCAAATTCTGCGTCAAGCTCGTTTGCTCGTTTGCGGGCGTCCTCATATAGGACTATGAAAAGTATCAGGATGAAAATACTGGAAGAGAAACGGCGAATCTGCTCCCCTTCTGTAAGACAGTTCACCTCGGCCTGAGCCATGGCAGAACGGGCAATATATGCCTCGAGGACTTCAGAAGAGGTCCATTCTCCTTTGGCTACCTTTTGCACAATTTCGCTGGCTACAAAAGTCACGACACGACATATATCCCTGAACAGAGCACAAGCTAACCCGTTGCTTTGGTATAGATGTCATGGTCGTTCACCAAATAAGGACCAGCAAATCCCAGTGCCTTGTCTCTTGCATTCCGCTTCGACGTGATGATGCTGTTTCTCTGTTCAGCGCTTCTCATGGTGTCAAATATTTAGGAGCAGTGGATGATGGAATGAGGGAAAGGAATATGCGATCGTTCGAACGCGAGTTGGATTGATGCGCGCCTTCAAGCCGACGCCGACTCGTTCGCACCGGGACCAACTAAGTGCCCGGAATTTATTTATGCCACCGAGCGTACTTGAATAGAGGCTGTCCCCATATTTCCAATTCCATCGCAGTACTCCGTGGCAACGCTGCGGTATTCTCATGTCACTATCCATATGTATTATTATTATAACTTTCACATGTCAACATTCTCAGACCTCCCCAGGTTCCCCGCAAATCATACTACGCACAATAAGGTCCAACTGCCTCCGTTCCAGAAGCTTCTTCAATCTCTCGATCATCTCCAGACGCGTTCCTGTCGGTACGATCGAGGGGTTGATGTCGGCGTGAGCTTGAAGATTGCGAATGAGCGCGACATTTGATAATAATGAACATGCAGAGGGATCAGTGATGAGAGGCAACGCAGGATCGACGAGGGTACTGCTTGTGTAAGTCTGCAAACTAGGTAAGTTACGCTAAATGAAGAAGAAACACCCAACCATCGATGTATTTCTCGCATCTGAAGGGAATTTCGATGTCAATGACGCGATCCTCAGCGTGGATTACCGCTGCGAGCCGACGAAAACCAGGCATATCGATTCCAGTTGCCTGAATCGAAAGATATGCAAGGTTGGTGAGGAGGAGGATAGCAGGTATTGCGTCGTCGTCGATCTTCGGATTGTGTGCAAGGTTCAGATGATACAACTTCTCTTTGAGGGTAACCAGCAAGAATACTCTGAGAGACCGTCAGTCGTCATGAATACACGAAAATTTTGACAGCCAACGCTTCGTTTCCGACATCCGTTCCTTCGAGGTGGAGTCTTTCTAGGTTAGGAAGTTGTTGGATGTGAACGAGGTCAAAGTCGCGTCCTAAGTGGGCGCCATCGAGTACTAGCTCCCTGAGCGTCGAGTAGTAACCAGGTCTGCTGAACACTGTCCAAAGTCAAGCCTGTAACAGGGACGTGTTGCCAAGAGCTTTACCGCGCAAAAGATTGCTTGAATGTAGATTTAGCCCATCTTCCTCGCACATCGTAGGACCTAACTCCAATTTATCGATATTGCCACCTCGCAGGAGCGTCAACACGGTTTCAGTAAGGAGTCCTAAAACCATTCAGCATTCGTAACAGGAAGAGACATTCCTGCGATTGATACCCCGGTCTGCCAGGACGTTTGTGATTTTCTGGTGAGTGAGGTGCAGAACGGCCAGAGGGTCTCCTAGGAACGTCTGGTGCACACCCGTGCCCGGGATGACCATTTCAAGGCGATTCACCAGGTAAGAAAGGTCAACTGGCGTCTCATCTCCTGTTTCAGATTCATAGACCCACGCTGAGACGCATATAGTCAGTATATGCATGTGTTTAGTATTTAAGAGGGAGGACTCGGAGCGGGAACGAAGATAAAAGTTTCCTGAAGGAAAAAAGGGGGACACCTGCGAGAGTCCTTGGAACGTCTTGATATGAAACCGAGAGTGGATCATGATGATGCAAAGTATAAGACAGCGGTTTGATTCCACTATTGTCGACAGGGCTCGTATGAACGGATTGTGAAGAACGACCTCGTTTTGACGGTCCTCCAAGAACAATGGGGTCTTCAAACTTGGAAGAATCTCGAGAACGCTTCGGAACGCGTGTAGAAGCTCTCCTCCACGCCAATCCAGCTAATCCACGTCGCAATACTGGTAAATCTGGCAAATCGTCTGAAACTTGATTTCGCGCGAGAATGATTGGCGACTGGATATCTGGGCTGCTCGGCCATGAAGGTGCATCTAGGGTGTTATCAACGACGGCATTGCTGGTATAATTTTCGTCTTCTTTTGTGAAGCAGAGACCAATTTTCCAGAAAAAAGAGCGCAAGGATATGTCTTGAAAAAGAAAAGGATTCGATTGAAAAGCTTGCCGAAGGGTAGCCAGATATGCTGTAGCTGGGAAGCTCGGGCAGTAAAAAGGATTTTCCTCGTCGATGAGGGGAATCTGGCCATAGGTGTTCATGTTGAAGAGTACTAGACTAGTCACCAGTGACTCACCACTAGTAGCGCATCCTCCACCCTACAAACAACAACCACGTGACCGTGTCCTGAGCGAGCTGCGCCATTTAGTTATTTAATTATTAATCATTTAATATTAGGGACATTAGGGGAACTCACACCTGGGAGCTTACGCTTACACCCCCCAATACTATCTGATTTGTATATGGGTATAAACAAACCAAAATACATTACATGCGCTGCCGCGTCCAGTATAGTCGGTGAGCGCTGTGACCGCCAATGTCGAGCGTTCTGCCAGTGGATTATTGATCGTCCGAGTCTCGTTAGCGTCATGAGAAAGAAGGACCCTACACCCCCTCCTATTCCCGATGTCCACTGGTCCATGGATATGACATGGACCTTGCTGTCAGAGGTCGAGAAAGATGAGAACAGGCTTGTTTTACTGGGGAAGCGGGACAAGAAGGAAGTAAGTAATATTCACTTTCGGATCTCCTCAGCGCTGTCTCAGGATATTCTGGACAAGGTAAAGCAGCGCATCGTCTCCTGACTGGGATGAATTTGACGAAGATGATTGCTAAGTCCCCTGGCTGTATACCCTTCCAATTTTTCAACTCTCTTCAATACACTCGTTCACCATGTGACTCCTTTTACACTTGCTTTTATCACTCACTTTACACTTGCTTTTATGCTTTTATGGTTAGTTTTAATGCTAGTTCACAGATGTTTAGATTTAGTTTAATTAGTTAGCATCTGTTGAAATGCTAGTAGTTCTTTGACCAGGAGCACCGCAGCCTCTTCGGGGGATAATTCTGGATTTGCCAGGTTACGGAGAACCATTGTCAACATATATGTGTGTAGATACTGCTTAGTGCTCATGGAGAGAAATTTGTGCCATCTTCGCTTGCAAGTTGTTAATTGATGACAAGCAGTAACTTGGTACTTTGTATTATATAATCTGCGTCTGCGCAAACTGGGGGGTTGTAAGCATAAGCACGGATAAGCATAAACCGTAAGCTCCCAGGTGTGAGCTCCCCTATTCACACCTGGGAGTTTACGGTTTATGCTTATCCATGCTCATGCTTATGACCCCCCTGGTTGCCCTGTGCACAAGCTCTGGTTCATCTACAGTTTGCTGTGACACTCTACTGAATGGGTCACTATGGAAATGCTGCATCTGTGAAGCACCTGACCCTGTGGGAATAATGCATTATCATTGTAAATTTGTAATTACAAGATACAGATAATGCATTAACAATTGTAATGGCCAATAATACATTACTTTTGATTTACTTTTAATACTTTGTAATAATTGTAAATTTTGGTTAAAGGGTTGGAGGTTAGATGTTAGAGGGTTAGAGAGTTTGTTAGAGAGTTAGAGATTAGTGATTAGTTAGGATTAGCTAGGATTATATTCTGTCTTGGAGAATTTCATAAAAGGTAACCTAGGTTATAGGTTGGTGTACTGGTAGGTATAACAGTTAATGCACTAAATCAGTTTTCTAACTATTATCATGCATTAATATGACAGGATAGCCTCGAAGCAGAAAAAGTCATGCTTAGATCCTCCAAATATGCTGCCCTACACACTATAGACCCATCTGCTTTGTTGAAACACTTTGCAGACATAATAGATCAACTCTTATGACATCACAGCTCGCTCCTCTTCCAGCTAAGAACAGGTCATGCCCCCCTCAACAAACACCTCCATCTCTTATGATTTAGATTCCAAGCTTAGTGGGAACAGCAACAGTAGATAGGAGTATGTGGCACACAGATCCAATTCAACTGTTTCCGATATACCAATATACTAACTATCTACTCTGCCACTCAGATGCTCATATAACTCTGCTAGTGAGTGCACGAACCATGTTCTCAGATTGCACATCACAACACTTCCCCTCAATCTGGGGACATGCCCAGCATATATGGGAGCTTCTGGTGTGCCAGTTTGGCTAGTGGCTTTGTGAGTACATCTGCTATCATTTTCTCAGTAGAACAATACTCTTCATGTAATATATTTTCGCAAATCTTACTTCTGATGTAGTGACTTTTTACATCAAAATGTTTGGACTTCATGTGATATTGTGGATCACATGCTATTGCTCATGCTGCCATGTTGTCTCCATACCGGATAGTTGGCTTATTCTGGGCCAATTCTATGTCTTTAAATAGATATCGAAGCCATACTGCTGTAGAGACTCGCATTTCTGCAGGCTGCTATGGGCCTATATTACACCTTTTCACAACTCATGACAATTGGCCTTCACTGCACGACTTGCACCATCATCCATATGACTTCCACTATGTCTTCAGTTGACTCCGCATATCACACACAGCTTTCCTGCAAAATGCACCATAGGCGCAATGCTTTCCCACACAACGTGCAGCATTCCCACCCACGCACTTTCTCGCGCTTAAGCGCACTACATCACGCAGCATCCAGGAGCATCCATCCATCGTCCAACCAGTCCCTTGGTATGTCCCTTTTCATTATCTGACCATATTTGCATATTACACTTCCTATTTCATTATGGACCCTTACTTTACATCATTTACATACTTAGAGCGCTCCCTATTCAGCTCTGATGTGGTGAACAAGTTTTGGCTGGGCTGTAGGTAAAAGCACCAAACCAAAATATATGAGTCTCCTGCTCTGCCTAGCTGCTACTCCTGCTAGCAAGAACGTTCGACTCTAAAGGATCTCTGACTAGGCTCAGGCTCAAGGAAAGAGAGTGAGGAAGGTACCCAAGTCAAGGTAAGAAAATTATGTTCCAGGAGCTATCTGGTGAGCTGAGGGAGCTACAACTAGGAAAGCTACAACTAGGGGATGCTACTGAATAACCCAAGTGAATGGGGAGCAACCAAAGAACTGGAAACAAGGAAATTAGGTAATGAGTGTAGAGTGCTAGGTAAAGAGCGAAGTGATTATGCAAGCAGCAAAAGTGCGAACCTAATCTAAGGAAAGTGTCAATAGGACCTGCATAGTGAAAAGTGCCTCTGCAAGGCTAGAGAAAGTTTGAACACCACACTGAGCCCTGGGAAAGCGCTTAGGTAGAACTTACATACTCTCATGTTCATTCTACACCTCATCTTCCTACCACTCAGTATCTTCCTACCACCATGTTACTTGGCAGTTAGTTCCATGCAATGCATATATCCGTCATCATCATGAGGCCCTAGCATCAGTCTACAGCTAGTGGCACTATCAGTATCCGTCTAGATCCGCGCTGTCATGCATGGTATGCAACTCATACCATGACAGATACACAAGAGGTGTAATAAGGAAGGTATAATAGACCCTACTGTATCCTATCACCAAGTCACCCCATCATTTTCCCCCTAGTTATTAGCTAGTATTTTCACTTTCAAACTTCACTTTCATTTTTCCATGTATTTCTATTTTGTTCTATGACATTCTATCTCTTTCTATTTTTCCTAGGCACATTCAGCCACCAAACATGTTTGTAAGCATGTCATGTGACTGGTAAATATCATGATTTGTCATGCTTTGTAAGATTTCTAACTGTATTTATAAGCTACTTAGTAAGAAGGCTGATTCAGCACACCAAATGGCATTGTTAGTAAGCACATCCTTACCAATCCATGTGATGACTCATGCCATGATTTGTCATGCTTTGTAAACTACACTGTATCTATAATGTAAATTAGTAAACAGGCTGACTCAACACACCAAATGGCATTGTTAGTAAGCACATTCTTACCAATCCATGTGATGATTCATGCTTTGTAATCAGGGCCTCCAAAAGGTATATAAAGAGCCCAATTTTGCCATGTAATAAATGGAGCACTTCCCACCTTCACTCATCTCAAACAGTGTGAGATTAAGTAAGAATCTAAGTACAGGCAAATCACTAGCCTCAAAGTAAGACTAAGAAACATTTATTCAATTATATACTACCTTACAGGGGTTGATTATATAATCTATCAGCTAATCTAACTAAAGTTTAACCCATATTATTTTCCTCTCTTGTTTACAGGAAGGGAGACACGATTCACGCTACACATTTTACGCTACACGATACATGAGCATGCTAACTCTCAGACACAATTCATACCATAGACTCAGTATACAGAATCAAATTGTTTTAAACTAACTGAGGAACAAGGAAAGAAGGTATATTGAAATAAATCCTCCCAAGAACTCACATGTTATCTACCATGAAAACTAGAAAAGTCGCAGACCGTGTACTTAAAGACTGGCAATAAGTCTTATCCTGTATAGTTGTGTTGTCACTATATAAGCGGCATACATAAGACCCTTAAGTAAGAGGACAGTGCGTTTCCTCTTATCAGTCTCAGTACATGTCTTCTACACTTGTGCACCACTTGCACTACCTTCCCATGCTTTGCGCAGTTTCACACTTCGCTTTCCCGCACGTGCCTTCAGCGCGTTTCTCGCGCTTTCACTGCCTTTCATTAGGGTTGATCAGCCTCGTTTCATGGATCCTTGCTTTCTTTGCTTCCCCTTTAGGGTCGAACATTCTTGCATTCTGCGAGTATAGCAGCTAGGCAGAGCCGAGACTCACTTATACTGGTAGAGCACTTTTCTTATATGCGCCTGCCAGGTTGTGATACCCACACCGCTTCTTTTGCACCATGTGCCATTGCTGTATACTCCACCTCTGTGGATGACAGTGAAACAGTGTTTTGCTTCTTGGAGCTCCAGGTAATGGCTCCTTCAATTAACTTAAATACATATCTTGATACTGACACTCTGTCACGGATGTCATTAGCATAGTCTGCATCTGTCCACCCTTCAAACTTGATATTGTTGATGCTTGTGGAATGCTTTCCTCAATATCTAATTCCAAGTTCTTTTGTCCCAGCTAAGTATCTTAATACTTGTTTTGCTGCTGACCAATGTGCTAAACCTGGATTTGCAGCAAATAAACTAAGTCTTTGTATCGCATATGCAATTTCTGGGTGTGTTGCAACCACCAAATACATCAATGAACCTGCTAACAATGCATAGCTATTGCTACAATCCCCTTTGTCATTGGTATCTTCCTTCTCCAGTATGACCTTCGGATCCATCAGCATTCCTATTGTGTTACATGTTTGGAGACTGTACTTTGCCAAAATCAAGTCAATATATCGCCCTTGTGAGAGCTTGCATGTCATGCTCTCACAATCTCAAGTAATCTTGATTCTGACAATTTTCTTCAGTTCTCCAAGGTCTGTAACATCTAGTATAGCCTTCAGTTGCATTTTTAACTGTCTCATTAGGTCTTTATCACTTGTAAACAGTAATAGGACATCTACCCATATGGTGACGATCTCTTTATCTTGTTCTATTGACCTGACATATATGCATGGGTCTGAATCAGTATGTCTGAAGCCTATTCTTGTTAGGCAATTGTTTAATTCTATATTCCACTCATGTCCTGACTGTTTCAGGCCATATAGTGTCTTTCAAAGTCTGCATACTTGACCTGTGCCATCAGTTGTATCCTTCTGGCTGTGCTGTATATACTTCTTTAGTAAGTATACCATTTAGATATGCACCTTTTACATCCATCTGTTCAATCTCCCAATCTAAGGATACTGCAGCTGATATAGTCAACTGTATTGACTCTAGCCGCACAACAGGTGAAAAAGTATCTGTATAATTCATTCCAGGTATCTGTGAGTACCCCTTTGCTACTAATCTGGCCTTATATTTAACAATTTCTCCTTCCTTATTCATTGTCTTAACCAAAGCCCATTTAGTCCCAACTAAGGTCCTGTTTTCAGGACAATCAACTAACTCCCAAGTACCCATATTGTTTAATTGAATGAGTTATGTTTGTATTGCTTCTTCCCACTTCAGCCAATCTGATGACACTTTAGCTTCAGTCAAATTCTTTGGCTCATTCGGATTAATATGACCTCCTTCCGCTATTGCTATAAGGATTATATCCTCTTCTGTTAGTTGTGATAGTGTGGCTGAGTGAATATATATCATAGGTGGATTCTGAAGGTGGTAGTAGCAGCAACTGGTGGTGGGGTTATAGGTGATGCAGCTGCAGATGGTGGAGATGGAGGATGAGGGCTTTTCATTGTATAGCCTCTATGTAAGGAGGTTTGATCAATATATGCTTTTATTTTAACTTAGCCTTATATCTTTATGTAATCCCATATGGTCCTACCTGACGCATGTAATAATCAATACTCACACTCAAATGTGATTTTCCACTTGCTTCAGCTAGCTCTAAACCTTTCATCATTAATGATCTACATATCATTCTCAAAAATAAAGGCTTTATATTATCTGATCTCTTCAATGCTTTCTTACTTCCCAATTTATGCATCCTAGAAATTTATGATGTTTCACCCTGGCCTCATTAGGAATTGAAGGCCTTCTTGGCATAATTAAGGTGTCATTTGAAGGGTTTGTTGTTGGGTTCTGAAGTGACAACAACAGAGAGGCAGTGAGCAGAATATATGACCCTTATTCCTTCTCTTGAAGTAGTGGCTGATTCAAGTTGTCATGACATCTTTGGATCATTTAAATGATATTTTATTTCTTGGGCAGTAGTATCAATATAACCCTAGCTATGGTAGAAGAGTAGGTATCAAGGTATACACATGGTGGCATCCTCATTGAGTGGGACTCAAGCACCCTAGAATGTGTCAAGGTCCCTAGAGGTCATGGTAAAAGGAGAGTAGTGATATACTGAGCCTATCAAAACTTAAGCCAGACTATATTGAAGGGCCTTGGCTTGATTAGGCCATTCTCATCTCCATTATCAAGTTCCTTTAGTGCTAACTATAGAGCTGAGGAAGGAGGAGGCTCATGGAATATTAGTCATGTTGGTATATCATATAGAGAATTTAAATAGCCTTAACAATGTTGCCCTTCAAATGGTTCTGGTACTTAGTGATAATCAGAGCTGTAGCTAAAAATGCTTGCTCACTCAATACTGACATAGCTATGATTGACAGGTAATTACAAGCTAGAGATACCTAGACAGGGTACTACTAGGCATTTACCTATAACATCAAGCTTACATTAACAAGAGTCAAGCACATAAAAAATGATAGGGCCCACCCCTCACCATTAAATCCTTACAAAGTATATAATAAACTTATCTGTGAGATTTGGAATGTCAACATTGCCTACACAATGCAAGTGTTTGCCTGAAAGAGAGGTTTGAAAACACACAATACAAAAACTAGTGATATATATACTTTGTTACAGTGCAGCCTCCTCAATTTCATCATCTGTGCTATCTGATAGCACACTTGGTACTTCATTAGTGCTCCATTTGTTGCTAACTTATGTTGGTTTTGAAACCAAGTGAGAGTGTGAAGTTACAGGCAGCAGAGGTTGTAGTTTGCTTCTGCAGATAGAAAGTTTGGGTGTGGTATTATTATTGAAGTTAGTAAGCTAAGAAGAGAGAGTAAATAGGTCAGTATGAGCAAGAAATCATATGCATGGATGATTTATCATCCAATACAATGATGGGCATGTGCTTATGCTCAACTGCAGTAGAGGAACAAAGATAAGTTTTTTTTCACTTGTCAATTGAAATCATGCTGACATTAAACTACAGCACCAAAATTTAAATTCGTTGATATTAAATTTGATGTCGCCACCAATGTCATGAGGCAACATCATCTTGTTGCTGCCATGAATTCTATCATACCATTGCTACAGATGAGGATGGAATTGGTTCCCATACCAACACTCCTGACCAAATACTGTTCTACATACCACTTCAAGTGGAAACTACTACTACTACTCCATCACCACAACTGTTCCAACAGCCATTCCAACAGCTGTCCCCACCACTATCACTACAGCCATTCCATCAGCCATCCCCACTACCATCACCACAGCTGTTCCATCAGCTGTCTCCACCACTATCCCCACAACTCCAGCCAGATGTCAAGTTATCTTCTGATTCACTATCTTCAATAGCAGCACACTTTGCTGACTTAGAATGGAACCTGGTACATCCAGAGATGTGGAGTGAGTATATTGAATGCTCGAAATTTGATGACAATTAGGCTCATTGGCTTACTCATACCTGCCTCTTAGAGATTGAAACTGTACAGTTTTTAATCTGCCACCAGATGTTCCACTTTGAGAAAGCCAGGCCCTAGGCCTTTATAACCCAGCAGTGTAGGCCTGGTAAGAGCTTAGCCTAAGGGCCTGAGGCTTGGCCCAGCACATCACTAAAGGGGAGAAACCTCTTAAAAAGTCCAGATAGAGTACCTGAACAAAATCAGGTATTCTAACTGAACATTCCATAGAGTGATAGTGAATGTTGGATGGGTGGATGGTAATGGTGACAGTGACAGTGATGGTGATGGTGATGGTGATGGTGATGGTGATGGTGATGGTGATGGTGATGGTGATGGTGATGGTGATGGTGATGATGGGACTTTGACATCATAGGTTCAAACTAAGGAATACTATAGAATATTTATGCAAGCAGTTGTGATGATGTGGATATTTGAGAAAATATAGTTGTTGAGTATGATGTCTCACACTGCATACCAAGGGCACTCTCTCATATCACCATCAGCAGCAATGATTGTAAGATACAGTGCAAAATCCTGAGGATGATCCATTATACATGAGATCTATAAGTATTATAAGCTAAGATGCAAATATGCTCAGCATGTGAAGAGAATGATTGTATAATATTAATATCTCAGACATGAACAGGCTAGAGGAATTATAGTAAGAGATGGTGGAATGACAAGAGTCTGGAAACTATACCTCAGGGTGTGAAAATATGATCTGTGATCACTGCCGGTGTGCCATTTTTTCAGATCATGTTGTAGGGCACCTCTAGAATAATCACAAGAATATCCTGCCATTCTCTCTCAAGAAGCAAGCCATCAAGGCTGCTGTGAGGCAGGCCAGGGACAGACTGCAGGCTATAGCATCTTATGACCTGTCCCCAGTCTTACCAAACAGACATTTACCGCCCCCTGCCATGGTTGACTGAACACGAACCAGGTCTTCGCTGCCAGCACTGTCCTTATGCAGCCAAAATTATAGGCTCAGTTCAGGTGCATGCTGGCAAAACACCTAGTATCTACAGGGAGGACCAGCTGGTTCTGGTACAGTGCCTTTTTGCAAGATCATACTATTTTGTGGTTCACCCAGTTCTAGAAAACACCAGTCCTGATGATCTATTCACTGCCTTATATTCATCACTCCCAGCTGAATGCATGAACAGTGCTATTGTTGATGCTCATACAATTAACAGTTGGGGTCCTAGTGATCTCTCTCCATTTCTAGTGAATACTGGCTGGGTGGACGCTATGAAAACAATGATTGAGGTACATATGAAGATATGAGATAGTATGAATTATATATGCAAACATGCATAATAAGTAGAAAAAGAAAATTAAACTATGCAATGTGATGAGTTTTCAAGCTTGGGAAAGTAGCATAAGCAGTGCACAAATATATGAGAGACTGGTAGATGAGATAAAGATGTGAACTAAGATGATGAGAGATGACTAGCAATGATAATACAATAGAAAATGCAATTTTAGATGGATATTGATATTGCCACTAGTTATAGACTGCTGCTGGGGCCTATGATAGTGATGGATACATGTATTGCATAAAACTAACTGGTAGATAGATAGTAACTGCTAGAAGCTAGGTTGTAAAAACAAACATAGCAACATACAAGTCACACAGAAGTGCATTCCCAGAATTCAGAGCCAAATAGAGAGTACTCCGAGTCAGAGTATGTAAGTGAGATAAAGTCAAGGTTCATAGTGCCAATTATAATCCAATATAGGAATAATATAAAAAGAGATGTATCAAGGAACTAGTTAGACAATGAATAGATGTTCCTGTGTGATGTGCAACATAAGGTGACAAAGCACTCTAAGCATGTATGGGGGAGCACATTGTGTAGTACAGGAAAGTGTTGTACCTCTGGCACATTCTACAGAAAAGCTGCATACAATGTACAGAATCAACTGTAGGCATAGTAGAAGTCACATAGCAGATAATAGTGCAAGTCATAAGCTTATGTAATGTCAAGACATGTTTGTCTTAGTGGTGAAACAAATCTTGCCACCTCTATCTGCACTCCAGTTTGACATATTATATTATAATGTTTAATGCACTGAAAGTCCTCCCTGAGGTCTTTGAAGGGAAAAAGATGAAGGAAAGACAGTGAGAATGTAAGCAGTGGATTCCTCCATTTTGTTTGTTGAGCTAGCAAGTGATGCTGACTCCAATGAATACAAGGATAATCTTGGTAAAAGGTTGGAACCTTTCAACACATGTTTTGGTCCAAAGGACTACTCAGTCAGAATTAACAGCAACAACATCCAAACTCTGCATGGAACATCCTCCTTGAAAGTAATAATGACTAGTAATAATGACTTTTGGAGAACATAATCCAACTGAAGAAGATCTTGCAGATAAGATTAACCAAATTGCAACATATTTGTGATTCCACCCTCCTGATATCAGACTGAAGGTCATGCATCATTCTTATAGGGAAATCCTAAACTCCACCAGCTTTTATTGCTACTGTCTCACTTCTAATGTACCTTGACAAGCAAAGTCTAATCAGGCCAGGCAAAATTTGCCTCCTGAATTTGCCCTAAACACCAACATCTGTGAGCTGATTCAGAAGTGCAACACTGATGAAAGCCAAAGATAAGCTTAGTCTTTTGCAATGCTATATATACAGTAAGATATCTAATCTACTTGAACCATCTAAACAGTCTCATCTACTTTCTCCTCAAAGTGGCTATTATTCATAAGCTTGCTTATGTAGTGATATATGTCTTCACCTCACAGAATACCCTCAAGAGATTTCATGAGAACAGGCCTCTAAAGGATGATGCTACCAGAGGGCATCAATCAAAGGCCTTGGAAAGAAGTATTTTTCTACTATTCATTCTGCAGGTGATATTGATCTGAATCTTCTGGAGCTCCTAACTGGCTGGCAAACTTGAATGTAAGTTTTCCTGTTAGTCCTAATTCATTACCTTTACTAATAGTTCATCAAGACACTCATTCCAGCTATTGCAGGAGAATAGCTCTGTAAAGAGCTATGGACTTCACTGTGACAGGTTGATCATAATGACCTTGTGGATTCTTGAGTCTAGAGATGCTGATGGCCAGGAAGAAAAAGAAGACAGGGATGATACTAGTAGTTATTATGATTAATCTGATAGATCATTCAAAGACCTTCATTCTGTACAAGATTAGTAGGATATGAATTTCACCAATGAAGAGGATGACAAGGGAGATAGCCTATGGCCTGAGAATGATCTAGCTTGGATTGATGACAATGCAGATCAGGATTCCATCAATTTGGAAGCTTCTGATGATCTAGCTCCCTATCCAATAGGATTGAACCAGAATCAAAGATGGCATACACAGGCACTGAAAAAGTGCTATGTGGAACTGCATTCCTCACCTGGTCAGCTTCTGACAGCATATCCTGCTCTCCTCTTATCTATTTTCACCACCAATTCTGACACTCATTCTCTGGGCCCCCTCCACTTCCTAACTGATGGCTTCATTATCTCTACTAGCATCAATATTCAAGGACACTTCTCCTCTTCCCATCTGATTTCTCCATGACTTGCCAGGATGATATATGCTGCTTTGTTTTTCATGCTAACAGAGGTCCTGAAAGTGCCTGATTCTTATTAGTAAGTTTTCAGATATCTGATACAATAACTATTGCTAATTATGATACATTAATAGAGCCTTTATAGACTCTATGAAACATTGGATTGAGCTAGGTGAGCAAACTCTATTCTGTGGCATTCAACACTATTCTTACCTCTGCTATACCATTTGTTGAGGTCATATTTCCCTTCTCTAAATTTACTTTCAACAGTGAAGTCCTTTCTGTCACCTCCCTGATGAAGATGTATCATATCATCTATAAAAGTAGTTATTATTCATGAGCTTGCTCATGTAGTGATGTATGCCTTCACCTCATAGAATACCCCTAAGATATTTCATGGGAACAGGCCTCTAAAGGATGATGCTACCAGAGGTGAAGCATGGAACAGTATAGAGACAGTGATGATTGGAGGGAAAGTGATGCTGGCAACTCCATCTGATTCCACCATCCAAACAACTAACCCCTTAGACCTTATTAGAGTGGTGAGAATGATGAGTGGAGATCAGGATTAGAAAATTCTTGACAGTGAACATTTAAGTTTCTGCCCTCAGTTTGATAGCATTGACAGCTTAAATCCATTTCTCTAGTAAATACATCCAATCTACAGACATTGCATCTGGCGACTGGAGTCACATCCATGATTTACTAACATAACCTTTCCCAGATGGTTTTCAGTACACAAAACTTTATGATGCTAAACCCCATTCACTCCTAGCACCTTTATCTTCCTACCATGTGGACAGTTATGTCCTCTGGGAACCTCAGTCAGATCCAGGTATTCCTAGAGTAAAGCATTGATGTTTTCCTTGTTTAATATATTGGACTATGAATATTTGTTACCTTTCTGAATCTCAAGTTTTTCCTTTCACATTCTAATTTTTTTCCTATTTATAAACCATATTGTTTGTTACCTTTCCGGATCCCAAGTTTTCTCTTGCAATGCATGTACCAAGTTTTTCCTTTCACATGCTGTTTTTTCTTCCTATTCATGCACCATATTGTTTTTATTTCACATCACCATACTAAGTTTTATTATACTGAGCTGTACTAGTTTATCAAAATCCATCGAGCAGAACATGCATGTTGTCTAGACAGGTTGGATTTTTGGTTGATGACACTTCTAGAGTTGCTATGCCAGGGGGTAATGTTTGTATTATATTGTACATAGCTAACAAGTTGATTAGTACACCTGCAGCATCTAGATTTGCTGCAATAAACAGATGGTTGTTAGATGTCAGTTCCCGGAGTGGGTGGTGGCAGTTAAAATCACCTAGCCATATCATATTTTTAGTATTTACTTCCTGCTCACCTTGAGCAAGACATTGAGATGCTGTATAATGTAAGTTGCTTTCCATTTGCATGTGTCTTCCCAGGAAGTGTAGTGTGTTGTTATGGTCATAAGGGTTATAGATATTGTATATGCATACTTTGCCAAAATTGCCCAAAACCTGTATTGCCATGATGTTTGGAGACTGAACTGGGATTGCTTGTCATTTGTTCTTTTAATGACTTGGGATCAGTCTTGATTCTTGTTGTGGTTCATTGGGTAGATGATGTCCTAGTGTTTTCTAGAAGTGTTAGCAAGATTTATGGAGTTTAGAAAAGGTTCTTGGATGCAGGTGAGATCATAGTTTCCTGGATTGAGGTTTTTCAGGAAGTGTTCCCATGTGTTGGGTGATTTGCAGAGGTTCTGCTGCTATATCTTGAAGTCCATTCTTGGTTGGGTTGTCTTGACATTCATTCTTAGTTCCAAGTCCAATCACTCATGTTGTTGCTGCCCAGGTTGTAGTTGATGTTTGCTAGGTTGCATCCCTGTAAGGTGTGTCTTCCTGGTGGGGGTGGACAGGTTCTTGTCATTGGGATAAGGCTCCCTGGGCTGGCCTTTGTTGATCCCAAACATCCATCTAGCGCAATTGACCTCCCAGCAGGATGTTGTATGAGTATCTTGGACAGGTTGTCTGTGGTGGCCTTCTTTCTGACGGTCTTGGGTCTGTCATTCTGTTCAATCTAAGAGGGGGATAATGGTGGTTAGTAGAGTTGTTTGTATTGGTGTTACCTTCTGTTTGAGCTTGAGTTTCATTCCATCTGTTGGGGTGGTTGTCTGCTCTCTCCCATGTTAGAGGGTCATCTGTGAGATAGAGTCTGTATAGAGTTTCTTCATTTCATTTCTTGAATACATCCCATTTGCTTAGGAAGGTTGGGCAGTCTTGGCTCCATGATGCATGACCTTTGACATCACAGTTGGCACAGTGGAAGTCATTGGGGTCTTCAACTTTGCATGACACTGTGATGTTGTTCATTGCACATGCCACATGTGTTGTGTTCTTTTGGGCAGTCAGTTGCCATATGGTTGCTGTCGAAGGAGTGCCCAGCTTCAGTCCAGCAGGTACAAAAAACTACATCATCTGAACTGTATTTCAAGCAAGGCATGATATGCTGAGTAACAATAAAAAAAACAGAAACAACAGCTATGCCATAAGATGTTTAAGTGCAACAACGTGCATTTCTCGTCTCCTGAGGAGATCTGCATGTGAGATCATGTTTCTAAGGTCGAGTTCCAGCTATACCCCAATCGGTTAGGGTAGGGACGTGAAGAGTAAGCGAAGAACTTGCCTGAAGTAGTTTATCGGACTGCCACATCCTGGTAGGCAGGTTCTCTAAAGAGACATAAACGGCGGAGTTGGATTCACATTCTAGCAGCTCCTGTTCGTTGCTGCGAAGGATGCCTAGGGCGACGCGGAAGAGAACATCGAGTCCATCAACCAGAAAGACGTCCCATACTCTGAAAAGTGTCTATTAAAGAGTCAGATAACACAGCACGTACACGTATATGTTACTTACCTCTATTGGAAGGCAATCCGTGAAGAGCGACAAAAACCAAGAGAAACAGATGGCTGGAAGGTCCACGCCAAGGCCGGTCAAATGTGTGTAAAGCCTCGGCATGGTCTCCTGCACATATTCAAGGAGAACGAGGGGACATGCACGAGATGGTAAAAGCGAAGGCGAAAAGAAGTCATCCGGAAGTATCCGTTCAATGATTGCTGAGAGCACCCAAAATGCCTCTTCTTCATCGGCATGCACTAGCAATAAAGTCGAAGTTACTAGGTTCATGCCCTGGCAATACCCCACAGCAGGGTTGCGGCTGCGAACGCTATGTTAACAGACGTACCAGATTGACACGATGGTGCGACTCACCGACTATATGCTCTGAGCACGCGGCGAAGTTTGTCGACTCCAGCGCCGTCACCTCCAAAAAAGACGTTGAGCGGCATAGTCCTACCAACATCCTTCTCAATCTCCGCACAAACCAAGTCGTGCTCGTCGACATGAGCCAGCAAGTCGCCAAACATTCCAGGTTCCCGCATATCCAAGCCTCCGCTGCATTCCAGCCAGAGCTTGGAGCGGTACACTAGGGGTATGCCTCCTCGCACTAACCGATCGAATTCTTTCCCCTCGTGCGTATTCGACGACAGGCCCAATTGAGCAAAACCGATGAGGCCCTCCGAATGGGATAATTCTTCTTCCTCGACTGAAGTGCCCAAGCCAAGAAGAGCGGCAGCACCGCCTCCAGAGTTCATAACCGTAGGCAGGATATTCTTGGGCAGTTTCACTTTGCTGCGTTGCTTCACAAATACATCCCACTCTTTCCTCTTGGCGCTCTGATTCTGATCGTGAACCTTGGTCATGTCATCGAGAAGATGTCGGATTACATTAGCGCAAACATGGCGAGGCGTGGACTGGGTCACAGTCAGAATAGTAGAATGAAGCATTGATACGACAAGAGGCGTGGCTGTCGACGTGACAGTGGTGGAGCGGGGCCGAGAAGATGACAATGAAGCGCTGCTGCCTTCTGGAAGGGGAGATGCTGCTCCTGCCTTACCATTAGAAGGACCAGATGAAACCGGTGAGATCGGATTGCCTTCTCCATCGCAAGTGCAAGAATCCTTCACGATCTCAATCACATTCTTCTGGTTGTCGTCATCATCGTCTGACCAAGAGTTACTTTCCTTGCGGTCAGCAATTTTGACGCCAGTCAGGCAGGCAGGGGCTGTGTTGCCACATTCCTTTGCCCGAATGAGTAGCAAGACATCGTACTGTGAGACGTCATAGATGAAGCCATAACGATCCGTAAGAGGCTGTTTGCTTTCATCGTCGCGGTAAACTGTGAATCGAGACGCACTGGTAGGAAGAGGAATGGTGAAGTTGAAGTGCGGAGCAGTGAGAGGGGTGTACGTGCGCGAAAGGTAATGAGTTGGAGGCTTCGCAGTCGCAGGTATAATGGACTCTAAGGCAACAGAACCAGGTTTATTCGCCGAATGTTGCTGTTGCACTGGAATGTTACTCGGTCGTGCAGTGGACGTTATGCCCTCGTTTGATGTTTTCGCGCTTGCTTCCACAGCAGGCAAGGATTTCTTATGCTGTGGCATGAAGGAACCAAACAGGGGCGATGCGAAAGGCGAAATTATATTTGCTCCCCGTGACCTGGATTTACGGACGGCTTTACCTTGCGTAGTCAACGTGCGGTTCAGAGCCGTGCTTGCATCTGTGCCCTCGATAGGACTGAGAGTTGCGTGCGCTGTTATCTGATCTCCCATCTCAGCCTTATTTGATCTATATTCCCTCTTCTCTCGAAGCTTCTGGGGTTCGCGGAATGATACATGCTCGTCTCTTGCACGCTTAACAAGCTCGAGGGCCAATTGAGCAATCAAAGAGCTTGTCTCTCGACCGTGATCAGTCAAGATGCTACCTGGATCCGAGGTCATAACTCGAGTAGCATGCGCAATGGCACGGAGCGATGCCCCTTGCGGCGGCTTTTCCTCGGTCAAGGAGGGAGAGGTAGTAGAACTCCCTGATCTTGGATACGGGACTCCGACAGCTGCTAAATGTGGCGCAACAGGTGCAGGTGCAGAAAATGTGCTCAACGCAGGTGAAGAGCTGACAGAAGACTTCGTGTCATCTATGCGTGCTTTGAATGACGGCTCGACTACAGGTTTCGAAGTTGATACTGGTCTCGTGGCAGAAGAGGACGACGCAGTAGGGTTGAGTATAGAAATACCCAAGCTCTCGAACACGCTTCTGCTGGTTTTCCTGCGTGAAAAACTGTTTGGGACAGTCGGAGGAATGGAGGAAAGGGATTCAGAATGTGGGGATGAGTCTCGAGATGGTTGCTTTCCAGGAACTTGAGGAGTTTCCTTTACAGAAGCCGTGTCCAGCACCCGATGGGGTTTATGTTTCCCTTTCTGCCACCAGGTACCCATCCAAGACGCTCTATCATTCCTGGCGTGATGAATAGGAGCTATATGTTCTGGGATAATCTCGGCAACCCTGGCAACGGGCGGTACAGTGGCTTCGGAGACTGACGTAGCCACTAATTTATCAGCTGCCGTGGACCCTATCCTATCGACGGTTGTCTCCGGTTCAACGTATGGTACTTCACTGGTTTGGGGTGGCCATGCAGACGTGGCAATGGGAGTCGATGCTAAAGGAGTCACGGTATCATCCGGGACGCTGCGTGAGATTAGAGTGTCATCCTCGATAGCTTCCGTCAACGATGTCTTGAGTGACTGCGTAACATATCAGAGCGAATAGGGTGCAAGCAAAGTAGACCAACGCACAGAAATGCTTCCGTGACGTTGAACTCGATGGCGCGTCTCGTCATCGCCAGTGAAGATTGATTGTATGACCCGCTTTGCCACTTCTCGTTCAGAGGGTAGCAGTTCTGATAACAAATTTTCAGCACGCTCTTTGCGCGCTGCCTCTTTCTCTTGCAACAATTTTCTATGTTCTTCAAGCTCTATTCTGGCCCTTGACAAACTGTGGAGAGTGGATGAAAGCACACGAAGTGCGGTATGGTACGGATGAGTGTCGACATCTGACGGGGACTCTGCGACAGTGAATCTGGATATTGCAGCCTGGATGGCCTCGTCTGAGTACTCGTGCCACTTGTTGGCAAGTACCTGTGTAGCCACTGACGAGGATACCTCTGAGGTGCCATCTGAAAGAGCGGTCCTCGGAGGGAGTGAGCCTGGAGGAACAAGAAAATTGGTATCAAAAGGAGGCCCAATGATAAATCGTGGCGCTTGGTGCACTGGTCTATCCCAAAGTGCTGGAAGCGAGCTGGAAGACATTCCATGACCTGTCACTAATTCTCCGCTGGACCCGCTCGCATCAGGCTTGCCAAATCCGCGAACGCTGCCGTCCCAATTTGCCCGGATATTGGCGCCCTTGTTTTCTGGTTCCACTAGTGTCTCTGACTGAGTTTTTAGAGTAAGATAACTATTAGAAGACCGCGTGTCGTCTACATCCTGACCTCCACGCGTTCTGCGCCCTCGCGACGAAATTTCGTTCGGGGAGAGAGGGTGCAAATGCACGGGGGTAGTGACGGGCGGGGCTTGTGAATTCATTCGCTTAGGTTCCAATTGAAACTTGGCATTATTCCTGGCTGGCTAGCCTCTGCTAAAGAAATGACTCAAGAGACACGGGCTGGACGAGAGAGGGTGTTGGACCGTGGGACAAACTTATGTGGCATTGGCAGCTCATCGAATAAATCTTAAAGTACTAACATAATTTCGTCGATGTGGTTTAGCCGTTCAAGCTCTGAACAATCTCCAGCTGCAACAAGGCAGGACCGCCAGAAATGCTGGGAAAGTCGTGACCAATACTTTGAATGCCTGGATGGCGCTGGTGTTCTAACTGCTGGAGAAGAAGGGACAGCATGCACCAAATCAAAGTTTCAGTACGAAAAGAGCTGTGCCAAAAGCTGGGTGAGTACAACAATGTTTGATCATCTAGTTGATCTGATCGCTGAGCATCAGATTGATTATTTTAACAAAAGGAGGGTTCTCGCTGAGAAACAAAAGGATATGCTTGCACAGTCTCAGCTCCAATCACAGGAAGCCAAGCGCAAACTATAGTTCTGCTTGCGTACGAGAAATTCTGCTCGTTCTGTTTAGGCAGAATACTTATCATGAATGATTTCGCATTACAGCACCACCACCCCGGCCTGACTCATCCACCCCCGAATTTCGCAAGCTGTGGTCCGTGATTACATCCTTTCGCATGAAACAAGCAGACTGCTTCTGATTCCCAATTCCTCAATTTTAGATACCATTCAACTATTATAAAGAGTGGCGTTCTTGATATCGGTTGTTTCATCATGTGCTCACTTTCTCATGAAGTAACTATCCTTATGCCGCATCCTCCGAACTGTTCCTGTGCTATATAAAGGGCATCACCCGCCAAGTGTGGCTAACGCAGTGTTGATTTTGATTCTCGCATCCGAGACATCTACCAACTTGATACTTGAAGGCACTGACACTATTTGAAGACAGACCAATTTTAAAATGACAATTGATAACGGTTGGCCGCCGCCGCCGCGTTGTTCGGTCGCTGACACACCTATGACCCAAGCAGTACAACAGTTCATGCTGTGCTTGCAAATGGTGGTTGATACGTTGATTTTCAACTCATTCTACGCCAAATAAGTGGTCTGAAGCTTATATTAGCTAGCTAATGTTCTCCTCGGGGAATGGTGAAACATCATGAAGTTCCGCTTTGTGGCTACTTCTGACACTAGGTGCCACCAAGGAATGATGCCCAACGTTCTCATGACTTCTGTTGACAGATTTTCTTCTCATATCTTCCTACCAGATCTCACCTGTGTCGCCTACTTCGGGGCGTTTATCCGATTTTCACATGAATACCCGCATGCTGATGTGCATCAATGATTTGCGCTGGCTGGCTCAGAGCCATAGGCAGTACGGGTTCCATACCAGTTCCATCTATAATTTCCAAGCACAGGATGGAGTCGACTATACTTGGCGCTCATCAGCTGGTGCTATTCCGTTTCTAATAATGCTCATGCGAGGTTCATCGGGGCGAAAGACTGAGCTTCAACTGTGGGTACATATATCCTGCCGTTTCCTGATCTACTTGGACCTTAACCCCCTCTCATATTCGGCTGTCTGTCGTCACGGGATTAGATATTGATGTCTTGGTTGAAATCTAAAGACCGGGCATCGGGCGTGGAATACTCCAACCTATTTCACTCAGGTCTGCGAGCTATCTCCCTCCGCTCCTTCATAGGTACTCGAACCCGGGCTCGGTCTGCAGCCCCGATTCCTCCACCAGAAAAGACGAAGCGGAGATACTCTCTCTCTTTGTCATCTTGTCTGCTCAGGCGAAGTACCTCAAGGAAGAGTCCTCCCACATCCAAATCTAGTCTGTCCCCGCCTTGTGCAGAAAAGGGAGTGCGTCCACGACCATCATCTATGTTCGTACGCTCTACCAAAGAGCCGAGTGAGCTCTGGGAAAAGGGCGGGAGCTTTTTTGATGACATCAGTGGTTGTCAGAAGTTGATGTACGCTTACTTTCTGCCACTACCACTGGTTTGGGCACTGATATCAAATCACACAGCCAAAATGGAGCTGATGGTCTACTTTCGCCCATCATGCACTTGGAAGATCCGTTTTCTTCATCGCCTCATTCAAGATCGTTTTATGTGAATCTAGGGGACCCATCACCTCTTCCACCCAAAGAAGAGTCTTTCCTCTCTTTGTCAAATGACCTGGATGCCCCCTATCGACAACCCCGTCGCCAGCGTCCGCTCTCCACCCCAATTATGCCTCTACCGTCTTGTAGGTTTTCTGGGCACTACTGGCGCGAGCGCAGGGAACGTATTGATCCTGCTTGGATGCTGGAAGAATCAAGTCCAGAGTTGGAGGCACGGGACAATGGAGAGAACGCTGATGTCACAGAAGTAAACCTTGACGGCGTGTCGGATTGGCGCCAGTTCCACGTTGATTGGCTCCAAAACGAGCCTGCTGTGCAGTTGACTACCGAGATCTAATTGTTGCCGCTTTATCCTATTGTCGTAATTCACCTTGTATTCTTATCACGCAGACTTGTATTACTTTCCTCCTACTACTTCACATTACACACATCATGCTCTGCCTTGTGTTGGCGACATTTAGTTCTACTTAATTTAATACATTGTCTATGAATCTATATATGATTCTGACGGGTCGCCGAGAATAGCAATAAGCAAGGTTCAAATTATGTAATAGAGAACAGGTGCCTATCGTGACCCATGCTCATACAGCAGTGACAGGTCGCTTTCATTCGTACGCAGTGGTGAGATATCTGCGTGTTAATACGCCGTGAAATGTTTCCAAAGTTACTGACAATGCCTTGTTTCTCTACCATCAGGACACTTTAAACCCGCGTATTAAAGCATTATCTGCTTCAGCAGCGAAGACTCAAATCAGGCGCCGCGGCTATCCTGTGCTCACACGACAGGAGCACAATACTCACTCTCCAGTTCCAACAGACATATCTTCTATTTCACTCTCACAGAGCTCGGCTCTTTGTGTGCGGTCACCATGCCTGCCAAATACTCACACGTGAAGAAGAGGACGACAAACCCCAAGAAAAAGGCCACTGCCACGATTCAGTCCGGGAAAGACAGCAGTCGCCACAAAAAGCTCCCCAATCACCTTGACAAGACGATTACAAATGCCATGTCGGCTGTTTCGCAACTGGAGCGCGCTATCGCGAAGATCTTCCTGATCCGCTTCGAACAAGATATCGCGCGCCTGTTTTCAACACACATATTCTGTGTCGCTCTTATTCACCTACCCACATTCATGATGCGCTGTATTACCGTCGGCGGGTCCAGCTGGGTTGCTCATAATGCGGATTGTGAGGAGATCAAGGACTTCTTCCGTTCCGTCGTTAGTATGGACTTGCGACAGGCTGGAGAACGAGTTTCGACAAAGAGCGTCTTGTGGTCCTATACGGCTTTGAGAGAATTCGTGCGGTTTCGATCTCATTTTACTATATTAGCGAAAGCTGATCATTAGCTGTCTTAGGCACTTTCTAATAATGTTCCTGTATGCCGGAAGCGCGGTCTACACTCTCTTCGTCTACTTCCTCACTACGACTCGCTGAAGGTGCACATGGACTCCCTGGAGGCAATGCCGCATGCGGCATTTACTAAACCACCTCACCTCGGCGCCCTTACAGAAGGCTTGGAGGCCTTGGAGGAAGCATGTGAGTTGAAGTACGGGGAAAAAATCCCCGTTAAGGTCCACACCGCCTCCTGGATGGGATCATCAGTGGCGCATAAAAGTACGCATGGGATATGAAAGGCTTGCTCAAACTCTGTGGCGAGTGGCCCGGGAGTTTGATGTCAGTGGATACGGCTGTGTGCTTCGGGAGAAGCTTACCACGAAGTGGTGCGATTGTGGATGTTCTACGGATCACCTGGGCGAGGTCTGTGAAAAGACGGTACGGGAAGATGAGGAGGGGAGCGGTGTCAGATCCGGTAAGCAAAGAGAATGGGATGGGCGAGGTATGTCATTTAGGCGATGTAATGGTAAATATGTGACATGGCTCATAGGAAGCGGCGTGTTGGGTTGGGAGACTGAAGAAGAAGAGGATATATGGGATATCGATCTTGATTTTGGCGGGAGCGATTCTGAAGATGGGGATGGCTTTGGGTCCGAAATGACCATTGCACAAATGATGGAAATCAGGTTCATCAAGGCAGAAAGAGAGAAAGAATTCGTGGGTATTGCTCTGAAAAACAGTACAATGACATTCTCATCTGCATGATCTTAGGGTAACGCCGCGTTCCGGCGAGGGGAGTATCAACGCGCGGTAAAACACTACAAGGCAGCACATTCAATTGAACCAGAGCTGCCTCATTATCAACTCAACCTTGCCGCGGCCCACCTAAAACTCAACGAGTATGTCAGTCTTTCTGATGTGTACCTTATTCTCAGACAATTCATAGCTGGCTTGAAGCTGAAGAGGCGTGCACAAAAGCCTTGGGACAGCATCGAAGCATAAAAGGTTATTATAGACGCTCGAAAGCACGTCGAATGTTGGGTAAGATAGATGACGCTGTGCAGGGTGGGTGTGTTTTTGGATTGCCTCTGCGAGGTGCTGAGCTGCTGTTAGATTTACGTGCGGCACTGAAAATACAGCCTTCAAACAATGAAGCGCTGGATGAATTGCTGTCTATTCTTCCGCCCGACGATTCATCACGTTTAGCTCCTTCATCTTCATCTCTTGCGACATCCTCCTCCAGCACTTCACCAGCCCCTCGAAATGCTGGTTCACTATATGACCACTTGCATTTACCCAAACTGAAGCAAGCAAAACAGTTACCGTTTGCTCGATCTAGCAATGATGATAGGAAAATTAAAATTTCCTCGATCCCAGTGTCCTATGAAGTTCCGTTGATGCCTGCCGGGAAGACTTCGACAGAGCTGAAGCCAAAGGATCTCAAAACAAGGACGGAGTCGTTCATCTTTCCAAGTTGGGAGAAGTACACGGTTAGGCTGGCTACTGGCTGAGTGTATGCAAGCTATTTTTCCAGACTGCGTGTTTTGTATGCAGGCTTGTTTTGTTGTCACATTATGAGGAGCACCTTGGGTTTTGGCGATTTGATTGTTCTACCTCTTGTCTTGTGTTTGATCTACGTACTCGTAGAGATCTATTTGAGATGTTTTACACAGCCACTAGTGTCGTCAGCGCGAAACAGGGGGAAAGTATTCGGACTTACGATCGAACTATGCAGAAAGCCAGACCGATCATTTTCAAGCTTGCAACTGTTCTAAAGCGAGCGCTTAAGTCGAGACATGAGCGTAGGTGGCCAAATATAACATTCGTCGTCCAAGCTACTTGATCCGATCGATATATATCATTATCATCAACGCTTCTTTTTTTTATTCTCTCACCTTTGACATCTAGTCTTAGCACTAACAATTACTGTGGATTGCCACTGGATCTCACTGCTGCTTGATCAGACCTCCTACGGGAACGGTGATATGATGAAGCATCTTCAGCAACATGCAATGCGTATGATTAACGTTTAACTCCCGGGTTTCTGCATAAGGTACGGTCATTTGACTCACTTGTGGTCACGAAAGATGACACGTTCACTAATTTTTAAACGCCAAGTCGACAGTTCGTGCACCTGGCAGTGGAGCTCTCGCTTCCTAAACCGTTTAGGCGCTATGAGCGAGAGAATAAAAAGATCTCCGGGAAAAGTTCATAGAACGGCCGCCCTGCTTCAGAACTTGTATCGCTTGCCTTTAAATTTGCGTTCGATTTGCGTTTCGTGTTCTTATTACTGAGCATTATCCCTTGAAATATGTCCGCCGCTCACGAGAAATCTGATGCTGCGGTGGAAGAGAAGCAAGTCGCTCTCGGTTATAACGTCTTGTCTCAAGTCAGTCATGCAGAAGGCGTCGGGAGGGACTATGAACTCAAGTGTAATCTCAGTAAGCAAGGAACATTTCCTATCGTGTACTGGTTGGCGATTTGGTGCTCATTTAATCAGTCAATAGATGTTTTCAAGAAGAGTGCGTAGAGCACAATCACAGTCTCGTGGCAGATAACTCAAGCTCATCCCACCGAACAGGATTGGCTTTGGTCGCTACCAATGGCAGCTTTTTGTTATTACTGGTCTAGGATGGCTCGCAGACAGTGAGATAAGAGTTGATATAGCACGTGTCTCGTCTGATTGGTCGCTGCTACTAGATCTCTGGCTACAAGGTTTGGCGATTGTTCTTCCCCAGGTACAACAGGAGCTTAATCCGGTTCGGGTCGAGTACGCTGTCCTGGCAGAGTTCGCTGGATTGATTGTTGGCGCCACAACATGGGGCATCATGGCTGACCTTATCGGAAGACGATTATCTTTCAATGTAAGTTATGCACTGAAAGTCGCGTGGGAGACTTTTTGAATGGCGACTGCAAGATTACACTCTTTCTCGCCGGTCTCTTTGGATTGGCAGCAGGAGGTGCATCGAATTTTGTGACATTTTGTTCCCTTATAGCATGCATGGGCTTTGGAGTCGGCGGAAAGTGAGCACATCTATATCTGTAGGGGCAAAAATGGATCTAATCACACTCGATATCGGTGTTGGTATTTTCAGTTTGCCTGTCGATGGTAAGTGATGTTCTGGCCCACAGACACCCTCATAATTTATTATACATGCACTTGAAGGCGCTCTGTATTTGGAACATATTCCACAGTCTCATCAGGTGCGTCAGTGGCCGGGATTTTTCATTAGAGTTTAGGCATTTAATCTCTGAGTCCTAGTGGACTTTAACTCTTCTATCGGTCTGGTGGGCGTTAGGACAATTGGTAGCATCTTTGATCAGTTGGGGTTTCATTGCCAACTTCTCCTGTAACCCGTCGATACCAAGTGGCCAGTGCGCCAAATCTGCCAACATGGGATGGCGATACACATTGTAAGTAGTGCTTTAGTGACATTGTAGTGCACAAGATTGATCCTCACGCCTGTCCCTAGGTATACCCTGTATGTTTCACATCACTTGCGTCAGTTCTACCTAATATTTCTATTTAGCGGGGCTTTGACGATCTTGATGTTCATATGCCGCTTCTTTGTGTTCGACGTGCAGGAGTCATCGAAATTTTTGGTGGCGCAAGGTCGTGACGAAGAAGCCATCAAGGTTTTAACATAATACTACAGGTTGTTGTCGGGCTCAGCTGAATGTTTCCGCAGGTCTTGGGACACATTGCAAAGCGTAACGGTAGAACTATTACGCTCAAACTCGAAGATCTGCAGGCAATATCTGGTGACACAACGTCCAAGCCAGTACCGAATTTGTCGACTAACGTCCGGAATGCCTTTTCTGGAATGTCGCTGTATGTCGTCTGCTCTAACATCATATTTATTGCTGAGTCCGCTGCAGCTCGCATATCCGTCCGCTCTTTTCTAGCAGGCGCTTGACGATTAACACGAGCCTTATCATCGTCATCTGGGGGTGTGTAAACCAACGAATTGTGTGTTCGCCTTTGTTGACTTGCGGATGTTCAGATTAATTGGCATCGCATACCCACTCTTCAATGCCTACCTCCCACTTTATCTTTCCGCAGAAGGTTCAGCATCCGGTTCGTCAAGCGTGAGCGAGACATATCGCAACTACTCGATCGTATCCGTCCTTGGCGTCCCCGGGTCTCTCATTGCCTGTGCGACGGTAGATTATACTCGTGGCACTGGTCGGTGGCACATAGGGGGACGGAAACTTGTGTTGGCTGTGTCGACCATGCTGACTGGACTCTTCCTCTTCTTGTTCACAACGAGTAAGACGACAGCTGCAGTACTCGGATATTCTTGTGCTTCAGGTCTTACCCAGTGCGTACTCAACACTGATCTCATTAAACGCACATGCTGATCACATACACACAGGAATGCGGTGCGGGTGACTTACTGAGTTGAGTATTGTGCACTAATTCTTCCCCTTTAGATGTATGGAGTCTTGTATGCGTATGTAAGTGATATGCTGGAGGAGCTGCCCAAGTTCCCGAAATATGACCCCAATCTTGCAGACCCCAGAGGTCTTCCCGGCACCTCACCGTGGTACGGGTGACGCGCTCTGTTCTGCGCTGAACCGTATCGGCGGACTTATAGGCTCCTCTCATCAAGATTGCCACAACACCGCTCAATGGCAGTGTATCAGCAAACACGGCAAATGGGTGCGTCGTGATCGCGTCCATCTTTGGAAAGCTGATAATGGCCTTTGTATTTTGCAGTCCTGTCTTTGTATCTGCTGCGTTATTTATGGTTGCAGCCGTCTTGACGGTATTGCTTCCTATCGAAGTGAGTCCTTGATTCTGGTGATCTCTACATGTACCTGATGTTTCATCTTACAGACTGCGGGTAAGATGGCTTTATGAGTCTCATGTACACGACATATTCCAATATCAGGGTTGAGCCTATGATGATTCAACCTCGTGTCTAGTCGTATAAAACATACATCGAGTGCAATCGACTGCGAGATAGTCCCAACAAAACAACACAAAACAGAACAAAACAACAAGGAAATAAAACAACAAGATAAGCAAAACATAAGTCAAAGAAGCACATACATCGGTGATACAGTAACGAGCAAGCAAATTATCCTTGATATTTCTTGATTAAGTCCCTGAGACGTGCCTGGCCAAATCCAAGGTTAACAGGGGTGCGAGTAACTCTGGGAACGGGAGTCTTAACGACACTTCTAAGATCTGATATTGTCTCCGAAATCATTGGAGGTAGAGGGCGAGATACTGGAGTCCGGGGGTTGGGTGATGCACGAGCAAGAGAAGCGGTGGACGAAAGCATGGGCACAGCATGAGAGGATGAAATAACAGCAGGAACTGTTGTCGCTTTGGTGGCCTTCCCGCGTCCCTCCCTGCTCGTATCTGCCGGACCATGGGTTTGCGATGTTGGCAATGGGGACTTGACGGGTAACTTTCCACCACGGTTAACAGGTTTCTTCACGGACTGAGAAGCCCAATTTTGCTTCGCCTGCGTCTGAGTTGCATCCGCTTTTGCGGCCCACAGCGAAGCAACTTCAGTGACCCTGCCGCCTTTCCCTCCGCGTGCAGAGTGGACATTGTACTTCATATCTGGGCCAAGCGGTTGAGGGGAATGGCGGGGGTGATGAGGCGACACGAAATGGCGAGTGACTGCGGATATGGGATCAGCCCTTGCGATGTCGGGAGATTTCGGTCCTGCAAGTGGTGTGCTCCCAATCGGTGTTGCAATGGTTGACTGGCCTGCGGACATCCTTCTCAAGATTGGACCCGGTGCCAACGACTCCGCAGCGAGATTTTTCTTTTCGGCATCAGAACTACTATGCATATTTTCCGGCGCAGGCGCAGTAGAATGTCGAATGCCAGCAGCCTTGAGCGTGGAAATAGTCACAAAGCCAGACGAGCGTGGGTTGGGAGCCGCAGAAACGTCATTGAATGATGTTCCTCCACGTTCTTGATCGCCCGACGACGGCAACAGGTCTTCCGACGATGGTGGTGGCGCGAAAGGCTCGTTGTCAGTGATAGGAACGAAGTGGGATGCAGTGGGCGACATCGTAGATAACAAATCATCCACAAGCGGTGGGCTTGTGTCGATCTCCCCTAGCCATGCTGCAATCCGCCCTTTGACCTCACTGCGCAGTTTCCGCACATCGCCCTCCTTGCCTCTCTTCCGCTCCCGCTTCTGCGCGACCCGCCTCTCATCACCCTCATCGCTATATTTGCTCTTCGCTCTTCCCCGTCCCCTCTGGGTGCGCACCTCACGTTCATCATCACTCTGACTGTGACGACCACCTCGGTGCTGCGTCCTCTCATCTGAATCATGATCCTGCTCCTGCTCCTGCTCCTGCTCCTGCTCGTCCTCGTTACCTCGCAAGAAAGCGTCACGATCTGCAAGTGTCAGGCTTGATATGGCACTGTCATTCACACCCGCGGGAGCCCCACTTGCTGGAATCTTGATTGGCTGCACGACGCTGCGCAAGCCCGGGCGCAGCTCAACTACGTCTTGGCGGCGTGTCCCTACCTCTGCGAGCAGGCGCCGCTCGAGGGCGTCCAGGCCGCTCTCTTGCGGGGTGCCCTTGGCGTACTTAGTGCTCAGGCCAGATAACTCAGTCGGTGCGCGCGGGAACTTGACAGGAGTTATAGTTGCGAGTGGTGGCGTCGGTGGAGGGGGGAAAACGAGCTCCAACTCAGGCTTGGGCGCAGAGCGATCAGGAACAGTAGTATCTGGAAATGCTGCCTGGACGTGCTGTGGAACACGTAATGGTCGTTTACCGGAGGGGATAGGAGGACTAGGGAGCGTCTTGTCCACGTTCGAGTCTACATTTTCCGCGCACTTTGGAAGATCTGTGCTTAGATCGCCGCTATACCTGCCGACTTCGTCTGCCATGCGTTCCAGGGCACACACATTTTCGCTGCGTGGAGAAGGGCCCGAGTAGGACTGTTTTGGTGAAGGGATGGGGCGTGGTGAGTGCAATACACCTTGAGAGTTGTGAGGATTAGGAAGGGTGGGGATCTGGATTGCGCCAGGGTGCGGGCGACTAGGGGACACGTGTTGAGCAGGGGGCTGAGGCAAAGGAAACCTGTGCGATAGTGGTGAGACTGAGCGGTGTCGAGAGGACAAACGCAGCGTTTGGGAGATGCGAGATGCACGAGTGCCTTTACCCTCTTCCGGATCCGCGAGGTACTGGGGGCTGCTTTCGACAGTCTGCGGAGGACAATATGAAATAGGTGGATGGGGCGGCAGAAGATGGGCTGCTGATGTAGGAAGACCTGATGGTAGGCTTGTGTCATAATACGGCATCTGGGGGTGAGGTTCGGCCGATGCTGGTCGAGGTGGTAGTGGCGTATAGTGTTGGAAGTGCGGATTAGATGAAAATGAATCCCGAGGATAATACTGCTCCGAAAATGCAGGAGTGAAGGGCTTATAATCTGCAATTAGAGACGGTGGTGGCCAGTACGTATGTAGTGGGTCGTATTGCTGTGATGAAAAATGAGGATCCACGTAGGATGCACCAGGAGGCGGTGAGAGCGGATAAGCGTGTGTAGGAGGTGATGCATACGGCTGTGATGAAGTTGCAGGGATGGCGTAGGGTGACGCGTGTGCTCTAGGTACCACCAAAGGATGGTAAATGTCCAGCGGAATTATAATTATGACAGGGTCGCTGAAGGTACTTTATTGATGCGTTGCTCAAGAATGAGAGTGGCACGACGCACCTCCCAATAGGCATATCAATCCGGAGTCTCAAGTTACAAAGAACTTCGAACAAACCGTCAGTCGTGTTTCCATCATCGCCAACACGAGCACCACCGCGAGATCCACGGGAAGACCGAGGGATATTAATCACTAAGTTGGCAATGCCTTCGATGCCAGGGGGGACCAGATACTCGTGACCCCTGAACTCAACCTCAGTGATTATTTCGGTTATTTTAAACGCGTCCTTATCCACAGAAGGTGACGATAGTCGAAGTTCACGAGAAAGTGTGAGTGTAACCCCAGACGTCTGCAAGGTTTATGCTAAGTTGATCCCATAGAAAACGAGAGCCAGCACGACAAACCCAGTTGAGTGAATGATTCTTCAGGTGCAAGTCGACACAAGCGACCTCCCCAGCGATGATGGGACCATTCGTAACAAAAGCTTGGGCCCAAATGTTTCCACCCTCGGCGATAGCGAAACCTTGAGGGCGCTTCGATGGTGCTCGGATATCGCAATATTCGACTACGTTGACGTTTTGGTGATCAGTCACGAGGCGCTTCTCTCCTCTCCAAGCCACGCCCACGCTCGCTCGTATTTCATATCGTATTTGAGCAGGACCGAATGATATTGAGGCGGGGGACGAAGCCGGGAGAGGAAAGCGAAAGAAAAATGTAGTGAGACCACGACGTGCAGGGTAGTGATGGGCCGGAAGGGATGATTCTGCAGGTGGAGAATCGAAGTCAGATTGGATCGCATTCGATGGAGGGAGTCCTGGTCCTTGGAACAGTCTGCGGGAGTGGATAAAGGTGGAAGTGCCTGAGTGGTCACGAGACGTAATTTCTGGGTTATACATTAAGCATTAGCTGGTGGTCGTGTAATAATAAATAAAATAAACAAACCTTGGACGGCGAATAATTCGACCATCATAAGACCAATTCCAAGACCGTATTCACCATCACCGTGACATTCAACTTCCATTTTTCCAGAAATGTTATTGCCAGCCACAAATATGGGGTCAGATAGCGTCAGGGACACCTTGACCTTGGAGTGGTGTGGTGAAGCATTCATAGGCACCGGACGAGATTGGAGCGCCATGTTATGATTTTTTGGCTGAAATATGAAATAACAGTGAGAGCTGAGAAACAAGTGGCTGATAAGATCAAGCAAGTAAAGATAGTGGCAGATACCAGAAACAACGATGGTGCAGCGGATGATTACCCAGGTAAGAGGCACGACCGAAATGCGCCATGATGGACGACATGGCAAGTAAGTGAATTACACGGAGGCCATGGTGTTCCTGTTAATAAATTTTGAGTCGTTTCAGCTTGGTTTCAGTTTAGTGACAGTGTCCTCTTGTAGCAGTACTGGTCAAGCCCCAAGGCACCCAGAGCGGGTGTTTGGTCTTATTAGGATGAGAAGCTTATGTTTGCTTAGTAACGGAAGAGCCGGACAGCGGAGGAATGACTCGGAGGTGGTCAGGGCCGTAACGTCGGTCCATCCAACAAAATTTTTGCAGGTCTTGCGTGTTTCGTTGCCGAGTACTCATACATTTTTGTCCCTACTTCAAAACCTTCTGCTGGCCCAGTGCAAACAAAGAAAGTTTGATCCAGTTGTATGCTTATAAGTATATCAATTATAAACACAACCTCACATCATCTTCATGCTGTGTCCACTTCAGTCGCCTTCTCCGAACCGGACTCGACACGGCCTTCTTCAGACCCTGCTGTTCGCTCAATATCGTTCTCCCCTGTTTCGTCAGATACAGTCGCTGAGAATGCTATAGTCGTACGTGCAGCAGCTCGTGTTTGCTCCGAAGTGATTGCTCGCCCCCTTGCTACACGGATGATGATGAGCAATTGGGCCATGCCCTAAAGACAGGCTAGCATCAGATACACAGATAACACAGGTTGCCATCTGCTTACCTGGACATGGCTGATAGACAGGAAACATAGATTGTCGACATTGCTATGCATACCAAAGGAAACTATGAAAACAATGGCGTATGCAATGTATGCCATGGCGGACTCAACGACCATGAGGACGATGGTGTTATAGGTGCTGGAATCATATTCCCGTATGATTTGCCTCATCATGCCTCGCATGGAGAGCAAACGACTCGTCACGAGGACGGAGTACGTGACAGTGAGTCCCACTTCGAGGGAGAGGTAGGCTAGCTCGGTGTTGATATTGTAGAATACGGCACCGGCGCTCGACTGGATCAAGACAAGAATAGCCATTGCTGCTCAAGATATCAGTGACTACTGTCGTTTGACAATCAATGAACCGCACCGATCATGCCAATATAGAGGGTGATCATCGGGACCATCACGTATCTTGCCCAATTCCATATCACAAAACATCGGTGAAGCTAAAGTATTCCAAGAATTAGGCCTGCATCAGTCTATACGGCGAACTATTCAGCTCACAAGCAGCGCTTGCATAAACAACTCCATAACGAAGTAACTGGATGAAACTGTCAATACTAGTGGTCTGTAGATGGATTGAAAAGGTACTTTACCAGGCAATCGCCATAACATTGATGGAGTAATTCATTTCATTCTCAATTAATGCGACCGGCCCACCAGGCGTACCACGAAGGTCTATCCAGATCATCTCTGTGTATTTTGCGTTCGCAGCGAAGCCTATTGTCCCGCATACAAACGTTATAAAGACGTAGGCAAGAAGGGTGAACCGATGTTCTGCAATCTTCCCCCCATGTCGAGGCCGTTGCATGAGAGCGATCGCAGCTTGCACTGTAAGGATGACGAATCCGCCTGTTGCGGTACGTCAGCTTCCGAATTGTCATATGTCGACTAAAAATGCACCATAAGATGCTGCTCCCAATATCATTCCATCGAGACGAGATCGCTCGAGCCACAGATCTGTCGATGGGGGGTCGGATGACATGGCCCAAAATTTGTTGGCGGACTAGGTAAAAGGATGTTACTTGGGGAAGACAACAGACCAAGTACTCAGCGCGCCCTATCCAATGGTGAAGATAACCAAGAGGATAGTCAGGGACGCCGAGTGGGGAAGAAGTAACGGTTATAAAGAGATTCAGGACTTGGAGATAAATTCAGAATAGGATGAACGAACGTTTCCGAGTCCGCTTGAGAGTCGACAGGTGTTGGCACTCTGAGCAGAACATTCCCAATACGGTTCCCAACGAGACGAGTGTCACTCTCATCCCTAGAATGTTGTGCGACAGCGTGTTAGTCAGGCAGCAAGTACTTACTTATGCAGCGCATATCATATGATAGCGGTGCGACATTCACTGACAGAGTAGGGCTTCGCTGGGCGTGCCACGACGGGCCGCCGGGCGTTCAGTGCCGGACGAGTCGACCTGTGCGGCACTAGTGCGATTGGCGCCCGGGTCAACCTGTGAATGGGAATGATGATTGGTTTAATCCCACTACAGTGCGAAGTCAGTGCGTTTCAAAGCATGTCATTGCAACATCTTCACTGTGAAAGTTTTTGAAGAAATCCTACAAATTAGTACATATGCAGTAGGAGAGACACAGACTGAAGGTGCAGGGGACGAATGACAGAGAGGACCCTCAAAATCATTTTCGGCTCCGGTACCTTTATTGATGCTATAAAGGTAGAGCCATATTCCCCACACACACACACGCAGACAGGTACGCACACATGTTTACAATACAAACAACGCGGTCGCATAAACACACCCTAGGCCTGTAGTACCCGTCGCGTCTCTACTGCAGTCTGAGTCTTATACATAGAATAGTCAAACTAGTCAGGTCCAAGTTCGACCCCAATTGAACCTCGTACTATCATGTTTATGCTACACAAAGTCGACATCAACAGAATGCAACTGAACACTGTCCTGCTCAGACCTAGCTACTCGCTCAGTATTGGTTCCCTCTGGTGCGTCCGATGCAGTCCCCGAGAACGTTATACACGTAGACACAACAGCAACCGGGGATGACAGCTCGCATGTAATTGCCTGCCCCCGTGCTACACGGATAATAATGAGTAACTGGGCAATGCCCTAACACCACACCAAGATCGCATGAGAGACGCAGACGACTCAGATTTTTGTTTGCTCACCTGGACATGGCTAATAGACAGGAAACATAGATTGGTAATATTACTATGCAGAGCGAAGGAAACTATGTAAATAATGGCGCAAACAGAGTATAGCATAGCGGATTCGATGACCATGAGAATGCTGGTATTGTAGATGCTAGAATATTCTTGTTCTTGCATGACCTGCCTCATCAGGCCTCGCATGACGAGCAAGCGATTCGTCACGAGAACGGTATAGATCACACTGAGCCCCACTTCGATGCAGAGGTAGGCAAGCTGGACATTGATATTGTACCATATGACGCCGGCACTCGACTGGATCAAGACGAGAATGGACATTGCTGCTGAGGATGTCAGTGAATGCTGTCGCTTGATAAATTATGGACCGCACTAATCATGGCGATATAGATGGTGGACATCGGGATTATCACGCATCTTGCCCAATTCCATATCACACAACATCGGTGAATCTAAACATTCTAGAGTCAGACCTGTCCCAGTCCATATGGAAAATATTCAACTTACAAGCAAGGCTTGCATACACCACTCCATGACGAAGTAACTACAACATCGTCAATACCAAAGGTCCTGATATGGATAGGCGAAGACACTTTACCAGGAAATCGCCACAATATTGATAGGGTAAGCCACTTCATTTTCAATTAATGCGACCGGCCCACCAGGCGCATCACGAAGGTCTATCCAGATCATCTCTGTGTATTTCGCGTTCGCAGCGAAGCCTACAGTCCCCAATACAAAAGTGATCAAGATGTAGCCAAGTAGAGTTAAGCGGTGATCTGCAATCTTCCTCCCATGTCGAGGCCATTGTATGAGAGCAGCTGCGGCTTGTACAGTAAGGATAAAGAATCCGCCTGTTGCGGCACATACGTTAACTTCCGAATTGTCGTATACTGAAAACTCACCGTAGGATACTGCTCCTAACATCATTCCGTCGAGACGAGATCGCTCAAGCCACAGATCTGTCGGGGTCTCGGATGGCATGGCCCACAATTTGGTCACTGACCGGTGAGGAGGTCAGGAAAAATATTGCTAAAGCGCCCTATTCGGTGGTGGAATTAATAAAAAGGATGACCGAGAAAGAGTGGGCAGAGCTTGGAACGGCCTCGTCATAGTACGGTAGTATCACGCATTTATGATTCGATGGTCGAATAGCAGTGCGAAGCTGGTGCGGATATTCTTATCCTTCCCAAATCTTTACAGAGAAAATTTGGACAGGCATTCCTATAGACTGACCATGTCGGCCGCCGAGTGAGTTTGTTCAACTTTTTTCAGCCTCGTCTGATTGGACCGTGTCATCCGGACGAGATAGCGACCGGCAGCGTCATTGGATGCCTGTTATACTTTAAGTCGGAGTGGTATAGCTCTGAGAAACTAGATCGAACGTGGGTCCAAACTTTCGCGGGTGAAATTTTGACTTGGCATCAGTCACTGGGGTTGATGTTGCAGCTGCACTGGCAGATTTTGCGTCCATGGGGTACAGCGAAGTGACGGACATGGACTGATTGCAGCAGGAGAGAATGAGAGTCTTGTAGCAACAGTGCATACACTAAGCAACCGACCGCCTGTGACGCGTTGCGCGGTTGCCTCGACATTAATATTCAGACTCCAGAGGTACAGGTACACACGGGAATGACGATTCAGAGTTCAATGTTCACCTGTTAAAAAGTGCCGTTCGGGCGGCCTCTGAGAATATCCCTAATTAGCAAGTTGCAACTTGTCTGCAGTAGTGTTTACCTGAACCTCGTTACATATCATAGGTCATGTTTAGTACCAAGTGGAATAAAGTCGAGTAAGTGCAGAAGAGGCTTGAATGTTACTATTTGGCCTTGTTAGTGGCCACTGCTCGGAGCCGGCCCACAACTTGAACCTCCCACAACGGACTTGCTCAACTGATACAATTGCCAAGCAAGTGAGAATCATGTCAAGGTAATACACTTATTTTCCCATGTGCAACAATGCTTACTACAGGTTTGATTCAGCAGCCAACAAGGCCACGCCGTTTGCATGCACACGTTAACTTGTATGGGAATGATCACTTGCCATCTCAGATCGACCCTATCGCTCACAAACTTGGTTTTTAGTGATCGGCGTACAAAATCACGATGAAAGATCTAACTACATTGTATCAGTCGAGCTCGACGATGTAGAAATCCTTCGAACAACCCAGATACATGGGATGGGCAAAATAGTGTTCAGCACAAAATTGATGCGTAAACCAGGCTTTTATCCCACTGCTCCAAGTTAAACTTACCTTTTTCATTCTTGAAGCACGGGGAAAGACACTAGTATGGTGCGGTTTAAGCTATACAAGGCTATAGACGATGAAGCCGAGACTATATCACTGGAAGGGGAGGTGCAGTGCTCTCTAGCAGAACTAAAGTCCGCACGTGGCATCGAACAAGATGACGGCAAGTTTTACCGATGTGATCCCATGAGCGACCGACTGATGCCCGATGCAGGTTTTTCTATAGTTTACCTCCATCAAGTGTTTCGTTATCTGTCCGATTAATGCCTTCCCCAGAACGAAGAAAGGTTTTGAATAAGCTTTTGGGAGTTTTTGATGAACCTCATATGCCATCTACAGGAGCGATGCAGGTGCTAGGTGCCTCACACCTGTACGACCCATCCATTGGCGCAGGAGGTCATACTCTAATCGGGCTCCAGTCTGCAGATAATAACTCGGGAACCGGTCTTCAAAATATGGATTGGGGGTCATTGAGTGATCGAGCAAATAGCCTCATGAACAGCTATAACCAAACGCACCGAGGTGAAGACATAGAAGAGGCCATCCGAATCCTTTCAGCGTGGTACAGTGGCTTGCCCTCAGGCAGTAAAAATCGCGCTGCTTGCGCCAACAGCATTGGTCTCGCGTTCCATATGCGTCTCCGGCACTCGAATAGCATTGACGATCTCGAGCAAGCCGTACATTACTGGAGCATAGCTCTAGAGTCATGGACTTCTGGATCACCATATTACGTCCCTTTGGTGGTCAACTTGGGAGGCATGCTTCGTAGGAGGTTTGAATGGCAAGGAAAACTCGAGGACGTTGAACAAGCCATTATGATGTATAGCGCCGCCACCTCCAGCTGTCCTCCAGATAGCCCATATCGTCACAACCTCCTCAACAATTACGCTCTCGCAGTTCTCAGTCGTTTTGAGCAGACTGGAGATCCTCAAGACCTGGATCTCTCGATTCAAACCCACCAAGAATGTCTGTTGCTGCGACCACCTGGCCACTCAAGCCGTTTCTCGACTCTGTCGAATCTTGCCGATGCAATCTGTGTTCGCTATCGTGATAGAGGAAACGTGGATGATCTCACCAGTGCAATGGCATACTTCCACGGAGCGTTGGAAATTTGTTCGGCCGAAAGTCCATCTTATCCAGTGATTCTCATGAATGCTGGACTCGCCTTGCGGTATTCATTCGAGCGCAACGGGGACCTGCAGAACTTAAACACAGCAATAATATATTATAGCATTGCCCTGACAACTTGCCCTGATAATCACCCGACACGATCTTCCCTCCTCGCCAACTACGCGAGTGATCTCTGTATGAGATATACGCAGAGTGGAGATATCAATGACCTCGAATATTCAATCGAGCTCTATACCAACTCCTTAGCCAATCAGTCTCCCACGCATGCATATCGCTTCTCCTCTCTCCGTGGTCTTGCGACTGCTCTGATGAGTCGCTTCAATGTTTACGGCGTTCCCGAGGATCTTGATCTCGCCATAATACACATAGCATCTTCCATGGCTCTGTGTGGACCCTCGCACCCAGCACATATAACTGTGATTATGGTCTGGATCAATTGCCTCATCATGCGCTACAAGACGCGTGGAGATATAGCTGATCTCGATGCTGCTGTCGAGCACTCTGAGGCAGCCATACATTTCTGCCCGAGGGAGAGTCCTAACTACTTTCCCCTATTAAATCATGTCAACAACGCCTTGTCTGCACGGTTTTCTCGGAGACAAGACGTTCGAGATCTGGAGAGGATAATTGACTACTGCGACTCAGCTCTCAGAGATGTCCCACATCACAACATCTCCAATCGACTCTTTGCCATGGATCGTGCAGATGCTCTCCTACAGCGATATTTCCATGAAGGGGGCATGAACGCCCTAGATCACGTCATTTCATTTTACCGGGACATAATGCAAGATTTATCTAGAGATCATCAAGCCTTTTCCCGTGCCCTCATTCAACTAGCATCTGCACTTCAAGCTCGCTTTGAGCAGAACGGGAACGTAGATGATCTTGATTGCGCAGTCAATCACTATCGCACGGCATGCGAGGTGTGCCTTCCTGGTCATGATGACCACTCTGCTGCTTTTTCGGGTCTCGGAAACGCTCTCCTGCTGCGATATCAAATCTTTGGTCCCCTGGATGACCTCGATGAATGCTTAGTTCACCTAGCTCATGTTGTCGAAGCCCGTGCTTTGGCTACCTACCATCCAGACTATCCTAAAGATCTTACCAATTTTGCATATGCCCTCTTCGCCCGCTTCCAAAACCAACACGACATCACTGATGTGGACCTTGCAGTGAATTACCTACAGGCAGCTCGGGATCATCCCAACCAATCAGAGGGACGGCAAATTTTGACTCACCTTGCCACTGCACTTTCTGCTCGTTATGATGAACGCGAAGACATCGATGATTTGCAAGAAAGTATCAAGCTGTTTGAAACAGCGCTTCCTATGTTTGTCCCCAATAACCCCCATGCGCTTCACCTCCGCCGAAACCTTGCTCGTTCTTTGCAGAAGATGTATGCAAAACGACAGACGATCGAAGATCTGAATGCTGCGATTGCCCATTTTGAGGCATATGTGACGATCTCGCCAGAGGATCACCCTGACCTGCCGCATACCTTGATTTTACTAGCAAGCTGTAGGCATATGCGTGCAAACGCGGGTAAAGACGATGACGGCTTTTGGAATGCCCTCTTACTTCTTGCCACTGCCAGTGGGAAGTTGCCCGAAGCGCACCCATGTTTATTCTCCGTTTACCACCTGTACACGACCATTTTCAAAGACTACTACAGGCTAACCAAGGACGATTCGTTTCTAGAGAAGGCATTCCAGTATCACCAGCTGGCTTCTAGCGCACCTGGAGTCCACACATGGGATCATCTTACTGCGGCTTTGCGTTGGAGAACGGACGCCAATGTTTTCCATCATACGTCAGCTCTGGAAGCATACAAAACTTCTATAAAGCTGCTCGATCGTCATGTTATGGCTACTCCTACGGTTTCTGGGCGCTACAAAGCTTTGCTAGGAGGCATATTACGTGATACGCCATCACTCGCTGCAGATGCTACTGCCTGCGCGATCAGCGCGGGCGATCTCGAGCTGGCAGTCGAACTCTCAGAACAAGGCAGAGGCCTTCTTTGGTCGCAGATGTCTCGCTTTCGAGCCACCATTAATGATCTGCGAGCCGTTGATGACGAGGGGTGTCGGCTTGCAGATGAATTCGAGTTCCTCAGCGCTGAGCTTGGGAGGAGACAGTCTGACTCCTCAGGTATTAAGACTGCCACTGAAACACTGAGACGAACACAGCAGGAGGAAGAGGCGCGTCGATATCGCCAGGTCTCTTCTCAATGGGATGCTGTAGTGAGCAAAATACGGCAAAAGCAAGGATTTACGCATTTCTTGATCCCAATGCCCTACAACGAGCTGAGGGCAGCTGCGATTGCCGGCCCCGTCGTCATCATCAATGCAAGCATAAAGCGATGCGATGCAATCATCATTACCAAAATCGGGCCTCCTCGACTCGTTCCACTTCCTGATGCCTCGTTAATGGGCATTGCTACCTTGTCTGATGACTTCCGCAATGTCTTGCGGAATACTGCAGGAGTTGGAGAAGAGAAGATGAGAGAAAAGCAACTTATACCTGTCTTCCGCAGGCTTTGGGATGCTGCGTTGGCTCCCGTTGTTGAGGTACTTTTGACCATCTTGCCGAAGGGCTCTCGTGTTTGGTGGTGCCCAACTTCGAAACTCACTTCGCTGCCCATTCATGCTGCTGGACCATACCGCAAGGGAGCCAGCAACATACCTAACGTCTATGTTTCATCATACACACCAACCCTTTCTGCCTTAATACGCTCAAGGCGGCAAAATGCATCTAAGGTCGCGCCGAATACTCCGTCCTTTGTTTCCATTGGTCAATCAAAACCGAATTCCAGGAGTGGAGAAAGGGAGTTGGAAGCGGTAGAAGCAGAGCTTGAGCTTGTCAAATCCCTTGTACCGCCATCAATGTCATGCTCGGAGGTCTCCGGGGACGAAGGAACCGTTAGCGGGGCGATCCAAGCCTTAAAAAACCAATTCATGGGTCCACCTTGCCTGCCACGGCAAGCAAGATCTTGTTCAGCCGTTCGATTCATCTTTTGCTCTCCGCGACAAGCCATTGCGGCTTTCAGACATCATTCAAGCCGAACCAGAAAACCCGGAGTTTGCTTTCCTGTCTGCATGCCATACCGCGGTTGGTGACAAGAACGCACCTGATGAAGTCATCCATCTCGCCGCAGGGATGCAGTTTTCTGGTTTCAGAGGTGTCATCGGCACAATGTGGGCGGTGGATGATACCACTGCCCACCTCATGGTGAAAGAATTCTATGGCGCGATGTTTAGCGGTAAAATCGACTGCACGAACGCGGCTAGGGCTCTGAATAAGGCTTCCAAAGCCGTCGACAAGGATAAAGTACCAATGGATCAGAGAGTCGTATTCATTCACATTGGAGCATAGTCTTTCAGCCGTGCAGTTTATCTTATAGATCTGTGGATTCCGGTACGTATGCATTCATGGCGATCGAGTACTTCATAGCCGTACACACAGATATCATGTTATGATGGGCGGAGTCTGAGCCTCAGGCTTTGGCAGGTGTGACGTACACTGTCACCGCTCACGCGGCAAGTCCCGGAAGATCAAACGATGGATGCTTATAATATTCTCGCAATCTACCGAATTTCAATTCATCCTTCATCAACATCTCCCGTTGCAACAAGTAGTAATAACTCGTTAAGGAAGCCTGGTCACTGGTGGCACTAAAAATAGTATGTGACTGCTTACTACTATAGAGGTTAAGTTCAACTGGTTCAACGTCCAACCGCGACTCGGATGTTTAGCGCTAACGCTCAGCGAACCTCTCTGACTAGTTGGCAGAAGTTCTTCATGGCTTCGTCGGTTTTAGAACTGAATCTGCCGGCTGCCGTAAGTAATACAAGTATTGCATTAATATTGATGCTTGTCTCACGACCGGCGTACTGCGCGAGGACACTGCCGTTGATTGCGTCATAATGGTAGTTGATGACGGCGAATTGTAGTGATTACAATTCGCTGGGCGCCCCTACTCTTGTGGGTGTTTGGATATTGCGGCTCTGAGTATCAGTTCTGTCAACCCACCGTCAGTCACTAGTCTCATGACCAACATCGACAACGTCCTGGACTCCGAAGTCCTTGCTCAAAGCGAGGACGCGCAAGACGAAGGAAACACTGTGTCAGCAGTGGGAGCGCCAATAGAGAAGGCAACGACAATTCACTTGTATCCGATAAATACTCACGTCATCTACAGAGCAATCCCTTGGGTTACAAGGTTACATTGCTGTCCTCTGTCATGCTCAATCTCGGGCGAATGCTCGGCGCAGGAATATATTCTGTCCCGGGCGTCATACTGAATTCTGTTGGCTCGATCGGCCTGCTCTTCACCTTCTGGCTATTGGCTCCATTATTTGCATTCGCAGGTCTCATGGTCTACAGTGAATACGCGAGTATGTTCCCAAAGAGATCCGGGGCAGAAGTTGTGTACTTGGAACAGGCATATCCTCGTCCACAGTTTTTTGTCCCAGTTATGTTTGCTGTAACTTCAGTCCTTCTGTCGTGCGTGCTATGGTTTACATGTTGAATGAGATATTCATGGGATTGCTTCTACGCTGATCAGTTTTAGTGCAACAAATTCTATTGTATTTGCGCAATATGCACTTACAATTTTCGATGTCCCCATCACTCCTGCAAGGCAAACCACTATTGCATTAGCAGTCTGTGCTGTTGGTGTGGGTTGTGAGTCTCTTATGTTTCTTGCGCTAAGGTACAATTTGGAACTTGACCACACAGTCGTCGCCCTGTCAACGAAATGGTCTTTAAGAGCCGTGAACTTTCTTACTGGGTTGAAGGTCCTTTCTCTTGTCTTGTGAGCATACCGTTTACCATCCGTTATCTACTGACCGATTGTCCTTTTAGCTTGGTCTTCACGGGCGCCCTCGTACTTGGTGGTTTCACTCACATCCGCGATCCCTTTGCCAATTTTCGGTCCCCCTTCAGCGGTAGCACGACCAATCCAAATTCTTTGGCTACTGCCCTAGTCAAGACTAATTTTGCATTCGCTGGTTGGAACAACGCATTTAATGTTATTGGGGAAGTCCAGACGCGCGATCCTGTGCGCACAGTACGCAAAGCCAGCTTACTATCGCTGATTTTAATCACATGTCTTTTTTTCTTTGTCAATGTTGCCTACGTGGCAGCAGTGCCAAAGGACGAGATAAGCAATTCTGGGCAGCTCATCGCGGCTTTATTTTTCCAACGTGTATTCGGAGAGGGCTTCGCAGCCAAAACCTTGCCGACCATGGTTGCTTTAAGTTGCTTCGGAAACATCGTGTGTGATCTTTGTATTTCGCATGCCCGAGTTACTCACACAATACATTTCTAGATTGCTGTGGTGAGCAACGCATTTTGAAACTGCTTGCCATCATGTGAAAACTCATATTGAATCTGCCAGACTGTTGGTCAGACACGCGTATTGCGTGAGATTGCCCGTCAGGGGCTGCTCCCGTATCCAAGATTTTTTGCATCGACCAAACCATTCGGCACACCATTGGCACCCGTGTGTCTGAAGTACTTTCTCACAGTCCTCGTGATAGTTGGCCTCCCAGCTGGAGATGCATTTAACTTCTTGTTGGACTTGGCTTCTTATCCGAATCTAGTAGGAAATTACTCCACTGTCGCGTTTATGTGATTAACAAGTTGCAGGTGTTCGGTGCTGCAACTGCCATAGGATTGTGGCTTCTTCGAAGGCGGCGAATGCTTGCTGGCATTGCACCTTCGAAGTATCGTGCGGGGAATATTTATGTTTCCCTTTTCCTCCTCAGCACGATATTCCTCCTCATAATGCCATGGTATTGTCCCTCCGAATCGATGTCTTGTAACAGAACTGATTTATTCGACAAGGGTACCACCAGAACCTGGTCATGGTGACGTATCTTTCTGGTACGCCACGTAAGTCTATTGTTGTTGCATTTTTGGGCCCACATCTGACACATCTATTCAGTTACTGCGTGGTGGGACTTGGTATCCTTGTGGTGCGTACATCATTTACAACGTCACCCCATATAAAACTGACCCTTTACAGTTGTGCGGATTCTATTACTGGCTGTGGATTGTTGTCTTGCCACGACTAGGGGGATATACCGTCGTGGAGGAGGTGGAACAATTGGAGGGCGGCGCGTTGACCGCACGGTTGACACGCAAATACCACTCTTCAGTTGATAACGGAGAGCAACAACCACTCATTGGTAGTATTTGATGGACTTTGAATAATTGTAGTAATACTCCTTTTTTTTAAATCGAATTTATTGTCTGCTGAGGGCAACGCCCGATGTAGACAGTACATGCTATGTGCTACTGCGTTCTATATTCTTTATCAACATTGGTGTAATTATAAACCATTGGCTCGCACCCCGTACGAAGGTTTGGGGTGGGTAATACTCCTTATACTTAGTGTAACGCTAAAGCTCACGATCCTTGTATCAGTATTACTGTATCACACAAGTGTGTGGTCCCCAATGCAAACAGCACTTCCACGCCACACCAAACCCAGTTTTAGACTAGAGCGTTTTTTTTTTAAAAAAAAAAATCCAAATTTGTGTCTTTGAGAGTGTAACTCTATGTAAGACAATACTATCTAGTCTTGGGGGCCCCTGTGCCCCCCCGCACCTCTAGATTCATGAATGCCCCGGTGTGAGGCTTGCCTCCACCGGTCCGCCGTTCCCGCCGCGCGTTTTAGACATGCAATCTAACGAAGGAAAGGTGACTTTAAGAAGATCGCGCAGGTAAGTAACTGGACAGGTAAGGATCGTCTGGACGCGTTCTCGGCCGCCGAAGCGACTGGTATAGGAATCTGGTTGAATGCAAAGTATGGTAAAAGAATGGTTCCTCTAGTGACGGAGAGGAAGGTTCTGATGGATTTGACTGATTTCAGTGGAGGCCGTGATTCCGTATAGGCGAGTGAATATGGTTGGATTGTGAGATTATAGGTTTGGGTTATTTGAGGATTAATTGAGTCGTAGCGGTAATGGTAACGGGGGGGAGATGCCGAGGTAGAGGTCGTGTTATATGGATGGGGTAGGATAAGGTACAGCGTTGATTGGCAGTTGATGATGTGTACAAGTGGTTCGATCTGTAACTGAGAGGTGTTTGTCAATTCGGACGCTTCGATAGCATGGACACTTCACCAAATGTGGTTTTCATTCTACCAGTGGCGTTGATGTATCTTACGAGGTGCGGGATGGCTTCTTCACTTGTCAGGACATATTGGATGGATGTGGCCTTGCGGCCCAGTGCGCAGATCAGGGTGTGACGTTCCTGGCTATACTTAGGGCATGTGAACAAGTAGTGATGGATGTTCTCGTCGATATGTGGACAGTGAGGGCAGGAGGAGTTGGGAGATTTGCTGATGCGGTGAAGGTGCTGGTTCAAGGGAGCGTGGTGGGTGCGGAGGCACATTAAGAGTCCTGTGAGGCGTTTAGGGTAAGATTTGGTTAGCTTAATGAAGGAACGATGTAGGATATTAGGATCGATACTATGCGTGCGTGCATAACGGGGGGATTTAGCCCAGATTCTTGACCACCGGGCTTGAGTGGAGTTACGATGTGCTTGCTTGAGGGCCGAGATACTCAGAGGAAGTGAATCTTGACGAAGGTAATGAGGTAGCCTGGCACGAGGGCTGTTGTTCTGACTGCCCTCCGCGGCTTTCTTTGCCTGTTTATCTGCTTCCTCGTTGCCATGAATGTCGGAGTGGCCTGGTACCCAATATATTGTAACGTTAAAATCATCGCGATCGTTAGCTAGTGTCTGCATCATGCGCCGAAAACGGTCTGCCAGGTATGAGCCGGGACGAGTGTGAAAACTGTTACCCGCATTGGATTGCCGCTTGGTTGTCGATGGATATGGATACAGGGAATTGAATGTTGCGTTCTGTGGATATTAGTTTTGCTGCTAATGTTAGTCCTACCTCCTCGGCTTCGAAGACGGTGTGCTCGTCCTTGGTGCCTAAGTAGTAACGTAGTACTCGTGGTACTGCGCCTGCACGAAATAACACTGCGGATGCTCCAATTTTATCATCGTGGCCCGAGCCATCACAATAGACCTGAATTGGTTCTGTCATTTGTTCGTGCAGTGTCGTGGCTTCTTCTCGTGTGGGTGCAATGTTGGTCTTGAAGGGGTTCTTTGTGGTTGGTGGGCGTCTTGCGGGGATTAGGGTTTCGATTTCATCTGGTATAATGGAGAAAAGACGGGTGAGTTTGTGCAGTGAGGAGCGGTGAGATGATACATAGCGCTTGGCAGCGCACCTAACTGGGAGGTATAGAGGGTGTGTTGCTGGGTGAGCGGTGATACGAATGATGGCTCTATGACAGATGTTATGAAGGGCAAGCGTGATAGGGAGGATGTTAGCATGAGCTTCGAGGACGTCTCCTGCGGTGGTCCGCATGTCTCCAGTGATGGCTAGGGTAGCGAGTCTCTGCACAGATGTGAGTCTTTTTGCGACCCCCACTGACTAGAGCGTTATGTATTATAAGTTTGCCCACATATATGGGTTGCTTTTCTTTCACGTGTCCCTTGAGGTCCCTTGCAAGGTGGGCCACACTGCCTGTGGCACTCAGGGAGATTCACACGGTAAGAACGAGTCGAAGGCGAGAGAATAGACTTGAGGATTCAGACAAGGTAACTGTCCGAACTAAAATGTATTCGGTTGGGGGAAGATCAACTACTTCTACAGTAGCTCAACGCGAGTTTAAATACTGTAGAGCTAAGATACTGATGTAATCAAATGGAAACAGGAAGAACTAAGTGCGTGCCAACGAGGATATTGTCTAATGGAGACCAATATCCGAAGATGGCTTTTACCGAGCGTAACACTGCCGCAGCTGTAGAGTCCGGCGTTATTTGTGGGTGTTGACGTATGCCGGGTATTTCCGAACATTAAGCGGCTGATTGAACAGCCCTACTCTTAAAGTTATACGTATGCTTCGAACATTTTTCACCAGTGAAACGGTTTCACTGATGAAAAATGTTCGAAGCATCACTGAAACGTTCCGCTATGTTCGAGTTGAAACTATTATTATACCAAGTATTTCCTATCAAAACCTTCATCAGAATCATTTGGACTGACATCCACTGCTTCAAGAAGCCCCAATTCACGTCATAACGTGACTACATAAGTAATGGAACGGAGACTTGAGCTGATGATCACAATCCGTGTCATGCCGTTCTCATTATGCCAGCTCCGAGCACATTCTTAACCCTGCATTGCATGATTCTCAGCCGGAAATATCGTTCCCTCTTCCTTCCATCTCCATCGAATGGATTCGAAATACTCTGCCGACACTGTAGCGGCCGCTAGGAGTCTCCAAATCTTTACGGTAAATTTCCTCCAGACAATGCCAATGGCCTCTGATGAAGTCCATTGCTTCTAGTTCATCTACAGTATGTGTTACTTCGTCAGCAAACCACATCTGCTAAGCAACAATTCAGCGTCGATGGCTACATTTTGGGTATGACCATCTCCATCTTCCCAATTTAATATCATCTTGTGACTGGTCATTCGGTTCCTACCCAGATATACGACTATGTCTGCTCAATCCATGAGGAGGTAACACAGATCATTTACAAGATCAACTTCCTATCCTCACAATACACCATTTCAAGGGAATATTTTTGCTTTATTCCCGCTTGAACAGGGTCAAATTTTTGTACGTTGTGACACGATATGTGCCTTTCCTTCTTTTTGTTGCGCACTTGTATTGTACGTCTTTAGTCTCAAATCTCAAATCTAAAATACCATATTGACAGACTGTTGCCAGTGAACTTCGTCCCAGACGAGACTTCTAATGTACGTTGGCTCGCAATAGATAAGAGCCCTGCTCACTTAAAGGCCAATCTAGACATGCCAAATTGTCAACAACATTTGCTCAAGTACATCAAACTACATGTCGGAATTACCAGTTGCTGACCTTTCCCCTCTTATAGCTTTTAGCCTAATATCCATTGTCTGCTCAGAATGTAAATGCTCTATTATCTTTATCGCGAGTGCAGAGTCTTGATTCCTCCAGGTTTCTTCATCCTCAGGACTTACGCGCTGTGGAATAACAATAAGGTCGTTTTGGTAGCTATGCTATCAACTTTTGCAGTGAGTTACGTCTAATATTGCGGCTTTCTAATACGAACACACCATCAGGTTGTAATTGTGGGGTCCATAGTTGCCCTCTTTTCCGCCACTGCGGCTGCGCCGTGTATGAATTACTCCCTATGCCTGTCTGGTAATTTTGATCCAGTTTTCATTTCACAGTTGAAACCAGTCCAATTCCAGGTATCACAGGCTGTTATCAGTCCATAGGAAGCGTCAGGCTTTTTGTCCCTTTCCTTCTTTTGTTCGGACTAGAATTTAGTGCGTCAAAGAGAATTGATTCGTAAACGCTTTTTGAATCATGCTTGATACAGCGCTGATTTCCCTCACACTCACATGCACCATACGAAATTGGCGTACAACCAACAACCGTTTGTATGTTGTTATATTGAAACACAACGTGCTTTATTATGCATGTGGTCTGTGTAAGTGGGAGCGTGGAGTGGTCAATCGTTGCTCATCTTTCCCACAGTTTTCTCGACTGTGAACGTTTTGACATCGCTGCTACTCGATGTATGTTATCTATTTACTGAAAGATTTTCTTGCAATTGAGATTTCATGCAGTACGCGTATAGCGGCATGTTCCAAGAGTACGTCTCTGCCAATGTTTGCCGGCAAGCAATACTTACAACCCCAATTATGTGTCTAGTTTCCAAGTTATCATTCATGCCATACTTGCCACTCGAATGCACCTCCATCTGTGGCATGCCGACCGCAATCGTGATTGTAATGCCTTGGATTCAATTTCTCTCTCCCAGTTGGCACCCGCATCTCATATTGAGTCAGCCTAACTATTAGCATATGTGCTCTCGCAGGGCGGTCTGGAAGGAAGGGGAGATTGCAATTGACTGCTCCAGTGGGTTCGCCAGGCGAGATTGGATCATCACTTACGATGTTGTGACGGGGAAACTCGTGTACGCGCCCAAAGTGGTTCCTGGAGTGCCACAGACAATTCTCATTGAATGGTCCGTCCGGATCGATGGAGGTTGGGTTTAGATGTGAAGATTCACTGTATGATAAGTGTATATACTATTTATGAGGTGCGCTCCTTTGTCGTTGGAGCGGCCTAAGCCCCAAAGCAAAGCAGACAAGTTGATGATGCTAGCTACGAACATACAGACATATACAACACGACATATGAATATTTAGCCCCACTCCATCATGGTTTGTTGGTGCTTATGTAGAAAATTTGCGCTACAGGCCTTGACAGAAATGCGGTTCAACGTTCAGCGCTCAGCCTTCATCATTTCTATATCTAAATCCGATACTATCCATGGACTCTTGAGTAGTATTTGCTAGTAGCGACTTGTACGGTATGCCTGCAAATGCCTTAGGCCCCAAAGGGATCGCATTGAGTATGCATCCGACTCACCATTTTGTATCTGAGCAAATCATATGAGAGAATGTCCAATGATCGCAAGCAAGAATCACGCACCCGTTAGAACTCATCGAAGCTTGGGTGTTCGATTATGGCCGGATGGCGGACAAAGTCCAACTCTGGACGCACAACGAATCAGAAATTGGGATGATCAGATAAGCTAGATAAGGCCTCGATTAGACACACAAACTTGAAGGGAGGACAGGCAGGCGCACTTGTCGAGAAAATCTGTCGAATAACCCAGGAATCAGATCCCCGATTTTGCTATCACCACCCAAGTTATTGCGGCTGGCTTCTGTTTGATTTATTCGAGTTGATCTAAATTGGATAAATTCTCAGCGACGCGATACGATAGAGTTTGGATTTGAACTTACATGGTTGGCTCAAGGCATGCCTGGAAAGCCATTAGGTAGTCCCTGGATGGCTCTCCGCTGATGGTCCTTCCCCACGCTGTCTACCTTTGATGGCGCCTATGAGTTGAACGAGCCATTTCTACTGAATGACCGAGAGTCGTGGATAAGAGCACAACGGGCCAGACGCATGCCCACCCCATATCATCTATCTGGGCAGCAGAGAGGTAGTAATGAGTCGTCCGTGAAGGGTGAAAATCGGCTGTCGATGTCCTCGGAAACTATTGGTAAGGAATCCTTAATATGATTGGGCGTCACATCAGATATTCGGATATCCAGGTCCATTCTCGTTGCGAGTGTTACTGGCACGATATCGCTGATCGACGTCTGTTCAAGCATGATTCAATCATATCGAGCATGACGGTTTAAAAAGAGACTTACGATGTGAGTATGTGCCTCTGTCGTGAATGAATGCGCGTGGCAAGGAGATGAGAAGTGCTGAGAGGGGAGTAGAGAAGAGAACCAGGGCTTCAAGTCGGAAGGCATCAAGCGCACCTAAAAAAGTATCAGCAAGGCGCCGACTACGATATTCTGACATACATACTTTGATCAGATCACATCGGCTTTGTCATGTATCTGAGCAAAGCAAAAGAAGAAGCAAGAGGAAGTTGTGAAACCCCGGATGGCTGATAATGCGCCAGATCAGCGAGAACACGGACCATCATCATCCATCTGAGCCGTAGACAAGGAGTCCCAAATCGTGCGTGAAGGGTAGAAGCAGGGGTGTCGATGTCCTGGAGACCACTAGTCAACTGATTGGGCGTCGATGATCTAGTTGAACCAACCCATCGCTGACCACTGTCAGGTAGTCACGTCTTCGATGACAATTGTCTGGTTTCGAGCACGATTCAGCGATGCGGAGTATGATGGTTTTAAAAAGCTCGCGGTTCGAGTATTCACCTCTATCACGGATGTGCGTGGTAAGAAGATGTGATATGCTGAGCGGGGAGTAAGGCGCACCTGACAAAGTATGTAATCCATCAGTTGTCTGAGCAGAAAAAAACGTGTGGAATCATCCATCTGGGCCGAAACACGTGGAACGCAATGCAAAATTTCTGTGAAGCAGGAAAGTAACAGCAGCGGTCTGAGCTCAGACGGCTTATAGCCCAAGGATTCACAATCATCAAACCAATTCGAGATCTATCATCTGTCTGAGCATAACGAAGGAAGGAGAAGTGATCATAATGAGTAAAAGCCCAGATCGCTGATAACACAGCGGCTCTGGTTCATAGGACACAACCACCGTGACACCTGCCATCTGGACTTGACTCGGGCGAATGGGGAAAATGATATTTATGAAAACGAATAAAGTGTGAGGGAAATAACGGATGCAATGCGAGGAGCTAGAGAGAAGGGAAAGCATTGAATTAATGGCAATGATTCGTGGTGCCAGTGAGTGGAAGCCGAGATGGCTGGTAATGCAACGAGTCTGCTTCCTTGTCGTCACCATATTAATCTGGGCTTGTCCATAACAATGGAGTGGGAGGTGCAGGGTCGAGGGGAGTCAGAGCATAACCTAGATCAGGAAGTTCACAGAAGATGCTTACCTTGTGTTGATGGTCTTGATACAGTCTCGCAAGAAGAAAATGGCACGTGTGAACGATGAATGCAAAGTGTGGCAGCGGAGAACGATACTATGGGACCATTGTTCCAAGTAAACTCGTTTTGCGCAGGGAGTCGTTACGTGTAAAAGGGCAGAGTGGATCCGAGTTCAATGGCGATGATAGTAAGTTAATATTTAGGGCCAGCGCCCTGGCTAATTAATGGAACATATGTATGTGATACTTGCATGAGGATTTGAATCTGATGCAGGCCAGGTCTGTGCAGAGAGAGGATTATCAATCTGAATGAGTGTTATTGTGATCTTGATATTAAGACTGGGCACTGGTTAGATAACATTCTGGATATTAATTGGAAGATGGGAACGTTGACCATGTGTACCCCTGGAGGGGCGGTAAACACGGGATAGATGCAAGATGTGGGTTTGCTTTGGGTGGTAGTGAACGCCCTTGTGAATGTAGTAGACGCCCCTTTGAATGAATACAGCACTGACATGACACCACAGTCGACGTGTGTGAGCTGCCCGCCACAAAGGTACGATGCATTCAATTGCCCCATGATGCCAGCCCTGCGTGTCTGTGGGCGCGTAACCACATCACAGGTAGGATCGTCACAAGTAATGACACCCAGGCAGACACGTCTCGTCTTTTTGCCTCGTGACCATGTCAGTGCCGACTCTGACCCCCTCTTGTCTCCTCCTCCCGGCTGGCAAGCCCAATGTTCCCTGAGATTATCAGTTTTTGTTACCCTCCTCCCACGTGAATAATCTTTCAAAATCTCCGTCCGGCCATGGGTCCCACAAATCATCTGTCAGGATCTGGCCACCAGCGGCAGATTTGGGACATAGAGAGTCGGATGGTCAATCTGGATCGCGCCGTTGATTTGCTCGGGCTGTAGAAGGACTAGCACTTCGGGTGCGCCGGCGTGGCATACATTTTGTGTCTGTGCGAATATCAAAGAGCTCCTGGGAGTGGTGTCTCATGAGTCGAGGGAGGGATGGAGCATGTGAGGCAGAGTGCACAGTTCTATGTGTGACAGGAGTCGCTGGAATGTGTGGAGCACCTATGTTTTAACTATAGTGTCAGGGAGGCAAGCAAAGAGTCATCGAAGCATTGCTCACTTAAAGCGTGTGACGGCCGAGTGGTCTGCACAGAGGTTGGAAGATAAGCTATTACATTACCTGTTTGTACTTGTCGAATTTGAGTTCGCAAAGAGCATCAGTGGAACGGCGCATCCGAGCGGTCATAGCAGGGAATAAGATCCCCAACCAGCGGTTGATCTGGACGATTTTGATCCCCTCTCTCGCTGGGATAGAAAAAATTGAATATATGTTTGATCAATTCCTAGAGTATGGTTAAAACAAGTGCCCTCCGTATCTCAAAGCACTCACGATAGGCATGGTATATATAGATTTCCAACAGCGCGATACCGGTTCTGCTCTAGGCCATAGTAGTTGAGGGTGGAGAAATGTTTTTTGGAGTGCCACCGTGACTGCCCGTAGAATGCTTATATTATGTACCTAAGTGACACTGACAGTTATTGAAAAGTCATGACGTGGCATTAATATTGAGGTTTGACGCGGCACGCAAGTGGGCCTTGACGCAGCTAAGGTAAGTGTGGAGGTTTACATTAGTACGGAGGCTGCAAAGATGTTGGGGAGAACTTGTCATAGTGTGAGTAGTGCTTGACCCAGCCTGACTGAAGCTTGACATGACATGGTTGGGTGCTTGACGTGGTAGTACAGAGCACAGAGGCTGCCGGACTTGATAAGGTGGGGGTCGAAACTTGACACAGTGTGCACAGACGGACATTCATATGTTGATCATGGCGAGGATACAAAGTGTTTGGAATTGATTTCGAGCGACAATATAATAGTGTTTGAACATAATGTATTTGTGACGGAGCCGCGTCACGACCGCGTCAATTCCACCTGATAGGATTCGAATCTGAAGTTGATTGCAGTTACCAGGTGCTTATAGAGCAGCGGAGAGAAACAACACATCGCCGAAGGAATTGAGCTCAAAGCCTCGAGCTCAATATAATATTCACCTGTTCGATGGAGGCAACCGAACGAATCCACTAAACGTGCCTCTGGCTTAAGTCAGCGTGCCTGAACCGGGTACGTCCGAAGCGCAGGAAGGATAAAAAAATAACATGCTGTACAACACAGCCATGATGGGACCGTGTTTCCCGCGAGTATGTCGAAAAATTTACGGTGGCGCTAACACTCCTAAAAACCTTTTTCAACCCTTTCCATAGAGTATATCCAGTACTATGTAGTGTGTTTATGAATATAATGCACCTCTCACTCATAATTACTAGCATTTCTACATAACAAGGTTTAGATGAGGGTTAGGCCAGGAATTGACGAGGTTTAGGAGCACTGCTGAGGTTTAGGACGCTTTTTAAGACTGCAAGTGTTGGCGTTGCGCGCCGTAAGGTTTAGGTACAATTCCCGTTTAGGACAGGTTTAGCGACGCTTAGCGTGAGTTTGGCTCCCAAACGACAACGACATTTTAGAATTGAGCCTCCCGTGTTGCTTTCGAGAGAAGTAGCGCTCGATTCGAAAATCGAACGGTCCAGTCACCGATGTCACTTTGGTGACGTGACGTGACCGTTCGTGACCCGTTCCTCGACGCCAGTTCTCAATTCCCAAAAGGGACTGGACGGAGAAGGGACGTCAAAACGACCCGATTTAAATGAAAAAGAAGCAAGAGCGCGCGGGGAGGAGGGACCCTGAACGCGAATGGGGAACTAGCACGCTGGAATGGACGGCTCACCAATGAGGACGCAACGGACGGCATACTTGGGTAGGGGGATATGGTTCGAAGGGGTGGTGGTGGTGTGGGTGCGTGTGGGTGTGTGCTTGTGCTTGTGGAGGGAAGGGACGAGACGAAACGAAAGGAGAGAGTAAGTATATGTTTTGGTGCTTGCAGTATCCGAGGGGGGGGGATGGGCAGTGCAATAGGTTGCAGGGACTAGATTGAGGCAGTTTTAAACAAGCGTGCTACTAGTAGCTAAGTTCTAACGGGGATTTGTTTTTCTTCGCGGAACCAAAACTACGGGAAACTGTCAACCGAAAGGGGCGTCACCCTTGATAATGATATATTGCATGTTGGCCTTTGCGCGGTTCCGATCATGAACCGGGCTTGTCATGCCTCCTTGGACCGTGTTTTTTCATGCAGGAAACTACTAGTGGAATGGACGGTTCCCCCGCCAAAATTAGGGTGAGCCCTGCTCGGGACTAGGACCCGCAGGCAAAAAACACGGTCCTGACGCGCGCTAAGACGGTCCAACGCGCGTCAAAACACGGTCTGATCGTAATGCTTCCTCGGATTTCAGCCTTCCATCCCCCCATCTCGCTGAACTCGCAGCGCGTCTTATATCCCTAGCCTCGTAAATATTTTTCCGTCCTCTCAGTTTCTAAAATCATGCCATATTGAAGCAATTGTTTTTTTCCCCCCTCGACAGGCTTGCTAGTAATGTCTACTCTACAGAATGCTAGCTGCTCCAACTTTGTTACGTTCGCTGAGCACTTTGCTTCAGGGCTTGAACATTGACGTCTTTCCAGCTGGGAAGCTTTATGAATGCCTGAACATCTTTCTCAAGTCCTCCTCTTTGGTCCACCAGAGATTCGGTTAGCTGGGCTGCAGCTAGTCGGTGCATTCGACCTTCCACACTTTGATCACCCCTGCTCTGTTGGCACTCCGAGTCCAATGCCTCCTTGGAATGGGGAATCAATGCAAGTCAAACACGTCACGATATCCTGATGTGACTTGAGAATGGTTCTGCTGGTTGTGGGTAATCATCGACGTCCTTTGCGGAGGTCGATTGCTCTGACTAGCTGAGCTGGACGAATGTGCCCAAGTCTCAACGTTCAGCACGATATTCTTCCTCATAATGCCATGGTATTGTCCCTCCGAATCAATGTCTTGTAGCAGAACTGATTTATTTGACAAGGGTACCACCAGAACCTGGTCATGGTGACATGTCTTTCTGGTATGCAACGTAAGTCTAATGTTGTTGCATTTTTGGGCCCACATCTGAGACATCCATTCAGTTACTGCGTGGTGGGATTTGGTATCCTTGTGGTGCGTACATCACTTACAATGTCACCCCACATAGATATAACCCTTTACCGCTCAGCCTTCATCATTTCTACATCTAAATTTGATACTATCCATAGACTCTTGAGTAGTATTTACTACTTGTACGGTATGCCTGCAAACACCTCAGGCCCCAAAGGGATCGCATTGAGTATGCATCCGACTCATGATTTTGTATCTGTATCTGAGCACAGGACGCGGGTGTGAATCAGAGTTATTTGACGGACTGTTGAGCGAAGTGCGCATTCCAATTGAGTAGTGTACCCGCATTGTATTACTTCAAAGTGTAAACAAGGCAGGCTGCTAAGGGATCAATCGATGATGTGCAATTTCTCAAGACGACCGCTGTCGTGTAATGCAACGTGATAACTACATTTCATCATCAACATAAGTATCATACACACATTCATAAGCACAAACCAAAACGAGAAAGACTATAACAATCTCAGCGAGTCAAGTATAAAGGCTTCGGACACCATTGAATATCCACCATGTGGTTCCTTGTTCCGGCATCTACTACCCAACTTATGAGACTATCGAAACAACACTGAAATCACGAATTAGTCGAGCATACGTGAAAGAAAGTCACGACCAGATCTCACATCTACTGCTGCTGAACTGGGCAATTTTTCTTGTGCTTATTGAGACTGGATTGGCGCGAGAAACTCTTGTCACAGGTATCGCAAGGATATTTGATCATGAGGTGCATTTCCTGCACATGCCTAGAGAGGCTCTCTTTATTGAGCCCCTTGTCGCAATCACCCCAAGAGCAATGGACGCGCGACTTGTTTGCACCCCAAATTCCATGACGTTCACGGAGATGATTAGAAAGTTCATGGGGAAAAAATGAGTGGTTGCAGGGCGAGCTGTCTGGTCCGCTCCACAGACACTGGAACTTCGGATTAAGAAAATGGCCCGACTGCGAGTGTCAATTTAATGGCAGTAATGCCCGGTATGAGGACTTGAAACTTACAGGTCCCATTACTGAGATAGATCCATTGCTTGCGTGGTTGTCTGACATAGCCGCAGTGTTGGAGGTGATAGTTGTGACGAATGTAGCTTCTTCAGATTGAAGCATTTGAAGGGGGCTTTATTATTCAGGACGAGAGTTCCAGGGAGACACATCACTATAAATCCTCGTGGTTGGCGGGGTGCCAGAGAGTTTACTCTCGGACTGTGGAATTTTCCGTTAGTTGGACAAACCATAATCATCAAAATGTGTTAATTGTCAATGGCCTTGGCATCCAGCGGAACATGTCATCCACGAGTATCAATGTCGCCAGCAAGTACGCGTGGATGATTACAAAAACATAGAGAAGCAAAAGCACTTGGGAAAGGCAAACGCGCCATGCCGTGACTGCTAGTAGAAGCACTTCTATATCAGTAAGGCTTCACCACCGACTGGCCAATCAATGACTGTGGATCAACTAGCAGTAAAGGGAAGCGTACAGATTTGAAAACTAGGAATGAAAATGAAGGAATTTAGTGCAGGGTCAAGATACCAAATTCGAGCAATTAGTTTTTGTGACTCGTGAGGCAATGGTCGCACGAAATGTCAGTGACTGCAAAATACTGACCTCTGGGCCTACCATTCGAATTGCGGGCATTAGTCCTGATGTAGTGGCTGTAAATTGTTGAGACAGACCATTACATAACTTTTGCTGCGTCTCCCATCTGATTTGAAGTTGGAGTAGCCCATACATTTTTGGCAGTTTTACAGCATCTCCCACTTGATTTGGAGTCGAGGTAGTTCATGGATAGTGTGATTCACATCGGTTTCTGGTACCCTGTTATCAGTCGGACCCCACTCGATTCTTTCAAGTTTCTCCAAACCCTGCAGAGACAAAGTCTGAACATCCTCACGTCATTCACAACGAAAAGACCCCAGGCTCTGCTCGACATGTTCGCTTCAGCTTAATGCTGCGATTATTATTGAATGGATAGTAGTCTAACTGACAAAACACAAGCATGGCTGAAGGACAAGGTCGAAACTAACAAATTTGCATTGCCAGCGCTATACCGTCCCACAAGCTTCATTACTGAATTCACCGGTTCACTGATGTCATATATGGCGCGCATGTCCAGCTACCATGAACGGCAATG